AAAGGTGAATTTAGTTCGCAGAACTGATCAAATCTTATCAAATTTGTTTAAAAAGAAAAGAATATTTATGTCACAAAGTTGACCCAAAAATTGGTGACAATCTCCAAAAATTACACATTCCCATCGAAATCGGATTTTCGAGCAGCGAAATTAGAGCGTAGACTCAATTTTTTCCCGCCGGCGCTTGTGCGATTTACCGCGCTCCCGACCGCTCGCACAACTGCATGAGACATATGAATGAACCATTTAAACGAGCGTCTTGCGGCTAATTTTTATGTCATATTCATAAAAGTGATTCAGTTCGCGCCTTAAATAAACTGCGGTTTATTTCCCTCGTAAAAGTGGCCCCGATTTCCCCTTTGAGGGCTGCGCAAGATCTTCCACCATTGATGCTTCAAATTTAATCGACTAAGATCTTTCGCTTCCTACATACTTTCGTAACAAGAGACTATAAACTGTAATCTTTTGTTTCGTAACAAAGTGGCCCTCTACAAGTCATATGTTCTACATCTACATCCATGAAATTAAAACCAATACTGACCATATCCGACCACATTTGTTTAGAAGACTAGAAAATTAAGGAGAATTTGTAACAAAATTAATCCCGTGAATCATAATAATGTTAAAAAAGTTCTCGTCTCACTTCAATTTTCCAGCTGGGGCATTTGTTAAAGTAAAAAAGCTCGAAACAGAAGAGTATTGAGACAAATATAATACGAAATTAACAAAAAAAACTAGAAATGGAATATCAGGTGCTAAAGAAAAATTTGTGGCAACGAGAAGCAAACCATACAGATTTTCACAAGTGAAAAAGCACGAAGTCCTTTACCAATCTGAATAGGACAACTTTACGTGTGTCTTCTAGTCAACTTTGCGAGAGAGGGAGAGTAAAAACTATGGGGACAAGGTTATGTTCCAGTCAGTTTGCTAAGCAACACCTTGGACACGTAATTAAGGGTTCATTCGTTGTGAAGCAGATTCTTGCGAACTGTTCATGAAAATTTGATGATTTTTTTCGCATATCAAACATTAACAAAATCAAAATATGAACAGGACATGAAGAAAGCCTCTGTGGTCAGACAGCTATGAGAATTATTCAAAAACATTATTAAGACACTTAAAGTTTCTCTTCTTCTCTTCTTCCTATGAACAAAAGCTACAAAGGATTAACTTTGTAAGAAGAAAGTTAACTCTGCTGTCCATAAAACACCAACAAAGATTTATGCAAACTCCAAAACGATATGACCAAAGTAACCTTTTATCGAAGATGTGACTGAGAACAACATCAATTAGCAAGGTACACAATTGAATGATGACCTGTCGTAAAAGTTATAAGCAGTAACTAAACATTCAAATGGATTGGAATCATAAGCAATTAGACATGTCGATTTGGCTATTATGTACTATTTACAACTAAATACATAAGTTGCGCCAAATACAACATGCATCAGTTTAACAGGATAGAGAGGGCTCCTTTCCAAAAACAAGTTAACACTCGAGATCTCCTTTCCAATGACAAATTGATTCGAAACATGGAAGGATGTTTTATAATCTAGTCACTAATGTGAGATAGAGAAATACTTGTAGGCCCCCGCTCATTACCAAGCTACCCACTCAAGTTAATAGAATTGATGGATTCTGATCCAGCTTTATTTAAAATTGAAAATCATTCCGAATCAATTGTTACTCAAGGACATCAAAGAAATGCCATTTGATTTAAGTGGATCCAACGTTCTTGTCAGTGAAAACTACAGCTGAAAAGCAGATTCAGCAAACCTTCCTGTGATAGCCGAAAAAAATGAGACAAAAGTAAATTGTTATCACGTTTTAACGAAGGTGGAAGATCAACATCAATTAGTAAAATATACCATTGAACAGCCACGAGTTAAAATTGGAGTCACTACAACAATAGAGCTGTTAAACACTATTATAATGTTCAATGTTTCATATAAATACAGCACGCATCAGTCATCAGTTCACTGTGTATAGATTTTCGTTCCTGATCACAAGCAGCTGACGAAACCTACAGCGTAAAAACTAAAATTTCTCGTTTATTCTGTTCCTTCAGCGCCCATTGCAAAAGGTAACTGAGATATTTGATTGATTCCAAGAGTTCATATTTGATCATTTTTTAACCAGGGGTTTCAAAAACTTTTGCCATAAGCATAAGGGGTGTAATAGGCGACTGTGCCTGTAAAAGGGGGCGAGGGTGGAACCAGAACGCGAAGTTCTGTTCGCAGGCTAAACAGGCGTCAGTAAGTGGTCATTACTGCAGGTAATGTGTCGATCATCCCAAAGCTTCAACATCCTCTCGGGCAACCCCCTGGGCATTTGAACTTTTGAAGATTGGTTTGATAAAATTCCCACCCCCTTCTCCTCCCTCGAGGCCAAAATTGTGTTCAAATGGCCCACCCAAGAGCTGGATTGATGATCCATTTTTTTGTAAGATTCAAAATCAGGGACGATCTTCTGAGCCATTACCTCGCGAAAGTAAACTGTTTACCTTCAAACACGTCCATTTTCAAGATGAAGCACTCGTATTCCATCGGAAAGACTTCACACTTCCGGTTCAAAATTTCATTCCAGCCAGGCAAAGTTCAAATTGCCCGATTCCCTTCCCCCCCCGGCACGTTCGACAATCAAATGCCCGGGAAGATGTTGAGGCTTTGAATTGATCGGCGCATAACTGACTTTTGTCGAAACCCTTGATTTCAACAGTTTTTTTTCACGAAGTGACTCTGTTTCTACTAACTATGTGTACAATTGTCTGTTTTCCTTCTTCTTCAGATCAATCCAAGTCACCATGCTTTTTAAGTTCGCTCTAATCACCATGCTAGCTACAGCGTTCATCAACGAAGCTTCAGCAAATTCCTGTCCTCGCTGGGTGAAGCTAAACAAGAGTCCAGTCTGCTTCGGAGCCCGAGACAGTCAGTTCGGCGCGTTTGCTTACTCTCAGAACATCCTCGTAAGCTCGTTCATGCTCGTTCATCTTTCTGGAACAGTGACGTGTAATAAAAGACATTATAGTTACTGGGGATGTTATCCAAATCACGCAAGTATAAATGTCGTCTTAACAGATCATCAAAACAAGTTATTGGCCCCAGCTGCTACCAATCATGGTGGATGGTACAATCTGTCAGGTTACACCTCCTCATCTTCTGCCCTCGTGTTCTGTGCTGCCAAGAAGCCCCACTGTATCCACGCCAACACCCAGCTCCGCCTGTGGTACGGTGAAGATTTACGTGGCTACACAGAGAGCGACAACGGCGGCAAAACTTGCGCAGATGTTTATGGTCTGCTGGTCTAAACTGCGATCAACAAACCTCGAACATTAGACTGAACGAGATGATTACTGATAGAGAAAGACTGTCGATTTATAACAAGTTGTCAAAATAGAGATAATAAAGTGATTCGAGGTCAGAGAAGAGTGGAGATGGTTTATATGATCCTGCAATCCCATACCCAAATATTAAGGCAAGAGCTGCTACTCAACCTCTAAGGAATACAACGGTCAAAACATTGAGCATGCGCGAGGGGATCAAATTTGGCCGCCCGCGCGCCAATTTCCCGCGCAGAAAAACAGATAAAACAACTGCTCTCGCAAAATGGGTGAAAGAAAATTGAAAAGCTCATAGAATTATGTTAAAGAAAACAAAAATATGGAAAAGGAAAACTCTTAATTTTTAGAACAGTACGGGTTTTCTTTTGATTCACTACTCTGTTTTGAGCTTTACCAAAATATGGGCTTTTTACGCTTCTAAAAAAAAAGTGACTTACCGGCTTGTTTGGTTCACTGTTTTACCGCTCAGTCAGCGATAAACAGGCATATTTGCATAGACATCTTAACCTTGTAAAATCCTAGTTGCAATAAGACACCAAAACAAAAGAATGAGTCTCCAGTGATGGAGACCCGCGTAATACACACACTTTATACACACACTTTATTTTTCTTTTTTTTACAAAATAATTTAGATTATGTTGACCCGCAGATAGCAAATTTGCTATTCGAGGCGGGTCAATCGTCAACAAACATTTACAATATATAAAGAAAATTAAAAACTAAATAGTTAGATATTGTTAAATTATAAAGAGAAGCATAACTGGTAAATACATCAATAGTTGTTCAATAAAGTATAGAAGCAGATAAATTAGTACTGAAAGCAATCGGATCAATTTGTTTTAATTATGCAGTCCTTAAGTTTAGAGGAGATCTTTTCAACATCAAGATAAGAATCTTCATTATCTAGTATCTGAAATAAAGACGTTTTTATTTGTTTATTAAAGGAATGTTTTGATAACGTTTTGAATTCTTTTGGTATCTTATTCCAAATTTTGACACCAACACGCGAGAAAGCCTTTTTTTGTTGGTTAAGTCTAGAGTACTTTGTATTAAAGAGCTGCGATTTGGATGATCGAGTATTGTAGGTATGAATATGAGATGAGTAATCAAATAAGTCCATAAATAAATATTAGAAGGATTGAGACATCAGGGTTCGACTGTATCTCTGTATCTCTGTATCTCTGTATCTCTGTATCTCTGTATCTCTGTATCTCTGTATCTCTGTATCTCTGTATCTCTGTATCTCAACCTAAAAATTCTACAAATCATTGATGCTTCTCTGTCAAAACTTGCCTTTTGATTTTTCCTTTCACTAATTTCACAGCTCGAAAACTTTTCCTGAACGGGGATACCTATTATTTGCAGATTGTCACCAATATTTGGGGTCGACTTTGTTTCGAAGATATTCCGATCCAATTGTAAAATAAATGTGAGAAGATTAGGTCAGTTTTGCTGACTAAATTTATGCTTGCAAATATTTTCTTCTTTTTTTTTGGATCACACTTATGAATGGTCATATGATACAAAGCTTCACTGATTTGGATTTCTCTGAAAGTTTTAAACGAAACTGTGCAGAACTGGAAGCACTCCGCCTCTAGGTTTATAGCTTTTTTAATGAATAGGCTTTTTATAGTCATAAAACAAATACCAGTCTCCTCAACTCCGATGATTTTATTTTTCTTCATTCCGATAGCTAAGTACAAAGAAAAATATTTTTTAGCAACTACTGATTTATTCAGTCTAATGGTCGAGGTTTCTTGTTACGAACAGTTTAGACCAACAGACCATAAACATCTGCGCATGTTCGGCCGCCGTTGTCGCTCTCTCCACCGCCACGTAAATCTTCTCCGTACCACAGGCGCAGCTCGGTATTGGCGAAGATACAGTGGGGCTTCTTAGGAGCACAGAACACGAGGGCAGAAGACGAGGAGGTGTAACCTCCCAGGTTGTACCATCCTCCACCATTGGTAACAGCTGGGGCCAATAACTTGTTTTGATGATTCGTTAACACGACACTTAGACTTGGGTGATTAGAAGCACATCCCCAGTAGCTGTATTGTTTTTTATTACACGAAACTGATCCTGTACGATGCACAAGCATGAACGAGCTGACAAAGATGTTCCGAGGGTAGGTAAAACGACCATACTGGTTACTCCGAGCCCCGAAACAGACTGGACTCTTGTTAAGCTTCACCCAACGAGGACAGGTATTCGCTGAAGCTTCGTCGATGAACAGGGCGGCTAACAAAACAACCACAACGAACTTGAAAAACATGGTCATTTGTTTTTGATCTGAAGGAATCAAAATAAAAATACATTAAGACATAAACAATAAAAACGTGCTTTTGGATGAAGCCGGAATCGATCCCAATCAATCGCAGCGAAGAAAATCTAGGGCATGTTACTCTTTAAGAATTCTATGTTTACGGCGCGCTCAGTTTTTAATTTAATCATCTTTGTGATCGATTTCTTTTGTCCCAAGTCCTTGTTCCAGTCCATAAAGTTATTGATCAAGAGGACTTCATGAATTACTTACAATGGCTCACCTTTTGAAAATGAGTGTTCAGTCCAACACTGGGTGCTTTTCTCCGATCGACGTTTTCTTGTTGAAGACAAACGGGAATATAGAACTCATGGATGAGTTGATACCCTTTATTGACATCGGTTTCTGTGCATTGCATTAAAGGTAACCAACTCGAATTTTCTCGTCCGAAAGGGAAGTCTGTAAGTTGTCGTCAAAGCGCACATAGAATTGACAGGAAAACTATTTGATTTTGATTTTATTGTTAATATTTCTTCCGCCTTTATTTTCTGACATATCAAGGAACTGCTCTGATGGATATTGAGTTCACGTAAGTATGTTTGTTACTAGTAGTCAAATTGTAATCCTGCATGAACCAGGCTAACCGTCTCATAAATTAGATAGCGGTATATGTACGTTGATACTAGAAATCATAAACTAAATATTACTCCTCATTGTTTGCTTTATTTGAACATGCCAATGCAAAATGAATTCAGGATACTCCTACGTTTCTGTCACTTTGAACAAACTGACGCGCTCGCTCTACTATGAAACAACACCAACATGTCTGAACACAAAAGTGTTGTAGAAGGTCACTTTAAAAACACCTTTTCAGAATGTTCTTTGAAAAACACCCAAAGATCTCAGTGGGAACCAGTTTTTTCCTTTGGGTTGGACGAGCATCATAAAGGATAACGTTTCTATTCCCAGAATAATTAACAAATCAGTTATGTCAGCCGGAATTATTAGGGTTCGTAGCCAGTCCTGTCGGCATTGTCCTGATTCGCGATCGCTTCATACTTGTCCCGGCGAAGATGAGCATAAGGCCTCATTTATAATAACCGATACAGCTTTAACCGTAATAACTTTGAACTCATTTGGATATCAATATTGGTTTTGTTGACAAGATATTTACGGTTCTTTCGGTTCCTCGCTTCATTAATATATTGTCACGATGTACAATTTCCTTCGTAAACTAGGATCCCTAATTGCTCCTTGATCTGCTTTTTATCTTTTTTATTTTATCGGAGTAAACAGGACGATGTTTTGAGGCGTAGACTCACGGTGGCATAGGGTAACAGCCGATTCAACATGCGTTCCATGGTGTTTTAAAGGAATATTCGGATAGTGCAATGTTGAACAAATTATTGACTGAGTGGTTTGCCCTAACAGTCTTGTTTAAGATTTGAACTCGGAAGGGGTATATTCAATTTCAGTGAGCAAGCGTATCTTAAACAAGAGGGATGTGTGGTCTAGTGACTCGGGTTCTAACAACCCGTTTTCCGAGTTTGTAGAAGAAAGGTCAATTATTTAGTAAAGGTGTGCTGAAAAAGTTTGGGGAAAACTTGAGAACGAAACGAAACCTCCGTAATCTCGTGCGCAATAACTTAACTTAAACTTCAAGCCGCCGTTATTTTTTTCATCAAAATATTCACGCATTCTGAAAAAATGATATCAATTACCGGCTAAATGTCTAAAATTGCCGTTATTCAATGAATTTCAACGCTGTGATATTAGAAGGTATTATATTTTTGTATTTTCTACCTAAAGCTTCTGCCTTTTTTTTAATTTCGAACTTGTGTTCTTCGTTTACCTAATAACCTCGGTTAACAAAATGGAATTAACTCGAAAGCGACAATCACTCGCTTAGTTTTGAATAACACCAATTTTGGTGGCATGACAATGATTTAATTATCGTAATGAGTGGAACTTTACTGTATTACTCTAAGGGTCTACAAGTGTTGGGTTTTGAGGCAATGAATGTTGATTTCAACGATGTGGAAATTAGAATGACCTCTTAAAGTTTCTACGATTACGATGTTTTTCATTTGTGGTACGTATGTAACCAAGAGGTGAAAAAGTTTTTCGGCTGTTTGCGTTGAAAACTAACAGAAATCTTTTTCATGTGATTTCGGCCATCTTGTCTTCGCACCCACAACATCAATAACGTGACACGTACTCTTTCTTGGCACCATTTCGATGTACGTGTCATAAAAATATGCGTTATTGACCAAACGTGAGGTCACCGAGACGAAGTCACAGAAACGGAAAAAAAAAGAACGAGGCTCATATCCAGCCAACTAGACCGAACAAGAATGGTCAATAAAGAAATTATTGTACAGCAGAAATATCTCTTTATAAAAATCAAGAATATCTTGTCTATTTCGAGAGCCGGGAAAGTAAGCCAACTATGTTTGTAGCACAGTAAACCCATTAGAGTCGTTTATGTTTTCTTTGTTTTGACTGTCTTATGCCGCTTTTTGCGGCTCCATCGCCCACATTGTCCTTGAAGAGCAATATGCTCAAAAACTATCTGTGAAAAGAAACGTTAAAAATTTATTCGAGCGCCGCGCAAATTTCGACAAATTTATGGTTTACTTCACCTTAAAATAAACTACACGTTCCTCATCACACTTAATTCTGAGCATATCGTTTTTCAAAAGAGAAATTGTTCGCTCTGGCCAAGTTTGGGATGACGTTAAAAGCGATTATAAAGAAAAAACGTCAAAAACAGATGGTAAATTTCCTCTCCTTAGTGACAAACTCGGTGTAAATTGCGGGCTCAGACACAACAAACCACCCTCTTTTAATCCACCAAATCAATACAAAGCACAGAAGGTATACCAACTTCTATTTTGTTCGAGAATAAATTTCAGCGCAATTACTTTACCACCCAAAATAGCAATTTTTCAACTTTCAATGCTTTGGTGAGTACACTCTGTGGTGAGTGTTGATTGCATTTTTAGAGAAATAGTATCACACCTTTTAATATTTGTGACTTAAAAATAATAATAAAAAAAGAGAATTTACCATAGTAAATAAGTAATCTATGATCACCAAATCACCAAAGGTTTTTTCTGTTGGTTGATAATCGATTATGTGTTCAGCCAATTAAGTAGCAAACCTGCTCTTTTTCACCTTTACACTCAAAAATCGAAATCCACACCCTCCATACTCCTCTCTATACATTTCCTATAGTGCTGACAAGGAGAATTTGTTTAACAATCAAAGCTCCTTATGTTAGTAATCATTCCCATCATTCTCATGAACTTGGAGGAATAATTCAGCAGTATTATTGTAAGGAGAAATTAGATGCTAGTCACCCTTAGGGGTTAATAGGTAAATGCTTTTTATGAGAGAAATACTCTGGACTGAGCTCTGTTTATTTTTTAAAGCTGGCATCTGTTCATTCTAAAGTCAACTGGCCCGAGTAAGATACTTCAACTTGTAGTTCTGCTGTGTCCTTTACATGTAACTTCTGGTACTCTGTCCATAAAAATCTGTCCTCAAATCTGTGCAAATTCACATGAAAGCCAAAGGCATCATTTTCCCTATTAAATACTGAAGGTCTCTTTAGTGTGTTCACTTTCTAACGATCAATTACATTTCCGTTGGATAGCTTCTTTACTCACGACTTTCCAATATTCCCCCCTGCTTCCCCACTTGTTTGTTTTGCTGCCATGGCAACTTTTTCTGCCATCTCTGCTGTCCGCTGTTTAACATACTCCTCATCCTCAGGACGGATTTTCAAAAATTTTCCTTTCTGTTTCTGTACCCATTCACGTATCTAAAAAACGAAAAACTCGAGAGTTATATGTACATGTCAACTTGTAAGCACACAGCTGTGATGTGGAGATTAACATTGGTGAGTTTAAGCGGAACATATCTACCAGCAGATTGCAGGAAAAAAAGAGGATTCTAGTTCTACCAGGTTTCCATATCAATGCTGCATAAAAATAGAAAAAATCTCTTATTTACAGTTTATGCAAATATTTCAATTTTGGATTAAAAAATGCTTCAGTAGACAGCAAGATGCTCACTTTAGCCCTTTGATGTTTGTCATATATGTGATACTTAAGCTCCCTACTAGCTCAAGGAAATGAATGATGTAGCTTTGGAGAGGGAGAGGGGATCTTAGGGGTTTGATGTTCCACTTCTTGGTATGATATAAGAATACTGGTAATTACTTAACTTTTTTATTTCTTTTTTTTTTCAACAGTGAACATCATAACATGTCCTTAACTTCTGGTGAAAAGCTGGTGTAGGTCTCCTTATTGAAAAATCTTTTATCTGACATGGTTTGACACTACTCTGGTTTAAAGATTTGATGAAAGTAACCTAGAAGTTACAATTCATAGACTTCCCAATGTTGATTCAGTTACAAATTCTCAGAACTAAAATCATAGAGATCTATGAATTGTACTAGCTTGAATGATGGTTACATTCATTTACGACTACTTGGTAACTTTTAAGTTTTTTTGTAACAGTGAACATCATAAGATGTCCTTAACTTCTGATGGAAAGCTAGTGTACCATATCTGATTGTTCACCTGATTGCCTTGTGAACTTTAATATATCAAATCCTTTATCTGTTCTTATGTTGTTTTTATCATCATCATCATCACTCCATTTTCTTATCATTGTAGAATAGGCCTACAGTTGTTTTTCTTTCAAATAAGTAAGATGAAGATGTTTTTTCTTTCTCTATTTCTTTACAGAGCTTGAAACTTGCAATCTTTCCTACTCTGTTTAGATAATTATAAGTTGCAAAACATGAACTTACTGGAACAAAGCAATGATCTCCTTCATACTCGGGTATAAATACACAATACAAGCCAGCTCCTGATAGGATGAAAATAAAAAATTACAATTACCACTAAATGCATCACAAAGCTCTAGATCGTTCAGGTTAAAAATGTTCTCTTTTTAACCCTTGGATCCCTAAGAGTGACTAGCATCTAATTTCTCCTTACAATATCACCCCTGAATTAAACAATAGCTCACAAGAATAGAGAAAATGATCACTAACAAGTGCCCTAGGAAATGTATAGAGAACATTATGGAGAATATACATATTGATGTAATGGGTTGTAAAGGTAAGGTTAAGAGCTAATGAAATTGTATCTAATGGGGGGGTGGGGGGTAGATTTGTATAATATTAAGTAAAACTGGTAGGGATTGAAATACCAGTGCCTCATGAATTTTCTTACTATCAGTGAGAAGCCAAACAGGCCGTTAGATAGAAGGGAAGTTTTACTGTGCTACACAAGGTTACGAAAGAGGGAGAAAATTTCCAGGTTTTAGATCTCGAGCTCCAGGGCCCAACATGCCTAGTTCTTTCTTTTGACCTATTATGGAACCACACACAAATGCTCCCTCCTATGATAGACATCCTTGTCATAGTTCCTCCGTTTACAGTCATATGTTTTGAAAACTCATGAAATTATTGGGTAAAATTTCCGCACAGCCCCATACTACATTATGCATTCAGTTCTTGGATAGAGAAAACAATGACAAAAACAATACATTGCCACTGGGAAAACAGATTTGTTTTACAATAGTATGGGGCTGTGTGGAAATTTTATCAATTATTGTTTTGATTCATGTGGTTTCTTCAAGTAAAAAACAAGCGCGATTCCTAACCTCCTCGTCGAAACACAAACTTCTTTAAATACTCACCTAGGGTAGCCAAGTAAGTAAATATTTTGAAGGCTCGTTGACTATTTGGGAATATTAGCGGCTTCATGAGTTCGCTTCTGTTTGGAACTCCCGGAATTTCTGGGAATGATCTCTCCTTTCTGATCCGGGTAATTTTTTCTGCCATTTTGTCCGCCATTTTGTCCGCCATCTTGAATCATGTTGACCTCTCTCTCAATCTCGAGCCCAGGGTCATTTTGGCACCTTGTCAGCGGTAAGATCATGGTCAGCTCAAGTTTGTCACCCCAATACATATTATGTATTATTTTACATTCATATAATGTCCTATACTTTACGTATAATATCCTACACACACATATAACCATACACAGCTATATAGCGCAATACAGACAGCTATAAACAGCTATACAGGGCTATAAACAGCTGTACTACACACAGTTAAACAGAGTTATAAAGGGGGTAAGTTTCTAAAGAAACTGTGGCGCTGCGTCGATGGGAGAGTATAGCAGGTAATTCACTCTGACGAGGGGCTAACGCTCGAAACGTCAGCTTTTTTACTCTTTACGGTGGCCAATTTACGTTTTCAACTCAGTTGTTAACATTAAATTACCTGCTAAACAGAGCTATACACAGCTATACAGGGCCATACAAATCTATACAGCGATACAGAGATATACACAGCTATACAGGGCTATACACAGCTATACAGGGATACACAACTATACAGGGTAATAAACAGCTTTACAGTGCAATAAGTATAGAAAATCGTATGAACGCGAGTGCATTTCGGGATTTATGGGCACGAGTGATGTTTTGAAAGTTCTCAAAATTGCACGAGCCGTAGGCGAGTGCAATTTGAGAACTTTCAAAACATCACGAGTGACCATAAATCACGAAATGCACGAGCAGGTTCATACGATTTTTTATTTATTAAATTCTCGACAAAATTACTCCAACATTTTATCGAGTTGTTCGTGCTCGTATTCTTCCATTTTTGGGTTTACTTTTCGTTGAGTCGCCCATGTTTGCCAGACATTTAACCAGGTCTGTGTAGCTTTCAACGTGTTTTTGTTTTTCGCATTTTCTTTAAGTTGCTCAACGTTGTTTTGGTTTGACAAAGCAAACCGGCTGTCAGCCATTTTTTTATAATTTGGTGTTCAAATTTGGCGCTTCCCCGGTGTTTCCATGGCAACTTCTCCGTATTGCACTCTATAACCTCTATTGCACTCTATAACCTCTATTGCACTCTATAACCTACTTATGCATTCATCATTGACCAATCAGAAACGCAATATTTTGTTGAGTATATAATAAACAGCTTTACAGGGCTATATACAGCTAAACAGAGCTTAACACAGCCCTACAAGGCTATACACAGCCATACAGGGCTATACACAGCTATATGCGGCAGTAAAGGGCTATATACAGCTATAAAGGGCTAGCTATACACCCCTATACATGGCTATAATAGCCATACAGAGCTATATAAAGCTGTACAAAGCTATACGCAGTTAAGCAGAGCTATACAGGACTATACATAGCTATACAGGGCTATACACAGCTATATAAAGCTATAAGCAGCTAAATAAGGCTATGCACACCTATACAGGGCTATGCAGGGCTATACACAGCTAAACGGAACTTTATACAGCTATACAGAGATATACATAACTATACAGAGCAATGCGCAGCTATACAGGGCTATACACAGCTAGAAAGAGCTAAACACAGCTATACAAGGCTATACAAAGCTATACAGGGCTATAATAGCGATACAGAGCTATATAAAGCTGTACAAAGCTATACGCAGTTAAACAGAGCTATATAAAGCTGTACAAAGCTATACGCAGTTAAACAGAGCTATACAGGACTATACAGGACTATACATAGCTATACAGGGCTATACACAGCTATATAAAGCTATACGCAGCTAAATAGAACTATGCACACCTATACAGGGCTATACACAGCTATACAGAGATACACACAGCTATACACAGCTATACCGGGCTATATACACCTAAACGGAACTTTATACAGCTATACAGAGATATACATAACTATACAGAGTAATGCGCAGCTATAGAGTGCTATACACAGCTAGCAAGAGCTAAGCACAGCTATACAAGGCTATACAAAGCTATACAGGGCCATACCCAGCTATACACGGCTGTACAGGGCTATACCCAGCTATAAACGGCTGTACAGAGCTATACACAGCTATACAGGGTTATACACAGCAATGCAGGACTACACATAGCTATACAGTGCCATGCACAGCTATACAGGGCTATACACAGCTATACAGAGCTATACGCAGCTATACAAGGCTATACACAGCTACACAGGGCTATACCCAACTAGACATGGCTGTACAGGGATATGCACAGCTATACAGGGCTATACATAGTTATACAGGGCTATACACAGCAATGCAAAGCTGTACACGGATATACAGAGCTATACACACCTGAACAGGGCTATAAAGGGCTCTACACACCTATACAGAGCTGTACACAGCTATAAAGAGATATACCCAGCAATACATGGCTGTACAGGGATATACACAGCTATACAGGGCTATATAGCTATTTATTATATACTCAACAAAATATTGCGTTTCTGATTGGTCAATGAGGAATGCATAAGTAGGTTATAGAGTGCAATAGAGGTTATAGAGTGCAATACGGAGAAGTTGCCATGGAAATACCGGGGAAGCGCCAAATTTGAACACCAAATTATAAAAAAATGGCTGACAGCCGGTTTGCTTTGTCAAACCAAAACATCGTTGAGCAACTTAAAGAAAATGCGAAAAACAAAAACACGTTGAAAGCTACACAGACCTGGTTAAATGTCTGGCAAACATGGGCGACTCAACGAAAAGTAAACCCAAAAATGGAAGAATACGAGCACGAACAACTCGATAAAATGTTGGAGTAATTTTGTCGAGAATTTAATAAATAAAAAATCGTATGAACCTGCTCGTGCATTTCGTGATTTATGGTCACTCGTGATGTTTTGAAAGTTCTCAAATTGCACTCGCCTACGGCTCGTGCAATTTTGAGAACTTTCAAAACATCACTCGTGCCCATAAATCACGAAATGCACTCGCGTTCATACGATTTCCTATACGTATAGTTATACAGAGCTAAACACAGCAATACAAGGCTATACACACCTTTACAGGGCTATACATAACTATACAGGGATATATGCAGCTATACAGAACTATATGCACCTAAACAGAGCTATGCACACCAATAATTTCTGCAGGCTTTGAATTGAAATAGCGTTACTTTTAATAATTTTATTGTTACACGTTACTCAAGGATCAGTTTTTCATCATGATGAGTATAAAAATGCCATAAAATGGATTTTCTTAAAATTTATTGAATTCTTATTCCGGAATAGGCTGTAAATACCACTTAAGTGCTCAAGTGATTGTAGAAAACCTGCAGAGCTAAACGAAAAATGTTATTCAATACTTAGTTGTTAATTCAAACGTCAGCAATTGAAGCACAATAGTTTTCTGAATTTCTCGTATATCAGTGATAGTTCTGCATTCCCTCATTGACGGCATTCTCTCTTTTACTTGTTTTAAAAGTGTGTTATCAAAGAAATAAACACGTAAAAAAGGCAATTTATGTATAGTTGTGTACAGTTCTGTATAGCTCTTTATAGCTGTGTATAGCCTTACATGGCCTTGTATAGCTGTGTATAGCTGTGTATAGCTGTTCATAGCCCTGTATAGCTGTTTATGGCTCTTTATTGCGCTGTATAGCTGTGTATGGCTGTATCTAGTCTTGTTTTGCACTACATATGTGTGTAGGATATTATATGTAAAGTATAGGACATTATATGCATGTAAAGTATAGGACATAATAATTCCTCATACATGACCTACTTACTTATTTTCCCGCCAAATTGGAACATTATTCTGTGAGTTCATCATTCGAAACGTTTGGTACGAGGTGAGTAGGTTTGATAATTTGATGATTTGATCATTTTCGCTGTAGAGAGCCCAAAAAATGCTCGAGAGAAGTTCAATGACAAGATCGGAAATTAATTTAATGTTTTAAAATATTATGCTGTTGTCGGGGGTTTCGATAACTTCGATAAGCAATGCCGATGGTGAAGTATCTCGGCGGCTGTGCACATAAAACCCAAACACGAGAGCTTTCTTGCAAAGGTCTTACAGGCGGCAGTATAGACAGCCAGTAACCGGCTTCTTATGAAAACCCCGGCTGTCGAACAATTGGAGTTCTGTGAAAGGGACAAAGGACGTAAAACGAACGCGCTCGCTAAAAGCAGATCTGTAGCCATTCTTCTGACATCAATAATTCAGCACTTAGCATATATCGTTTTTATTACTGGAATCTCTTGCATGGCTAAATGTATCTGCTGATTTATCCTGCACGCTCGATTCTAACTTCAATAAGACACGCGGTTGTTTTGACCGAACGCACAATGTCACTCGCATGGTTTCAATAAATTATTTTTGCACTTGATACGCGCGCTTTGCTTCTGGATAATTGTGATAAGCTATCTCGTATTTTTTCATGTATATCATTAATACGTAATGACATGATTTTTCACGTGCAATTTGGAATGAATAACTACAAATTGCACTCGCTCTACGGGCTCGTACAACTTTGTTAGTCTTCGAAAAATTTTACTCGCGCTTATTTATTCCAAATTGCATTCGAAATCATGTGATTACCTCTACAAAGTACATGTACTAAAAATAATCAAAAAATTTGTGTCTTATAACAAATGTATTCAGACATATGATGCAAGAGCTCAGTCAATGGAGCATTCCATTGCATTGCTAAATAAAAGGACTGCAAGCAGATTTCCACTAAGAAGTATAAATGGGTACTGAATAACTGTTTGAACATTTTATGGTATGCTGGGAGGCCTGGGGAAGCATTGCTTGAGAAGCCTTGTTTTCCCTTCGGGTGGATGAAAATCTCTGAAATATACTTCACCCCTAACACCCTAACATCGGTATGCATACTCTCCGTACTATTTTCTGTATATTTCCTGAGATGCTGACAAGAAGAATTTGTTCAACAATCAAGAGCTTCTTTATATGGTGATCATTTCCTTTATTCTCAAGACCTTAAAAGTGTTTGCTTTGGGGGTGACATTGTAAGGGGAAAAAGGACAGTAGTCACTCTTAAAGGTTAAAGAGTTCAAGCTGGGAAAAAAGGGTACAAATTAAGCAGATTGACACATTTCACTCACAGTCAGACTTGTCTCTCTACAAGGCTTTTAATACAACTGCATCAGGATGTTGTCAGGCACCGATACATGTATGAATAATGACAATGCTGAAACTTGCATACCGAAGAAAGAACCTATGAAGACACAAAAACATGATGAAATGCAGTACCTGGAGTTAATTCAACACATCATTGATCATGGGTCAAAGAAAGATGACAGAACAGGTGAGATGGAAGATCAAAAATATACAGCGCCATACTGTTTACTAGTCAAAGAATTTTTAACATGCTTTAGAGCATGCATGATCATCACCTTTGAACAATAACAAAATATTGTTGGAACAATAAAAGTAAATTTTTCAAAGTGAAATTACTTCTGCAAGGAAAAGAATAGGCTTGAAAATCTTAAGTGGTGATAGATCAAGAAATCTGACCTTTTAGAAGCTTGTTGGCCTGCACATCACAAGGTAAAAAACATTCCTACCAAAATTATCTCAGCTTTTGGTGATTGAGAGTTAACATTTTACTCAAGCAATTTGTGAATACAAAACTACAGTCAACAAGTGTATAGTGAGTAATTTGTTCTAAATTACCAGTATCCATAACCACTCACAGGTACAGGAACCCTCTCCATTTTTGGAGCCCAGATGAGATTTAGTCTACGTAACAATGTATTTCCTCTTCTAACAACAAAGAAAGTGTTTTGGCGTGGAGTCGCCGAGGAGCTTCTTTGGTTTGTCAGTGGTTGTACAAATGCAAATGAGTTGAGCAGGAAGGGAATTCATATCTGGGATGCAAATGGCTCAAGGGAATTTCTTGACAAACAAGGTAATTTCAAATTGAAAATAGAACAAATTTGTTTCATTTAATTACCAGCAAATAGCTGTTGGTGTAAGATGGTAAAGTTTCACTTTTACAACATAATATAATAAAGACCAAACTTTCATTTTTTGAAATTTAGTAATTGTGAATAATAAATAATTTTAATACTTATATAGTGCAATATACATATGGATATGATCTTATGCCCTTTAAAACAACTGAAATAAAATAAGTAAACCGAACAATTAAAACACTGAACATAACTTTGTATCTGGAGATACAAAATATCACTCACAGGTACAGGAACCCACTCCATTTTTGGGGTCCAGATGAGATTTAGTCTATGCAACAATGTATTTCACCTTCTAACAACAAAGTGAGTATTTTGGCAGGGAATTGCCGATGAGCTTCTTTGGTTTGTCAGTGGTTGTACAAATGCAAATGAGTTGTGCAAGAAGGGAATTCGTATCTGGGATGCAAATGACTCAAGGAAATTTCTTGACAAACAAGGTAATTTCGACATGAAAATGGAACAAGTTTGTTTCATTTACCAGCAAATAGCTGTCAGTGTAAGATGGCAGAGTTTCACTTTTACAACATAATACAAAAAAGGCCACACTTTCATTTTTTGAAATTTAATAATTGTGAATAACAATAATTACTTCTATAGCACAATATACATCTTAGTGTAAGATGGTAAAGTTTCACTTTTACAACATAAAACAAAAAAGGCCACACTTTCATTTTTTGAAATTTAATAATTGTGAATAACAATAATTTTAATACTTCTATAGCACAATATACATCTTGATATGATCTAATGCCCTTTAAAACAACTGAAATAAAATAAATAAAAAACTTAACATAAATTTATATCTGCAGATCTCACCATCATTGAAATTACTATCTCGGTAACCAGTCAACTCGCCGACGGACCAACTCGCTGACGCCAACTCGCCGACGTATAAAATCGAGTAGAGACGTCGGCGAGTTGGTCGTCAATCCAATACAACTTATTAGAAGTTAAACATACAGAGAAGTAAACGATATTTAGTAAAAAAACACTGGCGAACATTGGTGAACATCAAACAGAAGCTTAAACATCGGTGAACATTGGTGAACATCACCAATGACTATAACAGCTTAAGACGCGAACGAGTTATTGTGCGACAACAACACCGTAAAGACTCATCATGTCAATCGCTCAGATTTTTTAACGAAAACTTGGCTTTCTAGACGAGATCTTTAGTAAAATGCAATTATTTTTATTTGCAACAAAGTTTATAAGGATCTTAAGGCGAATAAAGCGAAGTAACCTCACCAACGACTCTAACAGCTTCAGACGCGAACGAGATAATTTATTGTGTGACAACAACACCGTTAAGACTCATCATGTCAATCGCTCAGTTTTTTTAACGAAAACTTGGCTTTCTAGACAAGATCTTTAGTAAAAAGCAATTCTTTTTATTTGCAACAAAGTTTATAAGGATCTTAAGGCGAATAAAGCGAAGTAAACATCACTAACGACTCTAACAGCTTCAGACGCAAACGAGTTATTGTGTGACAACAACACCGTAAAGACTCATCATGTCAATCGCTCAGATTTTTTAACGAAAACTTGGCTTTCTAGACGAGATCTTTTGTAAAATGCAATCGAAAGTGACGGTTTTCTGTGGAGAGCCTCGAGGCGATTAAAGACCTTGTTTTCTGGCGCACAGCTGTTTTCAAACGAGGCCAGAAAGCCAAGTTTTCGTTAAAAAATCTGACCGATTGTCATGATGAGTCTTTACAGTGTTGTTGTCATACAATAACTCGTTCGTGTTTGAAGCTGTTAGAGTCATTGGTGATGTTTACTTTACTTTATTCGCCTTGAGACCCTTATAAACTTCGTTGCAAATAAAAATAATTGCTTTTTACTAAAGATCTTGTCTAGAAAGCCAAGTTTCCTTTAAAAATCTGACCGATTGACATGCTGTCAGTGTAAGATAGCTAAATTTCACTTTGCATCATAATACAATGAAGACCACACTTTCATTTTTTCCATCCCACAATCTGGGATGGAAAAATGTGGTCATGATAATTATTATAAGGTTATTGCATGACTTAAAAGTGATGAATAATTATGTGACTTTTCCCAATAATATTCACACATTATTTGGCAAACAGGTGATGAAAATACTTATCAGGTAGAAGCTGTTATCTTGATCCAACATCAAATTCTTGTAACAAATTTGCAATGGAATGTGTAGCTGCTAGAGGAGAGAATGAACAATCAGATCTTTGGGGTTAAAAGGGTAAACAGGTTGGGTATTATGATGGGGCTTGGCCCATTTTTCAAACCAAACATCCAGGTTTATGATCTTTTTACTTTTTAGGTTTGCAACACAGAGAAGTTGGTGACCTTGGTCCAGTGTATGGATTTCAGTGGCGTCATTTTGGTGCCACCTATGATAACATGCATACAAACTATGATGGCCAAGGAGTGGATCAGTTGGCTGATGTGATTGACAAGATAAAAAATAACCCTGACAACAGGCGGATTATAATGTCAGCCTGGAATCCTGTTGGTAATAAAAACAGAACAGTGTTATTTATACGTACCTGTGTATTGATAATCAATCAGAATTTAACTCCAATCAGCTTTTTCGGGGAGTGGGGGAAGGGATGAAATTTTAGGGTTTGAGGGCTATAATTTTGATGAATTATTAATAAAAGACAAAGAAAAAAATGAATTTATTTATAAATTGATCTAAATGATACTTTCGATTGTTTTAAGACTCATTTCAAACCAGTCATGACTCCCTTAACAGAAAATCTGCTTTGTCTTCTGGTAAAATCTCTTGAAAAAAGAAATAATTATGTTTGAGACAATTTCAACCTCCCGTAACTTAAAATTTAAATAATACTGTGGATTATTCAGCTTATGTGCTCTTTAGAAAAATGATAATTATTTGTAAATGGTTCTCCTTCAATCAACAGATTTACCTAACATGGCTCTTCCGCCATGTCACTCATTTGTCCAGTTCTATGTCTGTAATGGAGAACTTTCCTGTCAGCTTTATCAAAGATCTGGGGACATGGTATGTAATCTGCAAGGAATAGTTGAGAAGATCACAATTACTTTGTTGTGGTCCTGTCTTTGTGTAAAATTTTCATCAAGATCTATCAAACTCGGAGAGAGGAGATTGAACCAGAGTGCCTTACCTGGCACTTTTGCAGAATAGACTCACTACTAAATAAAATGTTGAATTGAATGATTAGTGATCAAACCTAATTCTTAATTTAGAGCTATGTGTAGATGTTCAGAGTATCAAAAGACACTTTGGGAAAGGTAGAAACAATCTTATATTGCATAATGGATTTTTTTCATTTCCAGGGTCTTGGAGTACCTTTTAATATTGCTAGCTATTCACTGCTGACCTACATGATTGCCCATGTCTGTGGTTTGAAGGTGAGATCCTTATCTTTTCAATGCATTTTGTTGATAAATATTGTAATTTTTTGTCACTAAGTATGTGTTGTACATGTGGCCTGTGACATGACAAAGGGACTCTCTCCAGCTTTCAAGCACAGACAACTTGGTAAACCTAGAATCAAACATCTTGACCATCAACTGATTTTATTTTTCGGCCTCACTGAATAAATTTTACCATCAATGTTTCTCTCTAGCCTGGTGACTTTGTGCACACGCTGGGAGATGCACATGTGTACCTGAATCACATTGAAGCTTTGAAGAAACAGGTGAGAACATTTACACAAAAGGGGAAGAAATGTTGTATGGTGTTTGACAAATAAAAAACATAACTCAGTGAAAACTTGATCTCAGTCTCCATTGCCTCAAATACGATTGTCACCCTATCTGTAAAGGAAATTTACAGACACGTTTGTTTCATCTGATATTTTACCACATGAAATATTTTGTTTCCACAGCTTAAAAGGGAGCCTCGCCCATTTCCAACCTTAGAGATTGCACATGATGTCCCAGATATTGACAGCTTCTCGCTTGATAAATTTAAGATCACTGGATATGACCCACACCCAACTATCAAAATGCAAATGGCTGTCTAAAGTTCAATGCACTTGTGAATACATTACTCTTTAAATTAATCTTAATTGGACCATGTTTTTGTTAAAAGAATACTGCATTATACATGATTGTTAAAGCCCTCAAGGTTTCAAGCTAAACTTCTTCATTCACAAAATTAGAGAATGGTCCTTGAAAAAAAAAAAAACGAAAAGGAAAAGAAAAGGAAGAAGGACATTTTGTCAAATATTGCAAACTATTTCAAGCAAGAACTGATCTTATTTGATACTTAAAATCATACACTGAAAAATGAAAATGTTACAATTTTGCGAACAAGTATTTTTCTAGAATAGAGTGTACACTTTCCTATTTCTGCACAGTTGGTATTAAAAGTGATCTCTTTTTTTTACTGTCTTGAGCATGGGGTCATTTCCCAAACTGTGGCTGATTTCAAGCCAAGAGGCATAATTAAGTCTAATACAGGAATGCCGTATCTAGAGGCCACACCCTTGCCTTTTTGTAAACTACTTTTGATCAACAAGGTACATGCTGATCCTATTAATATTTCTGATGAGGATTAATACTATGAACATTGAAGTTTCCTATCATACTGTTCAGCCAGAGAATTATGGGAAAATTTGGGTGAGCTACAGGCAAATACTTTGGTCCTAATGCATACATGTAGGTATTTTTAGTACAATGCCCAACGATGGGGTATAAATTCATTAAATTAAGCCCCAGAGTCTTAGCTAACGAGGTCCTTAGGTGCCTGAGGAAACTCCTTTCTCCCTCCCTTCTGAGAAAGGGTTATCATTTGTAATATCTAACTCTTATGCCATTAAAATGCTGAAGTTAGACCCTCATTAGACTTTTCCAGGTAGCAGAACTACACGATACAAAAATGACGAGACACACAAACTATTTAGGTCTTAATACATGATTAATGCATAAAATTCATGTTCTATGCAAGTTTGTGTACCAAGACGTTCTAAATACCAAATATTCCATAAGGGCTCTCTTTGGAGTTAACCATATGCTGAACAGCTAACACAATTTCAGCACCAAAAGCCAATCGCTCAAAATACTGGGAAAGAGAAATCAGCTAGTTATTCTGCTCTTTGCTTGACTTAAAAAATGATTTTCTTTTGTGTAATGAGAAAGTAATTGGGTGACAGCTATGTCAACGTGACAAACTGTAGCAATGTCACGCACTGCGTGACTGAGGAGAAAATTAAACGCAGAAGCCTGGGGGGAGTACGATGTTCGCCAGCCATTTTGAAAAAGTTTAGTCTTCACACGAGTCAAATATATAGTAAGATAGTAGCGTTCCTCTGATGACAATTTGCACATTTTACAGATCATCGGGCTTACTGACAGCCTAGAGGTTAGTCTACTTCGGCAGAATAATTATGTAGCAAATTTTGCTTTAAATCTTAGATCACAAATTGTTTAAGGGAATTTTGCAATGAAATTATGTAATTACGTAAGACAGTAAGCTCACTTTTATCTTCGGATGTGCGTCCGATATTTTTTGTTCGAAAATTGATGAGTTTGAACTCTTTTACCCTGTTTCCACTTTTGGGGAATGTGACGGGTTATAAGAAAAAACTATTTCCCCACCACCAAAAAAAAAACATTAGAAGCAAACAAAAAGAAAACAGGAAATAAAATATGCAAAGTGTCTTTTTATACCATTAAATCGAAGGCCAATCACTCAACAGAGGCCTTGTAAGTTAGGTTACACAGTTTCCACATTCTTAAATCCTCATAACAGGCCTGATTATCGCAGGGTGTCAAGACCAACGGTTACTAAATTATTATTTTCTCCAAGTATAATTTATTTTACCTCTTTCTCTTTCTCTGCTTCAACAATACCTTGTAAACCTTTAGTTCACGGTTTCCTTGAGTATATTCCAAGCACAAAGTCAACTGCCATTTGTTTCCTTTAAAAATGTCATATTGCCATGCAAATGCCTTTTGAATGACAAGGATTGCTGTTTTCATTTCAGGCTTCATAAACTGACCTTAGAAATGACAAATGCCAATAATTTGAGGTTTGCAGTTAAACATCTCTACAAGCAGGTCAGATAAATGTCCTACATGAAGTGTATCCACTAAAACCCAGTTGTAAGAAAGAGTTAAAAAAAAAACTTAGATAAACTGCCCTCAGGTTCAGGCCCCAAAACTGTTTTGCTTTTGACCTTAACCGTTTATCTCCCAGGAGTGATAGACATGTAACTTCTCCCCACAATATCCATACATTACCCAGCAAACAGGTTAGGAGAATACTCAGACCAGGTAGAGGTTGTTATCTTTATCTCAGACCAAATTCTTGTACCTAATTTGTAAGAAAATGAGTAGCAGCTAAATGTGAGAATTAAAATCAGATCTTAGGTGTTAAAAGGTTAATCTACTTGATGGTTATTTTTCTGGTGGAAAGTCCCAGCCAGGCTTAACCCTTTAAACCCAAAGAGTGATCAGCATTCAATTTCTCCCCACAATAGTAATGCTGAATCATTTATTGAGAGCACAAGAATAGAGATAATGATCACTAGCCTAAGAGGCTTTGATTGTTTAACATATTCTCCTTGTCAGTAGTTAAGAAAATGTATAGAGAACGGGGATCAATATCAGTATCTGGGCAACTGCCCACCTACCCCTAACCTAACTCAATATTAACCTCAACTTGTTGTCAATTGACTGTTGTTGAGTTAGGGGAGGGGTAGGTGAGCAGTTTCCCAGATACTGATATTGATCCAAGAACGGTATAGAGAACATGGATACTGCTTGTAGATAGAAACAGTAGAGATGGTAAGTTTTGTCCCACACTCGTCCAACGCTCGTGAAAAGACAAAAAAACATATTTCTTAATTCTTTACCAAGCTCAAAACTTACCATCTCTACAAAAAAGCTGAGGTCAATTCTTATGATGTTAGTTCAGAGAATTTGGTAATGGATCAACTAATAATCCCTAATTGATATTGTTTATTTTCAATACTTGTCTGCTTGATATTGTGTTAATTTTATATAGTATGGAGAAATTATGTCTCGGTCACTCATGGGAGTTCAAAGGTTAAGGTGTGGTGTCATTTTGCAGCAGAGAAGCTTTTTTGTGAAAGATTTACCCACTTTCTTTACACAGAACTAATGAGTCAAATACAACTCAATGCTTCATAGGAGAATATTTCACTTGTCTAGTTACTCACAGTATAGCTGGTTAGAGGTTGCTGATCTTTTTCTTTTCTTTACAGTTATTGTTTCTTGGAAGAGATTATCCAGCAGGAGAAAAGTATTTTAAATCCAAACTTAAACAAGCATTTATGAAAAACAGGGATGAAACAGACCCTGAGAAGATTAAGATGTTGATTGCCAGAGGAGAATATGTCATCAAAGAGGTTGAAGCTTTGTACATGTTACGAAAATACAGGACTTTAAAGCAACGATACTATGGAGACCAATAATGGCATAAAACATTGGCCATTAGAATTCTAAATCAAAATTTTCAGTGACAGATGCTCTTGCTTCAGGCTTAATGATTATGTAACTGCTTTGAGTGGTTATTTCAGTTGTACATAGTTTGAACTTCAGTTGTTCTAACTATACATGGCTGCAAAAATTTCTTAATATAATTTTGTATAAGGGTTTTAAGTCATGGCAACTTCTGCATCATCTAGTAAAGTAATTTTTTGGAATTCCTATTTTGTTGGTTTATGGAACAGTGTCACAGAGGTTTTTTTCAGAGAGAACTGCTAAGGAGTAGCAGTGAGTTGCTGATGAAAAAGAGGACTTTGTAACACTTTTGGAAAACATTTGTGTCTGAAGAGTTAAAAGTTGTCATTATGACATTTAAATGACAGATAAAGCTAACCACAAGGACAGTGTCAATTGTAAACCAGTTTTCATGTAGGCAGAGCATATATCCATGCCATAGGTATCAGCTGGTAGCTTAAAAAGGTTGGAGAAGTGATACACTGCTTCAGCATTGTGTGACATAAACAGGGTATGCATGTTACTCAATCCTTATATGTTCCTCTATCCCTAACTGGAGAATGTGAAACCATCTTATGACTCTTGCAATGTTGAACCACTGACTAACAGCTCTGCAACAAAAAGGCCTTTGAAAGGCTCAGATCACAGCTTAGATTTGACCTTTTGTCAGTGAGGATGGAAATGGTATTGAGTGATGCCCTTTTTCGCTGTTGGGAATACTGAGGCAGAATTAAAATGAGAAACTGGGATCATGATCAGGAAAATGGGATTTGTGCCAAGACCAGTTTTTAAATCACAGTTTGTGCACCTCAAAAATTGAGGCTTAAATTTTTGGAGTTCATCAATTGCAATCGCTTTTAGAACAGTTATCTAGTGAGTGTCCAAAGTGAGGGGGGTTTTAATTAACTTTCCTCTGTGATTGGTCCAGAAAACTCGCGCCATCTTCTCAACCAATCATGCAATTTTTTAATGGCGACTTGGTCATTCTCGTTTTCCCGCGCTTTAGGCAGTTTGCATGTTTTCACTCCTAGTTCTCATTGGCTAATTGGAATGGAAGTCTTTGCTCTGACGAAGAGTTAACGCTCGAAACTTAAGCTCTGAAACTCTTTACGGTGACCAATTTACATTATCAACCCAGTAGTACGACACAACTGCCTTTTGCTTTATTGGTAACTGCTCTATCTAATTTTTTTTAATCAAAGATTTTAATTAACAACACTACAAAATACAAACTAACATTGTTAACAAGAATGGCGTTTTTTACTATATTTATAATGTAAATATTACCTATGATAATGACATTGCCTTAAATACTAACCTTATGTACCATACTAACATCGCCTAAAGTTATTTGAGTTTCCCTTATATCAATCAGTTATACTAATTTGACCAATTTTTTTTTTTCACGCTTTTAAAAATTCCTCGTAAATGTTTGCACTAACCCACTTTTTCATCCACATAGACTAACACCACTAAATACCACTCAGATACTGAAGGCACAAAACAAAACTTATAACATCCGGAAAATATTGTTGAACCTGTGTTAAGCGGCACCGTACTAAGCGGTCTACCTGTAACAAGCGGTCAGTTGTCAAAGTCCTGATTTTTCCCCCTTCAGTTACCGTAGATTTTTTACCTCTGCTAAGTGGTCGCAGTGACCCTTGACTTAGTCCCAACGTCCTTAATCTCATGGCCTGACCTGTATTAAACGGTCACTTAAAGTGCAACCACCGTAGTAAAACTAAAAAAGTCCCAAGTAAAATTTATCAATGTTAGTACTGCATGAACAAATGTCCCTAGCGCATTACGCGTTAAACAGTCCATAGATTACTTTTTCATGCAGCCATTTACACGAAAGTTGTCGTTTTTTATCGCGTTTGACTGTTTCGTGGATCCTGTTTTAAGCGGTCATCCCGCCATTCCCCGTGGGTGACCGCTTAATAAAGGTTTGACTGTATGAAATAAGCCAGCAATTAATGAATACAATACTTCAATATGGCAGTCGCTCATGAAAAAAGTTATTGCAACCCCCGACTGCATGACCAACAAAATTTCGATTGATAATTAAATTCAAGTTCTGATTTCAATGAAAATTTCATTCACCTTCTCATTTTACACTCCATAAACCTAATTCCATGTAAACATCATTCATACCAAAATTTCCAGTCTTGTACATGGTTATATCGCAAATTTTTTGTTTTAAGGAAAACAGATGGGAAGTAAACAAGCACATCCAGACTTTTTCTAACCTCAGGTTCTCACGATCATTAAGTGCTATTATTATCATTAATAAATCTCTTTTGTCCGACCGATCATCCAATTTTTACGGATGAAAGGCAACGGAAAAATAAACCATTTTGGAAATGGCCCTAAGATCGGCGCACAAGAAGGGACTAGTCCCTATAACTATAGTCCTGGGAACCAAGTCCATTCGTGTGAACTATCCATTTTCATAAAAAATATGGTCGCAGGGACCAAATTAATCTGAATTCGTGGAACAAGTTCCCTGAACCAATCCCCCAAATTATCCAGGTCCCAGCGTGTGAACTGTTAGTGGGAGAAAGTCCCCGGTCACAAATAACAATAATCCAATCACTGAGTGGTATTTTAGTTCCCATAACCCCTTTCGAACTTAAATATATTTTGAATTTTATGCGACGTGGCCTGCAGAATAAATTTTCAATTTGGTCGTATTAAGGGCTCTGTCTGAAGAGCTGCTGTTTTCAGTTCTGGATCAGTTTAGTATACCGAATCCCAGGGGAAAAAAGAACGCTTTCGAAATTGTAAATGACTGACCAATTTTATAAATCGAGAGTATCTTGTTTAATTGACGTGAATATGTACTTCAGTGTTTTGCGGTTAAGTTAGTAAATTGATTCGGTTTCTCTGTTTGGGAGCGTTCCATTTCCGTCTCTACGCTTCCCTTAATTTCAGTGGAAGCGCTCTAAATTTTACTATTTTGACGTGTTACAGTTCCCGGCGTATAAACCCTTTAATAGGATCTTAATGGGGTGATGGTTTTTACGGCTAATGGTTAAAATATTGGCTATTTAACGGCTAACAATTAATTTCTTTCCGTTGCGATTAAAGGAAAACCTTTTTACGGTTACTAAAACTCCTATTACGACTACTGTCATTTTTTTCGCCCAACGGCTAAAGGTTAAACCCATGGAGACCCTCTTCAAGAAAGTTGTCCTCGCAACTGATCCCATCGTGAAAACCCTACAGAGGACAAGTCCTTGCATGAAACAAGTCCCTGCCACTCGTTCCCTTGTATCCTGAAGATTGCTTAGTCCAAAAGTAAGACATCGTTTTCTACTGACAATAAAAAATTTATAAATTTACCTAACACAACAGCAAGGAAAGTAAATGTAACAAATACGTATTGATAAAAAGCGGATATCCTAAAACTTTTTTTCGTTTTTTCGATCGGATGAATTTCACTGACGTCAAGACTTCTACGTTATTTTGGATTGTATATTGTGACTTAGATTAAGCTCCAGGTAATCAATCATTTGTAAACATTTTAAGTTGGTTGTTAAGAAAATAATCTTTAAGCGAAATATGTAAATGGCTAATAACTTTTTCTTATTTCGAGGACAAATTTGCATTCAAAGAGTACGTGTTAAGTAATTAAACCTAGCAAACCAAGTTGTGCATCTTAGATTCTGTTTCGAGGTAAGTCAATCTTGCTTTTTTTTTTTCCTCGAGGTAATTTTAAACACAATAATCCTAAAAGGCGAGCATTTTATAAGCTACTATTCCCATTCGACCAGCTCACCTGTCTCCCGAGAACATTAGCTTTTGTGTGACATCGTGAATCATTCTGTATAAAATGTTCCCTATTTTCCTACTTTTACCTCCAGAAAGCTACTAAGTGGTGGTTTTTACCTATAATGGTTGCCGCTGGGTTTTTTGTCATACTGTCCGCAATAAAAAATGTTCGCTACACTTTTATGATGTTCACAGTTCCTGGGAATTTTTCTTTAATTTCGAAATCTAACCGTCACGATTGCTTAATGGCTGTTAGGGTTGAGATTTCTGTTGGTTGTCGTTTTAGCCCTGATCATGATAGTGGATTTTCTACAGGTATTTCTCCGTTTTTCTCCCTTCTTGAAAGACAACACATACTAAAACAGTTCTACTTGACCACAACAGTGGCACAAGTTTTGTGCGATGAGTTCTTTAACGTCTTCAGTGTTACTCAGGCGAAAAAAAACTCCTTATCATATACCACTAACCGGACCAGATGCATGACCTAGATACTGCCAATATTCTTCAAAACTATGCATGACAAAGTGAGAGATACGCTGATTTGTTTCCTGCGTGTTGAAAAATGATTTGCACCCCTACACATTTAAAAAGTAAAAAGCCTTTAGACCTGTCCTTGTCATTCTCTGATCTCCACGAAGACCTATCGTTCCTTAATACTTGAGCATTGACTAATCTTGGTCAAAATGGTCTTCCTTTTAAAAATAAACTTTGGCAGTTTCAGATGCTATTTTCAAAAAGGTATTCTACTAAACGTTGAGTTTTTAAATCTTCCCCTTATCATCAAAATATTAATAATGGTTGATGAAAATCACGAAATTACGAGCTGATAGATTGTATTCTTGTGACCCGTAATAATTTTTCTGATCTACTCTCAATATAACGTGGTGCAAACCCGGAACATTTGGATTATCACACGGTTATCTTCCGTTGTCCGATTCATCATTTATGGGTACCACGCCACTTGAGTCTTACAGCCAATAACATCACGGAAGAAATGACCAATCAGGATTTAGAAACCGGACTTACAACATTCGATTGACAACAACCATTCACTTGACTCTGATGATGACTTCCGCTCAGGTTGTCGAAACGTCAGTCACCACTACTGACAACAGTCCTTCTTAGGGCTACACGGACGATCAAACTACAATATTACACCTTATTGATTTGTTGACACCTTATCCCTCTCATTCTCGCTGCAAGGACAGGAGCCTGAGAACGAGGTTCAAATGCTAAAGAATATTTTTCTCGTAGAATTCATCCACAATGAAGTCATCAGAACACAGATTTCAAACGCTATTCGAGCCATTCCGTATCAAATCAGTTGAGAAGATACAACGTACCACAAGAGCTCAGCGGGTTCAGCGTCTAGAAGAGGCGAATTTCAATCCCTTCATGTTGAACTCTGAAGACATCATTATCGATCTGTTGACAGATTCTGGTACGGGCGCCATGAGCTCTGACCAGTGGGCCGCTATCATGAAGGGTGACGAGTCTTACGCGGGCTCACCAAGCTACCGGAATTTTGAAACAGTAGTGAAAGAAATCTTTGGCTTCCGACACGTGATCCCTACGCACCAGGGCCGCGCTGCCGAGAGGATCTTATTCCAGTGTAGTCTCAAAGAGGGGGATGTCGTTCCAAACAACGCGCACTTTGATACAACTCAGGCCAACGTAGAAAAACGGGGAGCCAAAGCGATGAATTTGCCAGTTTCCGAAGCCTTGGATCCAGAGGTAAGTATTCCATTCGGTGGCGATATGGACATCAACAAACTGATAGAATTGCTGTCGAGTGGAATAAAAGATAAGGTTACATTGGTGATGACAACCGTAACTAACAATGCCACTGGTGGAATGCCCGTCAGTATGGAGAACATAAGAATGGTTTCCAAGATTTGCCGCTCTCGAGGAATCCCCTTCTTTCTTGACGCGTGCCGTTTTGCGGAAAATGCTTGGTTCATCAAAATGTTTGAGAAAGGGTATGCACATCGCTCGCCGCTTCAAATTGCACGCGAGATGTTTTCGCACGCCGATGGCTGTACCATGTCTGCCAAGAAAGATGGCCTCGTAAATATTGGAGGATTTCTAGCCATGAATGATGAGCAACTCGCTGACAAATGCCGCCGCGAGTTGATCATATCTGAGGGGTTTGTCACCTATGGCGGGTTGGCCGGAAGAGATCTCGAGGCGATGGCCGTTGGATTACGTGAGGGCCTAGAGGAAGACTATCTTCAATATCGAGTTGGATTTGTCAAAATGCTGGCAGATTTGCTGAGGGAATATCACATCCCTGTGTTAACCCCACCAGGTGGACATGCGGTCTACATCGACGCAGCAGCTATGTTGCCGCATATCCCCAGAGATCAATTCCCAGCTTGGGCTTTGGGCTGCGCATTATATGTTGAAGGTAAAATAACATTAGCTAATGACACATAAATTATTATTAGATGGAGAGCGGTGGCGCCTAAGTGCTTTACTTGCAAGAACACTAGAATGAATCTAGTGCTGTTTTTTTTTTTAAAAGATTAAGTTGCTTCAAAAGATAGCACAAATACAAAGTCGCGAATCTTGCTCGAGATATACTGTCGTGTCAGAGCGTTTTTCGATTAAACTCGAATGAACACCAAAGGAGAACATAAGTTAATACTGAAAATTGCCAGTGAGACCTTGAAGTAAAAGAAAAAGTTCAAACTGCCTGAGGCGCGGTAAAACGGGAGAGACGAATTTGAAGTTACTCCTGAAACGAGAGCCATTTGTCGAAATGTCGAAGGTAACCCGGGATTTCAATGGTTTCCTTTACTTTGTGTTGTGATTGCCGCGCCACACTCTCAGCCAGATGTTCAAACCACAAAAGACATGAAGGAGAAAGTCAGCAAATATTGATTGCGTTGTATTTGAAAAGAAGCCATTATTGATATATGTATTTTTCAGGTGGTATTCGTTGCGGTGAGCTGGGCGGTGTAATGCTCGGTGGAGATGATATAAGCTTGGAGAACGGTCACGAACAAGAAGATGAAAAGAAGGAACTTCTTCGCCTTGCAATTCCACGCAGGACATATACTGAGTCACACATGAAGTACGTATTTTCTACCCTATAGGTGAGGGGGGGACCTTTTAATTTTTCGGCTATTATTATTTTAATTACTATCATTTTTGTTGTTACTATAATTATTACTTTATTGGCAGAGAAAATTTCGGGCAATCAACGCAGTCTTTTTAGCCCTCTAAACATACTATAAAACAAACATAGTTCTCACAAATCATATAATCATGGTAAATTTACTGTAGGTATACCGCTGAAGTATTGGAGTACGTTAGCAGACACAAAAACGAAGTCAGCGGTTATAGAATCACGTGGGCTCCTGCTGTATTACGTCATTTCAGTGCTCATCTCGAACCCATTTTCCCGCCAAACCAGGAACACGAGAACGGCATTGGAAACGAGGGAAGATAATTTGGTGGAATTCGCTACATGTGAATCACCATTTCCTGTACTGCAAGGAGAATGCTCGTAAACTCACTGACTGTTGTGGAAACTATCCACTGAAGGATTAATCTTTTCTTTTGAGGCACGTATTACACTAATTTTATCACTATCCTAATAACCAGAATGCGGGGGTTTGTCAAACACAAGATTCAAATAAAGTTTGAGGCCATAATTGTATCCTGATTCCTGGTCTTGATAGATGATTTTTTTTGGCTCTTTCCGGCCGCTTGTAAAATTTCGTAATATTTTAATTTTAAGTGCGTCAGAATTCGTCGTATTCGCTACATATGAGTGGCAATACTCTGAGAACGGAGCCTTTGTAAGAAAGACTTGACTGATATAATAAAACGATACAGTTCGCGGGCATGAATATCTTTTAGGCCCGACTAAGAGTTATTTCAGCCCGAGCCGCTAGGCGAGAATTAAAATGACTCGGAGAATGGCTTGAAACAGATTTATGCCCAAGAACATAAACCCTTTTACCATTATTATCATTTTGGAGGAAAATAAGAAAATAGAACCTGATTAATTACAACAAAACTGTCTGAAAAATCACGCGGGCGTGCGAACAGGCAAAAATATAATTTAGCCCGCCATAATCTCTATGTTAGCCCGCAAAATGCGCCACAGTTCCCGACAAATTGATTGATGATAATTTTCAGCTTCCCTTAATATTTTATTGCTTCACAAATGATCAAACTCGCCCTCAGGGCGATTCTTCCCATTCATATTTAAAGGGGAAAGCACTGAGGAAAAGAGATTGTAAATGAAAGATTTCTGAGGTGCTGCATAGACGAGTTTTAGGATCAACCAATATACGTATAAGAGCAAAAAATTTATATGCAAGTGAACTATGTGCAATAAAAATATTCTCTTTCGGGATTTGAAAACATCTGCTCTTGATATGAGACTTAAATAACACTTTATCTGTATGCTGAAAAAATATTGGCAAATGAAACTCAAATATGACGACATTGGCGGAATTGATCAAAAAGATCATTTGATCTACGTTGTGTAATTTCCGATGGTTAAGTTTGTTTATGGTGTCGCCTCTTCCCCCTTTACATGCATCTTAGATTGTGTAACATTTGGACAAGGAATAGGCCTTTATGTCAATGGAAGTATTTAAGAATGCGATGGTACTAGAGGAAAAAATTTTCTCAGAGAACCTAGGGTACGTCGCTTTGCTTCTCCGGCAGATTCAGTCTTGCACAAAAAAAACTCCTCCCAAGTGTTGTTGCGTTGGTAATTGCAACTTTTCAAGGTAAAAAGTCGCTATTTCATAGATCAAATTTTTTCGGCTAAAAACAGTGACTGATCATGAAACTTAAGTGACACATGTAATTTTTTGTGTCAGCATTTTACTTTACGTGAGAGACTATATTCTAAAATGTACAATTTATATCGGTTTGAGTGTTTGCAGCCTGCTTATCGGAGCTCATTTACCAATTATGAGTGCTTATCATTCAGTTTCACCCCTATATTTTTGGGCCCTACACCATATTCTCGATTACGTTTTAAGGCAATTTTAAAAACTTTGATTGATTTGAGGCTTCGTCGGCTAATTTTTGCCGTTTCGTATTAGTGAAATGTCTTCGATCTGATTGTTAACACAATACACCCTAACATTAGCATTCATATTCTCCTCACTGTTCTCTTTACATTTATTGTGACACTGATTAGTAACATTTTTTTGAGCTATCAGGACCTTTTTAAATTGGTGATTGTTTCCTTCATTCTCATGACCTTTACATTTGATTCAGGGGCTTTATTGTAAGGAGAAATTAGAAGCCAGACATTCTTAGGGGTTAAAACAAGAATAAAATGATATAAAGGAATTGAAATACACTTTGTTATCTGTAAGAGGGGCTAAAACTCGGTTTTCCTAATTTTTCTATGAACTTAAGGTGGAACTCCACCTCAACAAAAAGCTTTCATAGATTGTGCGATTGTACACACTTTGGAATTTGTTATCCGTTGGTTATCTCATGGAATTTTTCTCCGTGCTTTAACAAGTTATTTGACATGTTACTCTTGAAAATTGTCGTGAAATTAAATTGAAAGCAGAAGTAAATAACTCAACGGCGTATCATTGCAACGTTTCTCTTACTTAATTTGGTTCGATCTGTTCCTCTGATCTCTCAACACGTTACGATAAAACGATCTACTGAAAAGTTTCGAGAGACAAGTTTGTTCTGTCAATCAGTTATCTGTTTCTCCAACTTAGTGATGTTGGAAATTATGTCTTTTCACAGGATTCTTCTGGGAGAATTGTAAATAAAAAGAAGTAAAACATCCGTTGAAAATGCGAGAACTTATTTCAAAGGCTGAAGAGCTCAAGGTTTTCCGCTCTAACGAAGATTGTGCTCATGGAAGAGCAATCACAAAAGTAACTCTTTCATCCATGTTAGCTGTTGTAACCAGTTACATTAAATATATATCTAAAACAAGAATTTATCACTTCCATAATATGTTATGGATTTTTTCGGTTTTGGTTATTGATATTCTGCGTATCAAAGTCTAATTTTCAAATTTTGTCATATTTTTAATCATCAGCTTATCAACATCGTTTTTAGTTCGGGACAATAACTTTTTACAAAGGCATGATGTGTTTGCTGTAAAAAACACTATATTGGAAATTTCAAGAGCAAACGCTTCATTTTGTAAATAGCCCGTTTGGGTAAACGGAAGCAAACAAATGTTCTTGTCCAGAGTAATTACAATGGCTAGAAACCGGAAAATGTCCCTTTTAAATGACTAAGGGTTGGACGTTTAAGGGTTTTCTTCGGTGAAAGGAGCAGATATCGGAAATGGCAAATAGATGCAACTAATTCTATTTCTTCCATTCGTTTAGGTAAAACGGTTTTTTTTATTCTCTTTTTCTTAATCAAAATAACCAAAATAGTTATTACCAAATGATAGAGTTCAGAGTATCAAATGCGGAACAGATAAAAGAAATTTCAAATTCAAAACAAAATAATTTACTTCTAATTTTTTCGAGAGAGAAAATCCCTTTCTCGGCATACACGGGGTTATTCCTAAAGGTAAATCCAACAACTGTATTAGTAATTTCTTTATTAAAAGTCACCCACTAATCCGTTCTGCCTTTTTCTCATTTTATAATTTACAATAACAATTTTTCTGTGTCATTATGTAACTATAAATGTACTTACGGTAACTTATGATTATGTTATAAATCTTATCAGATTTTGAAGACTGGCCCGCTTAGATTGGCGTGCAGACTAGCTGCCCTTTCATATTAAGAATGACAAAAAATATGAAATGTTGTCGTTGTGACTGTACTTTTTCCCTTCCCTAATAGGATTCAGAACCGATGGATTTGAAAGAACATAGTTTTCAAACTTTCTTCGAGCCTTTTCGTATCAAATCAGTTGAGAAGATACAACGTACCACAAGAGCTCAGCGGGTTCAGCGTCTAGAAGAGGCGAATTTTAATCCCTTCATGTTGAACTCTGAAGATATCACTATCGATCTGTTGACAGATTCTGGTACAGGCGCCATGAGCTCCGACCAGTGGGCCGCTGTCATGAAGGGTGACGAGTCTTACGCGGGCTCACCAAGCTACCGGAATTTTGAAGCAGTGGTGAAAGAAATCTTCGGCTTCCGCTACGTGATCCCTACGCACCAGGGCCGCGCTGCCGAGAGGATCTTATTCCAGTGTAGTCTCAAAGAAGGGGATGTTGTTCCAAACAACGCACATTTTGACACAACACAGGCCAACGTAGAAAAGTGTGGAGCCAAGGCATTAAATTTGCCAGTCCCCGAGGCCCTAGATGCTAAGATTAAAGTTCCTTTCAGGGGAAACATGGAGATCAACAAACTAAAAGAGTTATTGTCGGGGGAAATGAAAGAAAGCGTTGCTATGGTAATGATTACGATTACAAACAACGCCATTGGTGGAGAGCCCGTCAGTATGGAGAATATCAAAGCAGTTTCCAAGATCTGCCACTTGCACGGAATCCCGTTTTTCCTCGACGCCTGCCGTTTTGCAGAAAACGCATGGTTCATCAAAACGCGTGAAGAGGCTTATACATATCGCACGCCGCTCCAGATAGCACGTGAGATGTTTTCCTATGCTGATGGCTGTACCATGTCTGCTAAGAAAGATGGTCTCGTAAATATTGGGGGATTTCTGGCCATGAATGACGAGCATCTTGCTGACAAGTGCCGCCGGGAGTTGATCATATCTGAAGGGTTTCTCACTTATGGCGGGTTGGCGGGGAGAGACCTGGAAGCGATGGCTGTAGGATTGCGCGAGGTTCTGGAGGAAGACTACCTTCGGTATCAAGTTGGATTTGTCAAAATGTTGGCAGATTTACTGAAGGAACATCACATTCCTGTGTTAACCCCACCAGGTGGTCATGCGGTCTACATCGACGCAGCAGCTATGTTGCCGCATATCCCCAGAGAGCAGTTCCCAGCTTGGGCTTTGGGCTGCGCTTTATATGTGGAAGGCAAGTCAAAGTCTGTGTTACTGGGTATAAGCCGGTGGGATCTTTGTTTTTATTGAACTCATCACGTTGCCTGGTGTACGTCTTCTACTTGCCACGAAATGCGCGGTCATCACTGAGAAATCTCAGAGCCCACGGGGAAGATCCAGAGCATCAGCCATTGCTTATCGCTTGGAAAGAGTTGGTGTTGGGGGATCTGAGGATTTTGGTTCTCCTGATTACTACCTTAAAGCTCTGTAACATTCTTATGCCCTCCCTCCCTTAATTGGCATTCATTTTCTATAGTCTCCCACTATGCTCTGCTGGCGACGACTGATGCCCCCCCGTTCCCCCTTAAAACCGTATGAGCCCCCCTCCACCCCCTCTCCAGGCAATAAATAAGGACTGGTCCCTGATTACTTTTTAATCCCATTATGATGAGAAACGTGTACGCATTTTTATCAGTAACCGCGGAATGATGTAACACACTAATCATGCGTTCACTCACCTAGGATAATATTCCATTTCAAATCGGTAGTAGTCTGGGCAAAGCAAGGCGTTCTGTTCTGTTCTGCCAGAAACCAACAGCGGAAAGGCGCACGGATTAATTTTTTCCTTTCCCCATGAATTCCACTGCCCGCGGAAACGCCTGGTAACAGACTAGACATAGCTCTCGAACTTACCTTATTTGTTTAACTTCTTAGGGGGAATCCGATGTGGTGAGTTAGGTGGTGTGATGCATGGAAAAGATGATAAGATCATGGAAAATGACCATGAATTAGAAGACGACGAAAGTGGAGAACTTCTACGCCTTGCCATACCACGAAGGACATATACTGAGTCACACATGAAGTAAGTACCGAATAAGTGTTTGTACATACATAGTTTGAGAGCGCTAGGATTCCTAACCGTGAGTCAAATTTTGATTACGATTTTGTCCATTTTATAGGTATGTCGCCGAAGTATTGCAGTATGTTTACAGACACAAAAGAAAGGTTAACGGATACAGAATCACCTGGGCACCGAATGTACTGCGCCATTTCAGCGCTCACCTGGAACCCATTCCTCCATCAGCCAAGAAAGAAGACGGGCCTGAGGAGGACGAGGTCGATGACATGGAGGAATTCTTATCACGTGTGCGTGGAATGTCACTTCGTCGACACTCCTACCAGTTTTTGTAACTCTAGTAAACTCGTCGCAGCTTGACATGCTCTGACGAAGGGCTAACCCTCGAAACGTCACTCTTCACGGTGGCAAAATTTTACAACAATAACTCAATTAATAAAACTTAATTATCTGGTTGTACGCCCCGCCCACGCAGATATCAACCTCGTTCCTTTTTGCATTTGAATGGAGCTTGGCTTCGTCTCAGTCCATAAAAAATGTAATATCCAGTCATCTTGTCCTCGCTCTCGGTCAATCGCATATTTATATTGTAAAATTAGTTTTAGGATTGTGTTCAATCAGATATCGCAATCGGTTGGTTAATTAAAGATACTGAGCCCAATTACGGTTGTTCCTGTTCAATCCATTAGTTAGAGCGCATTTCAATTGCAAGTCGTAACCCAAAGAAATCACAATGGCCAATCAGAGAAAGGAAAATGCTCTTAAGATAATGGGAACTTAAAGTAATGCGTGGCAAAACGCGGGCGTCCAAGTCGTGATTGGTTTTAGTTTTGCATCTGATTGGTTGAGAAGGTTGGTGCGAAATTTCTGGGCCAATCACAGAGCAAAGTACAACAATACCAAAGCAATCCCAAATACCAATGTAACAATGAATTACTTTCTACACTATATTGAGAATTGCTCCAAATGGATATTAAATTGGATTGCAATGCCACTGCATCGATGCTGATAGCATCCGTTCAAATATCTCCTCCCTAATAAGCATTATCAGTTTCCGCCAAAGTTCGCTCCTTAAAATAAGGGTTCAACGATGACAAAGATAAAAACATAGTTGATTAACTTAAATTCATTTTTACTGTCTTAATACATAACAAGTAAATAAATTTCTTCAAATACGTCGTTCTTAGACTTTCTTATCTATAAATGTTTCCTCTTTTCTTTATCATAGTGTAAACTGCAACAAGTTTGCGTAACCTATTAAACAATCTTATTACGATTAAAAATTTTTAGTAAGAATTTTATTTAAAACAGATTCAAAATTCTTTACATCGGGTGACTGAAAGGTATTATGCCTGCGCAGCAAGCAAGGCTTGTTTCTAGGGAGTTTCCATCATCCGATGAGGGCACTTCCAAGAAATAGGCTAATAGGGATGTGCCGATAGATAGAGTCGCATTTTTACGACTAAATTGACTGTAATGGGGTTGAATTTTGTTAGAGTTACAAGAATCGGGTGGCATATTTTTGGGATTTTGGGGGTAAGTAGGCTTTACGTCTACAATTGGCCACAGTATAGACTATGGTGGGGCAGGGGATCTGAGATACCAGCGGTACATACCCAGTAAAATAGACCCAAGCACCCCTGCCACAGTATAGACTATAATGGGGCAGGGGATCTGAGAGGTCAGCGGCACATACCCAGTAAAATAGAACCAAATTCCCTCGCAGCCATTACTATTCCCCTAAAATCAAATCGCGTACGTCATAACATCAAAATCCATCGGAATTAGTTAATTACTGGGTCTCAAATCATATTAACTAAACTGCATTGATGAATTTTTTCGTCTCCTCAACACTTGACCACTGGACACCTTTACGGCTGACGGACGGCGCACTTTATCTGTTTCCTCAGAAGCCTCTGACGGCGGTGGAATGGGTTCCAGATGAGCGGTGAAATGACGCAACCAGGGTGGTTCCCACGCAATGGTATAGCCGCAAACCTTAGAGCGGTTCCTGTAAATATGGGCGCAGACCTCTGCAACATATCTGTAAAGAGGATTTATACAATTATTGTTACATGTTAGTTAGTAGGAATCCCCCTTGAAAAGCCTAAAAAGGGAACAAGGAAATTTTGAATTCTTCCATCCTTTTCCTTGGTGGGCAGAATTAGGATTTCAAGAGACGTTTAGTTGAGGAAAGCATAATAACATTAAGGTTAAATGCTTTGAAAGTCGACATCAGAGCATCCTTTCACGATTTTCTCGCGGCAGTTACCCTCATCCAATCAGATACGAAACTTTTCAAACGCCTACGCCTTTGTGAACAGCACGTGTCAGACTCGCGCTTGATCACTTGACATAAGGAATGGATAGGAATGTGCCACGTGAAACATTTGGTCGGTGGGAGAGTTTAACAGGGTAATTTAGTATTATCAAATGAGTTGATAACGTAAATTAGCCACCACAAAGGCATTTAAAGCTGGCGTTTCGAGCGTTAGCCATTCGACAGAGCGAAGGGCGAAGCTACGCTCCGATGAAGGGCTAACGCTCGAAACGTCAGCTTAAAAACTCTTTATGGTGGCTAATTTACGTTATCAACTCAGTTTATAATACTAAATTACCACACTATAACAATTAATGTTACACTTTATAAGTGAAGGGCTCACCTGATATGAGACTCAGTGTAGGTGCGGCGAGGAATGGCCAGACGGAACAGCTCTTCATGCTCCTCCACTTCAGTTTCAAAAACCTCATCATCTTCTTCATCAGTGTTTACTTCATCCTCTGTATTCTCACTCACTGCGGAAGACTCCTTGCCATTTTTGGCCGTTCCCAGCATCACCCCGCCAACTTCAGCCCCTCGGATACCTCCCTCGACATAAAGGGCGCACCCGAGGGCCCACGCGGGAAATTGTTCCCTGGGGATGTGAGGCAGCATTGCACCTGCGTCGATATACACCGCGTGACCTCCTGGGGGCGTGACAATCGGAACATGGTTCTCTACGAGTAAGTCCCCCAAAAACTTCACGAAGCCAACTTGATAACGCAAGTAGTCCTCTTCTAAGACCTCGTTTAATCCCACGGCAATTGCTTCGAGATCGCGACCGGCGAGTCCACCGTACGTCGTAAACCCTTCGGTTATCAAGAGCTCTTTCCGGCATTGTGCGGCGAGTTCCGAGTCGTTCATTGCCAAAAATCCCCCAATGTTTGCGAGGCCGTCTTTCTTTGCGGACATAGTGCAACCATCGCCGTATGAGAAGATTTCATGCGCGATTTCTTTGGGTGTGCGATTGGCATAGCCTTCTTCTTTGATCTTGATGAACCAAGCGTTCTCAGCGAAACGACAGGCATCGAAGAACAGCGGAATACCATGAGCTCGACATAGTTTTGAGACCGCCTTGATATTCTCCATGCTAACAGGCTCACCTCCAACCATGTTATTGGTTATGGTGATCATAACAAGTGGGATTCTGGCCTTACTCTTAGCGACCTTTTCTTCTAGCATTCCTATATTCATGTTACCCTTAAATGGCATATCTGTACTCGGCTCCATAGCTTCGGGTGTCAAAAAATTGATCGCGTGCCCCCCCTGCGCTTCGATGTTGGCCAAAGTAGTCGCAAAGTGTGCGTTGTTAGGAACGATATCTCCTTCCTTTATTGTGCACCGGAAGAGAATGCGCTCAGCAGCGCGCCCTTGATGCGTGGGGATCACGTGACGATAGCCAAAGATCTCCTTGACGACCTTTTCAAACTTTATGTAACTCGGGGAGCCTGCGTACGACTCGTCTCCAAGCATTACCGCTGCCCACTGTTCAGAACTCATCGCCCCAGTCCCTGAATCGGTCAGCAGGTCAATCATGATGTTCTCCGAGTCCAAGAGATACAAATTGTAGTTGGCTTGTTTCAGATGCTTGATTCGTTCGTCTCGCGTTGTTTGCTTGAGTTTCTCAACAGATTTGATTTTGAAAGGCTCGAAGAACGTCGAAAACTTGTGCTCTTGCATATTTTCACAGGGTTAGAGCTAACACTGAAATATAATAAAAATAGTGTTTGACTGCGCTGTAAATCAGCCTGAAGGTCTCCAACAACCGATAATAAGTGCATCACACGCTCCTCCCTGGGATAATTTTATCATTTACCACTTAATTTTCGAGTTTGGCGATAGGAAGGGGAGGGGGACGAGACTTTAGGAAGGAGAGGGTGGGGAAGGGGAAAGAGCCTACTACGTATGCGCAGGCCAAATATTAAGGGTATCGAATAGATGAGTTTAAGACACTCCTAAACGAGGGAGCTAAACAATGTTACTGTGTGAAACTCACGGCAAACGGGGAGGGGAGTCAGATACAACTTCGAAAAAAGCAGTGAAAGCGCAGTATACAGAGCTAGCAAAAATATTTTAAAAATTGCCAATGGAGGGGCAAAATTATGTGCTGGTTCTACGTAGAGTCGTTTGGAGACAAGACAGAGTAATTTGTAGACTTTCCGATGGAAAAAAAAAGAAAAAGAAAAGGAAGACAAAAAAGATCCAGACAAATTGAAAAAACTTTCAGTTCTGGTGCCTCAAAAAATGTAATGAGGCAGGAGCCCTTACTGAGGATATTGACCAATTTCACAGCCGCCTAAACAACGGGGGAAGGATGTTCAGGCTTAGAATTCAGAGGGGTCAACTATTTAAAATATTAGCTACAGGTCAAGATTAAATTTTATACATCTGCTTGGTGGAATTTTTCCGATTATTAAAAATGAGGCATGTCACGAAATTTTGCATTGTGTTTTGAATGCTGAAAATTGTCGTTCACTTGAAGGAAACATTCACATTTACTTTTCGGATGAAGAAAAACACCAAAGAAACAGGCAAAAACCAAGTAGAGACCAGGATGGTTGAGTACTGAGAAGATAGACATCGATTATAGAAACAAACTCATAAAATTTAGCTTTCCCATGGTTTGAAGGCCAAGCGAGATGATCGCTCGGGAAGAGAGGAATTTTACTAGACACTCTTCAGACAATGGAATGAAATAACGATTGGTAATAGAAACAATGGCATTTGTTTCTCAAAGAAATCTAAGAAGTATGATCTTTCGGATGAGCGTCAGTCCCTTACGGTTCGTCGCACAAGAATAGATGACTTAAGTCTAAGATTTTGATGTGCTGGTGTCGGGAAATCGGCATTTCTTCCAAAAGTCAGTTCTTTGCCGTCGAAGGACAATAACCTGTAGTTTAAACCGTTTTCCGTTTCTGTTCATTGCTACTCTATTAAGTCATGCGTTTCAAATTAATTGGAGTGAAACACTGCATATAAAACTTTAGTTGATATGATCGTTTAGTGTTGACATTACATTACTTGAACAAGCAAATAATTTGTTGGGGCTATATTGCGGGTTTGCCGTTTATCTCGTCGTGAAAGTGTAACTGATTTCGGTTTCCATGGTGCACAAGCAAATGTTACGATATGTTTTCAATTCCCTACCTTTATGCCAGCGATGGCGAAAAATTCTGTCCACAAAGATCAGTGAAGTTTTCTCTCACAGTCGAGATTTACCGGTTCGTCGCTGAACGCTTAAAGACTTGGACGCTGAAGTAACGTGGAATCATATGACAACATAGTCCTCTGGGGATCCCCTACATTTATCGTGTTTCCAGTACGTCACAAAAGACCTTGACATGTCACCCGTTTCCTGCTCTCTTTCATCTCGTTTACAGTTGTGAAGAGGACAATCGTGATTGCAAGGCTACAGAAAGATTGCGGAAAACTTGCACACAATGACTCTAAAGTAAAAAATAAATACTAACAAAGAATGACAACTGTAACTGAAATAAAGATAGCGTGGTAACAGAAAAATTACGGAACATAAAGATTGTGTGATCCGTTGTCATGCCAGTGCAATGGGTTAACTTTTTTGGGCTCAAAACGCCATTGAATGCTGTTTCGACTGAACATATGTAAGCTATTTTGCCTCTGGTGAACAGAGGAACAATCGGAACACCATAAACAATTTATTCGAACATGAAGTGGTTGTGAAAAAATGAGGAATTTTGTTAAAACTTCTATCCCCTATGACAGTTGAAAATCAGGTATTTTGGGGAAACGGACCTCAATGGTCATGACAGCAATACCAAAAATACACAGCTGAAACAATTGTCTTTCAAAAAATCACATTTATTACAATAATCATTTACTGCTTCCATGATTATCTGGGACAGCAGAGAAGAGAATAAACATGACCTAAAGACATTTCATTTGAAATACACCTCATTCTAAATGGTCTTCACAAAATATCTTTACATTCAGTAACCCTAAACTCTGATCAAAATTCAACTTCTCCTGACCAGCTACTTGTTAAATTCACTTCTATGGCAGCATTTGCAGCAAATTAGGTACCGTTTGGAGGAAATACATGCTGAAGGGGTTTCAGATATTCTACCAAATAGAGTAAATAATGGCTTTCTTTAGAACACCATTTTTTCGTTCATTTGTGATATACAAGTATGAAAATCTACTCAAAAAAATTATTCTTGCTTCATACTCTGACAACAAAGCTGCATAAATAAGTTTATCAATTAACTGTTGCAATACATCTAAATTCTGTTTCATCCTTGAAAAAGTACAATGGTATGCCTCTTTTTATATAATGGTGGCAGGGTAAGAAGTTTCCTCTTTATATTATTGAATTGTCAGACAAGGAGAAATAATATAACCCAGACCATCCAGATACTAGAACAATTTTTCCAAAAATCAGTTTTACATCTATTGTAATTGGATTCTCCTCACCAACAATATACACGCTGAAAAAAACCTAACCTTCTGCAAAGTATACATTATTTTTTTCACAATAGGTGTTCTCTGAAAATATCAATACCCACTCAAGGAAGGTTAACCCTTTACACCCTAACATCAATATACAAATTCTCCATACTCTTCACTATACATTTCTTCAGGTGCTGAGAAGAAGAATTTGTCCAACAATCAAAGCCTCTTAGGTTGGTAATCATTTCCTTAATTCTCACAATCTTCAGTAATACTGATTCAAAAGATAATTGTGAGGAGACATAAGATGCTGATAACTATAAGGTTTAAATAGTAAATAAAATTGGATAAGGAGAAGGAATTAAGGAAAAAAAAAAGACCATATTTGTCTTGAGTGTAAAAGCCAACTAGAGTTTCTGGAGTTTGAATGGTTAAAACCAAAATCTTTCCACAGCACAGTTAGTCTCCTTGCATCCCATGTTTTGCTTTTTTATGAAATATGTTCAAAAACAGCTGCAAGAATTAAGTCTGTGCAGGGATATGGATATTGATATTTCCTTGAGCCACAAATAAACCACAATGTCCTGTGGTTGCACATATTTTATTGACTATCAATATTATTATTATCATTTTTTGTGATAACTTATTGCTTAGATATTTTTTTCTGAGATAGTACTTGGGAATTTAACAGCCAGCATTGAGGCATTGCCTTATGTTTTTAAAATGCCATGCTCCATGTAACGGCAGGGGAGACCATCAAGAGACACTAAGATTGAATTCTTTTAAAGAAGAGCAGAACATCACATTGCTATCATTAACTTCTTCTTCCTACAGTGGCTCCACATAAGTCCCAGGAAAATGTCCAATTTTACCCTGAAATCTTCCCTGACACCAGCCCTGGTCATCCTGCGAGGAAAGTTGTGTAAGGATGTCCCCTTCTTTGAAATTGAGTTCGTCATCCTCCACACCTTGGAAGTCATACAAGGCCCTGACTGGGACACCTGTATCTTCAATGGGAGGTGGCTCAATGTCCCATTCATCTGGAGCTGATGGTTCACTGAAGTCTTCATTTGTATTTGATGTATAATTGTTAAATGGGTTGTTTCTATTGACCAAGAAAATGAGACAAAGGTGAATAACACTGTGATGGATAAGCTCTGAATTGTCTCATTACCATTGCACCTTTATTCCTTAGGCAAGTAGCCTGAACACAGCAGTCAAAAGTCAGGCATGTACAAGAGTATCAATTCTGGCTAGCAACACACCTATCTCCTGTGCAAAATTTCAATTAGGAAAACATAAGAAACAGCTGCTGTCTTGCAAAATAAGCAAAAGAAAATTAAAACTTCAGTAATTATCAGCGGTAGGGAAAGGGAAAACTTGAGACTTTTTGAACACAAAGCTTTTTCAAGTACAGGTATCATGTTGATTTAATATTCTTTTTCAAGCTATACCTAAAACGGTTATATGTTTTTTGACACAACATGAGTCAATAGCTTGTGTGGTTGTTTGTAACTTGTGTGACACAACTTGGTTGTGACATGCTAACAGCACATTACCAAATCATTACGATGTTTGTACATGCGCAGTCTTTTGATGCCTGTCTTGGTAGCCTGTAAGCTCAGTGTTCAAGTAGACTTGGAAAAGCTCAAGGCCACTAGTTATTCTTAGTTCTAAAACTTACATCTCATTGTGATGAGGGTAATCAGTTTGTTCTTCAATATGGTTTTGAGTGGTTGTATAAGTGGATGCCGCTGGTGCTTGTTCATGTCCTCGTGACACTGATGGTCGTTTTGCTGGAGGTGGCTCATTATACTCCTGGAAAAAAAAAAGGTTCAACTTTCAAAGTACTCAAGCATCTAACTATGAAGCTTTGAAGTCACTCCGAGGATCTCATAGTACATACGTTGTTATGGTTTCTTGTGGTTTTTAGTCAGAAGTAGCTGATGATAGTGTAAGGTGTATTGTTCAAGAACATAATGCTAGAGGTGGTTCTGAATTTCTTTGTGAAATTTAATTAATTTGCTCCCACTTTTTTCCTAAAAATTGTTTTGAAAAAATTAGAGTCCTTGCTTTCAGCCACCTTCAAAGTGACATGACAGGAGTAACATCATTTGTGCCTGTCAATTTTCAATCTTCTCTATATTAAATTATGATATTTTTTCTGCCTCCTTTAAAGACTTTTTCCTCTTTTGTGTTTACTATGTTACCAAACTATTCCGCGGTCTTGTTTCATCTTGAAAGTAGTTAAGCATTTTAGGAAAACTAACAAAAACCAAGGGATCAGAGGAGGAGTAAATTTAGCCTAAAATGGCACGACTTATCTTCCTGTAGTAGCAGTTTAATGAAAAGCAAACAGTTTTCACTTGATGTCGATGCTCACTTCCAATCAAGTTCATGAATCAACAGTACTTCTTCAATGCTTCTCCTAACTAAACAATCACTCTTTGCAGTAAATTGTTTCTCTTGCTTAAAACCATTCACTGCAAATACTTAACTTTTTAACCCTCTGCCAGACAAAGGTTTCTAGTAAAATCTTGGCACCTCTTTTCTAAGCTGACTCTGACTGCCTTATATTATCCGTAGTAAAAAACTCTAGCTAAGGTATAACTACTGATAATCCTGTGATCTTCAATCTATAGTACCTGATTTCTGCATGACACATCCAATATTTCCCAGTATAACACTTCTGTCCTGCTATTACCATATGCACTTTCTATACAGTCTACTTTCTCTGAAATATTTCCATCTTGTGGATGTTCACCTACTCTTTCAACATTGCTTGAATCTTTAACACAGCAGTTATATATTGACTCAACTGTGCTGTACAAAACACCTTCATCGAAGCATTCACCTGTGCCTAAAGTTATGAGATGTTCAATATTGGTAGTGTAAGTGTTCCCAGCAAAATTATCCTCTGTGTCCAGGTGAATACTGTGAACTTTATCAAGTGACTCACAAGTGCTTCCCTTATCTATGTATAAGTTTTGGAGTCGTTTTCCCTTTTTTAATGCTCCACTTTGACATTGTCTATGCAACATTCTTTGCAGTAAGTTACTAGTGGGATGTTTCCTTTCCTAAACATAGGCAAAAAAAGCAGTTTGAAGACTGCATCCACTGGAAAAGTTCTGCACTCTTAGTTCAGAGACATGAACTACCTTACTAAAGTTGCACATTAACCACATCTTAATGAAAAAGTACCTACTCTTGAAAATATCTTTTTCCACTAGAATTCATATATTGTTAAAAAATAACACAAAATGTATTTCTAAGGTATACTAAGCACATGAAAGAAAAACATAACTGAATCCCACAACATATATGATTTCTAGCTTGAGCTGAATAAAATTAAAGTCACTTCAGCTTTGCAGTGAAAAAAGAATACATTTCCTGAAAGGAACCCTCTTAAAGCTAAAAACAGCTGTGGTTAAACTGTGGCTTGCCTCTGATGCTATGATGGAAATGCTGCCTGATACAACAATGACACAAAATTGACATCCACTGAAACAAAGGTTGGCAAAATCGCAAATGGAGGAGAGATAAGGAACAATTGCATGCAAAGATAATTTGTTCCTAATACTTAAGTCTGAGGTAATCTTTATTCTTTTTTGTTGCGTTTAAAGGGAAAATAAGGTCTAGAAAACGTTTACCCAAATGAAAAGTTCCTGACTTGCATTGTCCTAACTGGCTATTCACTTGTTCTAAAAACTTTTTTGTTGCGAACAATTGTGTTCCAAAAATTGACATTTTCAAATTAAAAATGACCTTCTTTGTTATGATATAATTGTGACATAGCAAAATTCAAGCATGCTGCCTTAAATCCCAGCTGAGATGGATGTAAATAAGGAAAACAGAAAAAAGGAGAGCACTGCTGATTGAATTCTCAATTTGGATTTTAATCCAGAGGGTGTAATACACCCATTTATGTTTCAAATGCAACATGAAAGAAGAAACCTGTGCTGACAAAGAAATTCAGGAAAACGAGTTTCAAGGAAAATGTCAAACTGCTCAAATGCTCATGTCTTGAAAATCACAAGTGTTGCTCTTGTAGCAAATGTCAAGAGAAGCCTGTGGAAAACGTATGCTACCAAGAATTAAATGTACTAGCTTGAGTCAACGACTCAATTTGAAAGGAAGGGTTTTTTTTCTCAATACATACTAGCTCTAGAGTGAGAGTTCTTTCACTAAAGAAGACTGTGGTGCCTGCAATGGATTCATTTCACATTGCTAACTGAATGAAATGAATCATTTTTCAGTTTCAGGAACCCAGCTCTGGTGTATTAATGAGTAAGAGTCATTTGGACCCACAAACAGCCCCAGTTGGCATGCAGTTGAGTTGAAAATAATAGACTTGAAGAGCTTTGCTTATGTAGACCTTACTTTCCCTTTCAAGAAATCAAAGTGGTTTTGTAGCAACCAAGGTCAAAATCATGTAAGAGTGCCATTGACCAGCACTTTTCAACCAAACCAGGGATGCTAATTGGAGTGAAGGTGTTTGTGCAATAAGGATGCTTATTAGAATGGGGGGAGCTTACATGAGAAAAGGTAGTAATTGGAATGAGGACCCTAAATCCAATCATTACTGTACATACAGTGAGATGATATGACATGGAAAGTTTCCCTAGAGATATAATTTGCAATAACTAATCTCAATCTTGCTACCTAAACAGCCATCACATACCACTTCAAGGCATATTTCCATTTGATATTGACTGAACTTATTCATGAATGTATAAAATCTAGACTGACTTTGGGTATCTTATAATGAAGATATACAGAATGTTAATGTACCTCAAACATTGGCCAATTCTGTGGCATGCCCATACCATGGTTGTGTGACCACCAGTCTAAGTCTGCCTGGGCATCTGCCTTCTGAAATGTGAGGCCCATGTTGACAAAGACACCAGAAAACCTGCAAAAAGAAGAGTTTCTTAACATTTGTTTCTACTCAGAAAAGTCATGTAAACAAACTGAAAAAAAAAAAAAAATTGAAAAAAGTATCAAAACTTAGGGTAAGTTCTAACACACTTCACATCTCCACGTAAAATTATGAGTCAAGAGAAAAAAAAATTTCAGAAACAAGGTGTCATAAAAGTGTTAATTTTCTCATACAAAATGCATCAATATAAGATAATTTAATAAAAGCCAAGTGTCAGATAACGATGAATTTTCCACAAAATAATATAAGTCAGTCAAGATTTGATATTGTACACATGCTAGCAGCTGCCAATAGTTGTCTGGTTATGCCGGTAAGGTTAATTGTAACAAGTAAAGCACTAGTTGGCAAAGAAGCTAAAGATATTCTCTAAGACTTCACAACTATTCAAAATCTCGCATAACAGTTAAGAGTGGATCTGTTAGCATAATACTTAGAGAAGAAAAAGCAAGAATTCTTAAAAATCATTTTTAAATTAGAGGACTCTGAGGGAGCTTGTTGATAACATATTGAGTTGATTTTGTTATGTTGAAAAGTTTTAAATAGGAGACAGTGACCTTGAAATAACAGTGCTTTTCCCAGAAGTATATTAAACCAAATAGAGATGAATACTGCCTATGATGGTTGATTTGAGCTTAATATTTCATGACAATTACACCAAAACATAGCCCCTGACAAAAAATTTTAGAATCTTCCTTTGAGTCTATGAACTAAGGAATTTGGTGATATGATAGGTCATTTAAAAAACATGATAGGTCAATGTTTTGTTATACCTGGAATTCAATGAAAGATTCAGTTATGATTGTTACTAGCCTAAGGATCTCAGTCATTGTAAACCACTCAATGACCTCATTTTGAAAGGCAACATTGCTTTACAGAGTTGAAAAATTTGAGACTATAGTGCACTACATAACTCTCTGAGTGTGCAACGAAAAAAGAATATTTGCACGTCTGTCATTTCTTGGTAGATCTTTTACAAAGCATGTTATGATTTGGACAACATTTTACAAGAGAATCTTGAACTGAACCTTTTTGTCTTGAGAAAAAAACCGCCATGTTTAATGGACCTTCAAATTTTGATGCAAGACCTTCTTTAAGACTCCATGCTGTTTATTTAAAAAAAGTACTCTTTTGCATATTTCTGGAACTGAGGTGACAGTATTGCACATTTTCAATACATAGGAAATTAAGAAAAATTTTTCTGTCACATCAGAGCACTTTACATTTCATCTTGGAGAATTTCTTCAAAGCTGGCCAGATTTGAAGTCCTAGTTGGTACACTACTCAGCAGCGCATTGGCTGATAAGTTGAACAGTCCTACCACTAGATTAGTGATCTTTATACTTAAGGATTATTCAAAGTATTGCTATTTATGGATGGCTGCATTCCTGGGTGCTTTTTTTGGTTATTTCTCTCATGGCTTGGTACATCCAAGAAAATATTTTCAGGTCTGCTGCCCATAATAAATACAAGCGATCAAATAACTGATTACCTTACTTATCTCATCTACTTCGATTTAGATGAGCATAGATGAAGATTAATCAGTTTTAAAGGGGTGACAGGAAATTATCTAATGAAGGATAGGGAACTACACTTTCATAGACCTACATGCAAATAAAGGAAAGTAAATATTCTTGGCGTGTTATACATCGAAGGCTGCTGAAGCCAAATAAACAAAATTGAAAGCCGCAGAACAAGAGAAGATCGCACTGTAGGAAACTGGATTAACTATGCAAATCATATCCGAGTGGATTCAAAGTGTTTACGCTTAATTTGTTGTAATATTTGCATAATAATTAAATAATTACGGAGAACACGAGTACTCAAGAAAAGTTACAAAGAGGATGACAAAGTGAACATTCCTAGAGTGCAATGTTCAATTTATAATTAGAACGAAACTGGAGCATACTTTTCCTTACTCCTTACGTTCCTATAACAAAGGACCAACCCCAACAAAATAAATTGCATCGTGTCAAATACTTACTCAGGGCTATCCGATATATCCAAACATTTGTGATACTTCATTAGCGTGTCTCTGAAAAACGCAAGACGGCTGTCCTCGTTCTCTTGACATCTTTCAAATTCTTGAATCATGTCTCGTTCATATTGTGAGTTGTACGATGTAATTTCGTCGAGGCGAAGTTCGTACTTTTCTTTACATTTATCCACTTCTCGTTTCGCTTTCTCTGTTGCATCCTGCAACTTTTTCAGTTTCTCAGCTGTTTTCAATTCGGTGTCGTTAGTTGCTTGATTCTCCAAATTTTGAGCTTGCTCGCTGTTTCGCGAGGCAGTGTGATACGCCTTTTTCGACCGTTCAACTTTAGCCAATCGCTTTGCCCAAGGCTTTTGAGCCTTCGTAAACCCTTCATCGGCCTCTTTGGTCTCCTTCCATTGAAATATTCCTTTGTGGTAATTTTCTGTTTTCCACCTTTTAATTGATTCGTGCACGTCGTTCATCAGTTTATCACGGCATAACAAGTGAATCTCTGCTCTAGACTCGGCTTCAGTGACAGTGCCTCGCATGGCAACTTCCATTGTGCCATATTCCGGTCCATTTTTAACACATTCTTCCCATTTCTTGGCCCATGCTTTCAATTTCAATGCGTACTTTGCTTCTATTTCAGCTCTTTCTGTGACAAGCTTCATAAACTCGTCACATAACTTTGCACCATCGTCTATTCGTTTGACCGTGCGCTTGAAGTTTCCAACATCCCAAAAACTGTCACTAGCAGCACTATACTGCAGGTTCTCGTCAGAACCCCTAGGTGTACCTCGCATGGACATAACTGCCTTCCAACACAATAACTTCCACTATTTTTGCTCTCAAACTTCTCTCACATTGTTCCGAAATTTGTCTAACTGGAGTATTTTGAAGGTGTGGGGTCTTCCAGTTCTTACCGCATGCGCAGAAAACTGTTTGTAACGCTGGCAAGGAAACGCGGGCATTTTGGTAGTCAAGGAACCTAAATCAAGAATCTCTTTACAACTTAAGTTTTGCAGAGTGAACTTAACTAAGTGATTAAAATTCAAAATGGTAGCGGGGGTTCTCTCGTCAAATTCATCTGATGGAAAGGTGAAAAATCTTAATAGGGTTCAACACAGAACCATTAGCCACTACATAGGCGGTGGAGGGACAGCCATGCCCTTCAGAAGAATTTCAAGTCTTTCCGTCCCCGAAATGTCTTTAGTATCATGGGTCTCAATTCTTGGGTAAATTAAAGGACTTGATTATTGACATATAATTCGAAAGGGATTTGAATATTTTAGCTCGAATGTTCTTGTTTGTTTGTTTCTTTGCTTCTCTTAATAGTTTTTTGCTGATCCTGCCACTTAATCCAATATATGATTCCGGAAATTTCTATGGAAGCATCTTGAAGGATTAGATGCATGGAGCACAGCACCCTTTGGTTGTTGATCAACTACAGTCTAAAATTTGAAGGCGGTACCGTAATTGGCAACATGTTTCGTTGAGAATTGTGCCTTTTAAGTTGTATCAAGCTTATCTTGACCGGGTCAATTATTAAGTATGCAGAGACTCACACAAGCCGCCTCTGACACCTGATATATGTTCTGTTATGTACACATTCTTGTGGAAAATCAACCCTAATAAGCTACCTTTGTGTGAAGTTTTTCGGTTGAGGTGGTTTCGACTAGCCGTAAATCAGTGGGTTTGAAAGTTTAGAAAAATTTCAACGAAGACAACTTGCCCAATTGATAAAGAACGCGCCGAAAGGTCACGCAAAATCGCATTATCGTGCTCAAAAGTCATTCCGAAGTATTTGTATCCGGCCAGGGACGAATAGTGATAACAAATACTTCGTTACTGTCGGGTGTCAAAACAGTCAGCCAAGTGGAAACAATCACGCTTATTAACGTCACATAACTTCGGCTTGTTTGATTTTCTGAACTGGATCGGGTAAAAAATGACGACTCATAAGCTAATTAAAGAGGAGCAGAATAATCGAGCTGTCGAAACACCGAGAAAACAGCAGTTTATCCTAAATATTTTTCATATCCAGCTTTCCTGTGCATTTCCTAGACATGTGACAATAGCCACTGCCATTCAACAAACGCGTCACACCCCAGCGTGCAAACGAGGCTAGTCTCTTCCCGAGGTTTCAAAAATTTGATTGACTGATTCCCAATATGGCCACCTAGACGCCAAAATCGTCTATTTTTAAGTCCTTGGTACGTCGAATTCGCACCCAGTAAGCAAACAGCAATTCTTCAAAGGTTTGTCTTTTAGTTTGTGCGAATTGGAAACGTAAAAGATTTGTCTAAAGTCCTTTAGTTTATCGCGTGACGTAGTCCTGCTTTCTGGCGTGTTTATACTTTGGATGGTTTGATATGCGATATCTTGTGCAAAAATGAATAGCGAAGCTAATGACAGTACGGATGCAGGAGTGAGTAACGAAGACACAGACACAGTGGAATCCATCACAGAAACATCGGGCGAGAGTCGGACAGAAAGAATTCGAAGACTGAATAGAGAAAGACAGCGACGAAGGCGCGAAAAACTAAGGATGTCACGCCAGAGTGAAGCGCCATCGACAACCAGTAACGACGTGGACCCAAGCCATGATCTTGAGGTTCTGTCTGAGGGCTGTGCGATTGTAGAAGTAATGCTACCTCTGAAAGTCGAGACAGAAGTACCAGAAGAAATAGATAAAGAAAGTTCGAAAGCTACGAGACCGAAGCGATCTACGAGAACGAGGCAAAAATCGCGAAAGGAAGGCGCAACTGAGCAAATTTCATCCGATACCGTCTCATCAGCAAACAACGCCATTTCACCACCATGTCACGACAATAACTCAAGATTTGACGGCGCTTCAGACGAGAGCAGCGTTCTTGTTGTCGCCAGTGAGGTGGAAGTAATCGATGAAAAACCTCAAGAAAACGGAACCGAAGAAACTACGGAAATTTCAGAAACAAAAGCAGACGGGAAGAAGCGGCGAACGCGAGAACCGAAGAGACACACTGAAAAATCACCCGAAGACGTCGCGACAAAGCGGGTATTTAGAGAGCGTGAAAAGAAGAAAATGCAGGGGAATAACGATGAGGTCACGGCAAGAAGAGAAAAACAACGCGAGTTAAAAAGGAAGCAGAAAGAAAGGATGAGTAGCGACCAAATTGAAGCGCTGAGGGCGAGATATCGGGAATGGAGGCGAAAACGAAAGGAAACCATGACAAGCGAGCAATTGGAGATAATACGCAAAGGAAACCGTGAACGACAGCGAAGACGGCGTGAGCGGTTAGGAATCAGAAAGCGGTCAACAACCCCTCAGGCCAAGGGAGTCAGCGAAGCAGTCATACAAGGCATCAAAAACAAGCAAGCACAAGTTCTAAAACCAATGGAATCGAGTCTTAGTCCCGAGGCAAGTCTTGTAGCAGCGGTAAACAAGGTCGCTTCGCTGAACAGCGTCGAGGCAGCCGCAGCGACCGCCGCTCTTATGCCAAATCCTTCTCGCGTCGAAGGACCGGTCGCTGTCACACTAGAAGTAAATCCAGCTGCTACTGGAATGGCACCTAGTGTCATTCAGAACACCCAGCCCATTTCACAACCGCCTTCATCAACATCTCAGCTCGTAAGTCTTCCTGTCACATCTACAAATGTAACACAAGGTACTTTGCCTCCGGGAATGCCCGTTCTTGGTCCTCAGGGAACTATTCTTCAAGGGCTACCACCGGGATCTGGTGCTCTTTACAGCATGACAATGCCAGGGATTCAAGGAACTTTGTTACCTGGGATTCCTGTTACTGCAGGACAACCTTTACCAGGTGTACAGGGAAGCACTGTCACTGGAATGCCTTTCTCTGGAATGCAAGGACTTGTGCCAGGCATGTCTCAAAGTGCATTTTTGTCAGCTTCACAAGGTGGAGTCCTTCCTGGGATGCAAACATTTAGTAGTATGGCACCAACTATGACCAAGGATGGCCAAATCTTGCACAGCATCTCTACCCTTCTTCCTATTGCTCCAATGCAAGGTATCCAAGGAACTGGTCAAGGTGTTGCATTCCTTGCTCCTATGCCCATGACTGGACCTGCTGCTCAAGTTCAAGCTTTTCAAGATATTAGAGGTGCAGTGGCCACTCCGATAAGAACTGCTAGTCCTGGCATCAGCACCACAGTGGCATCAGTTCCAATAGCAGACAGTGTTACAGCAGAAACAGTGGCTGTTGTGCAACCAGGGGATGGAAGTGACCCTGCTGGAACAGACCCCAAAAATAAAAATGCAAGCTCTCCAAAACCAAAGGGAAGAAGAGGAAGGAAAAGAACCACTTCTGCTGCAGAAATGTTAGCAAACCTGAGCAACTTACCTCCAACTAGCACACCAATGTCATCCATGCTATCAGCATTGGCTTCTCAGTTAAGAGGTAATACACCCACTGGGGTAACAGACAAGGAAGGGGAGCCTCCAGCCAAGAGAGGTACTGTGGAAGCCAATCAGATTGCTGTCATGCCCAGAGCACCGACTCATCAAGACTCCAGTCCAGGGGCAGTGGCCATTGGGAGTGAAGCTGCTGGCCATGCGAGACCTAGTGTGGTGAACCATCCAGAAATGCAAGCGACATTTCCTTCTTCAAGCACAAATGCCAAGATTCCCCATATGAGTACCTTTCTCAATACCATGAGTGGAAGTTCAATTCCAAACATGGGAGTGCCATTTGCTACTGCCACAAACCTAGCAAGGCCTATTAATAGCTTCCCTCCTAACATACAGGCAATACCTGGTCAGTTTTTCCCATCCAGGGTTTCTGTTGCTGTGGAGACAGAAGAAATAAGAAAAACAACAGTTGGTACTAACACTGAAAACAGCCAACATTTATCAGCTGGTGGCATCGACCAGTCTGCTGTTATGTCATCGGTAGGTACCATGACTGACTCATTGTACAAAGTGTCTGTGGGTACTGGGACTGCTGGAACAGGGCAGCCTAATGGACAATCAGTTGTTACTGCTATGGGTGAAAGCCATCCAAATATAGTGGAAAAGACTGCAACTGGACAAGAACTTAACCAAGAAAAACCATGTCAAGCTGTGGTGAATGTTACGGAAATTAACCCAGCAGAAATACTCCAGGAGGCGTTACATCAAGGTCAGATTACCCAAGAGGTCATGATTCAAGAAGAGGTGGTGGAGGAAGTTGTTGGAGTCTCTCCAGAAGTGGCCAAGATTACGCCTATAGGAGATGGTATTTAACATTTACATTGAGCTGTTATAGCTCCACAATAAACAGTGGTTTGTCTACACCTTAACACGGTCAAGTCTTTGCATGTACTTTAGTTACTAACATAATTATTGTAGACTGGGATTTCGTTTTCATCTGGGGTTAACCATAGTGGGAAATAGAAAAAAAGAGAGAGAGACTCAGAGTTGACTGAAAGTTCTCAAGAGCCTAGCTCTAACACTATTTCATGTGAAAAGAAAGAGTTGCTCACAGTAGCATGGATCCGAAACTTTGCAGATTGGAAGCCCTATTGAGTAGCTATTCTGAGTATCAGGCATTCTATGTTCTACATGTGCATTGACATACATGAGATCTTATTTCAAACTTTTGGCTCTCAGTCAGGTAGAGTTCAAATCTTTTTTGCAGGCGAAAGACAAAGCATGGTGTTATTTTGACTGTTAAGTGTGAATTAACTTGTGGAACACATTAAGCCTTACTCAGAGAGCTAGAGCACTGGCTGTTTGGTGATCTAGTAGTTTAAAACATAAATGTTTGAGAAGATTATATTTCATTTCAAACTGATATTGTAATGGCAGTGAGCAAAGGCAGAAAGGCAGCTTAAAGCAGATTCTATATTACTATATATACTTGTTCAAGGACTCGTTATCATTAAAGCAATGCCTATTGCTTATGTAAAAATTAAGGCCTCAACTTAGGTGATAACTTGGAACAACAAGGCAATGTGAAAATTGATTTGATTTGGTTTAAAAAAAAGTAGAGAATTAGAATTCTTTAAATCAAAAATATGTTTGGGAAACAGATTTTGCATAGCAACAAAATAGCGTGTCGAGTTATGAAGTACAATTATCTGTGTTTGGAAGACATCACAATTCAAGCCTGGTTTTGTGCAGTTTGATGACTATTTTATCCAAGACAGATGGATATTAACCTCTGTTGCAACTGTATCATTTTATTTCATGCAAGATATACCCAAGTGTATTTAGCATGCAAAATGCATTCTATTACATTTCATGTTATATATCCATGCAATTTTTTAAAGAAATCTCAATCTGTGATAGTTTGGGTTGATTGAAGTAGTTTAATGGGTCACAGCAGTCTTTTTCGTAACAATCTAGGGTGATATTTGTATATTTTAGTCTGTGGTAATCATTAATGAATCTTTAATAACCTTGTAGGTTTCAGTGTGTTGATCAAACATTGATTGTCTTTATTATTTGTTACTATTGATTTTTTATGACAAGGTGTTTTAACACATTTGAATCATAGTGAAATCAAAGTCAAAGGGTTTATTGTGATACAGGCAAAGCCGCTAAAAGTCCAGATTATCTCTAATTATATAGTAGAATAAGCCTTGACATCATGCAGGATTATGATATTTGCTATATTACGTAGTTAAAATTGTACACTGAGAACATCCTTAGCACTGAATTAATGTTGTGATGCTACTCTGGCAAAACTATCCAAAAAGTCATTAGTTTTATTCAGTGGAATATTTTAACCATTTGGCTGTTTCTTAAAAGTTTTAAAGTTTCTTTGATGAATCAAATGAGTGTTTTTAACCATGGCTTTCAGTTAGAGAGAGAACACTGACATTGCTGTAAATTACTGGATTAGATATAATTATAGGAGCAGTATTATTGTACATTTGTAGCTTGCCTGTATTTATGTGGCAGTCTTTTTTACAGTGTAAGTCATAAGATTGCAGGAGTGTTCTGTATCACTCTATTTGGCAGAGTGTAGTCGGAGGCAAGGAGAAATGGCTGTATTTGCATTTAACAAATAGAGTCATGTTGCTGTGCATCTGTTCAGTAATAGATCACAGATGACATCAAAATGTGGTAAGAACAAGAAAATAGCACACGTAACATAGCTGAGAAAGATGTTGATGTTCTTACTGCTTTATGACAAACTTTGTGATCTATTACTTTGCAGACCCTTGTTAAGATGAGTCTATATGTTTTATATGATAAAAAAGCAAAGTGTTGTTTATGTTGAGGTCATCTATGCATCTGTCCTCCAATAGATCACAAGTAAGGACCATCAAAATGTGTGTAGGCCTTAGCCTATATAAACTTCACAGTGAAGAGAGAATGTCTATGCTTCTCTCCCATTGCATATTCTACAGTGTGATGAAGACTGGCACCAAAATGGACAGGCTGGCATCAGTAAGAGCTTAAGTAGTGTTCTTATTGCCTTCTTAATATTGATAAGAGAGAACTTTGAATAATTTTGCTTTCAAGGTTGATGGTCACATAATGACTGTATTGTTTGTATGGTACGTATGATTTATTTTAAACACAATAATTATGATTTAAGTAAACAAATATCAATAGCCATGTTGTTGTTTTCTCTGTAATAAGAGTATTTGTAAGTCGTGTCATACAGATTCATGTTTATCATGGGGAAAGTGCAGCCTGCTGTGTTATTTACATCGAATATTTTGATTTGGAAAGTAAAGGCTGAGGCTTGGTGTGTTGCACATAATTGCTGATTAGTTTCAATAAGTTAACCTGCAATACTGCCTGTGATACAAGCTTGTGATTGTTTCTTTGTTTGATTTAGAGTTAAGGTGCATGGTAGGGGGAGGGACTGGTAAAAGATGATGACTTCTATTGCCCCAGCTCTTCTCCTCTCCTTTCTTTTGACTGTTGCCTACCCCCTAGGTACAAGTGTCATTCCTTCTCCAGCCGTTTGGTGCTTTTAAAAATCAATTCCTTGTCAAGAAAATACTGAGCACTTGCACACCCAAATTATACCTGCTGTGCAGGCTATTAGAAAGTTATCTGTGTCTACATCTGCGAGTCAAATACACTGCTGTTATTAGTAGCTTTCAAAGTACTGACATGTGCTAAACCTTTTTGTTAAATAATAGTATGCTGTTGAGTTTGACAACATCCTACCATTTGTACTACTCCACTTCATAGTCGCATCTTCAATCAACTCCTCTCCTGTTCCTTGAGCATAAACTTGTTAAAAAAACTACCCTTGCTTTCACATTGACAACAATTTACTAGCTGGTTAGGGCTATTGATTGTTTCATTTCACCAGGGCAACAAGCCCCAGTGAAATGAAACGTGTTTTGCCTCAAGGGTTTGAATCCAGCAGCAGTCATGTGTTGTGACTGTCTGGGTTAGGTATTCCTGAACAGGACTTGTTGGTAACAGGGACTGACATGTTTACAGCCTGAGGGAATGTTTTCTCAAGACTCTGTAGCCAGACTTAGAATATGACATTTTCTTGAGGTGTCAACATTTCAGTCTTAATGACAGTCTCTTTTTATTTCCTGAGGGATGACTCTACAGCAATTATGTTAATAGAATAAGAAAGATGATGAGTTATGACCTTGGTAAAGAAATCGCTGGTAAGCAAGGCTCATGAAAATAAAGCCTAACAGGAGGGCTTATTTTTTGCTATCTGTTCTAGGTCACCTGTGTTGACCTGATCTGTACCAATTATCACAAAAAAAGTATGTCAAACCAGTACGTTTGAAGACAAATGCAGGGTCTGATCTGGGAACATTAAAAATTTACAGTGTGCCCTACCCTTCCCCCCACCTGCAGCAACTACCCGCTTACACCGTAAACTATCATAAGTCAAGTTGTCGGCAAGACTCGGAAGTGATACTCGTTATAAAATAGAGAAATGTAATACCTGACAAGAACTGATGCTAACCCCCCCTCCCTTCCCCCCAACCACGAAAAATCTGACGCGGTGACGTTCCCCCGTTGTGCGTGACAGCACCCTCGTTTCCGCTTAAGCTCCATTCGCATGCGCATTCAAGTGGGAGAAGTCTCAAAATGCCCGGAAGTGTATCTCTTAGAGGAGTCATCGAGTATTTTTATCAAAACAGAAGCGATTGTTTTAAAAGAGACAAGGCAAGATGCTAGAGAAGCACAGGCACTTGTTGATTAAGTTTAGGGGAGAAATTGTGGAAGATTTGTTAGTGGACGATGTGCTTCCTTACCTGCGGAGCAAGTTTGTGCTAGACTCTGAGGACGCTGAGGTCATTCGAAAGGAGCTTACTTCCAGAAGGCAAGCAGAAAAGCTTCTGGACATTCTTTCATCGAAAGGATACAACACATTTGATCACTTTTTCACCGTTCTTAAAGAGAAATACCAACATCTCGCGCAACTTTTATCGAGTGATGAGAGTAGCGAGGATGAAAACGGGTTTAATCATGTCACGGAAGATATCGACTCACCACTACAATGTAAGTATAAATCAAAGGTTTTTTTTACCTTTCTTTTTGTGGAAAAAGCCATTGGTGCTAGTTTCCTGTATAACTTTTTATTTCGACATTGGTGCAGATGGAACTCGTTTAATTCTGACAAGATAAATTTCGTAACATAGCGAATTTGTTGTGTTCGACCACCTTGGCCAAGGTACGTTTCTTACTGCTGGAGACAAGACATGGCCCATCAAACATGTTGTTTTACTTCCGCTGCATTTTTCATAACCCATTCTTTCTTCTGACTTCACGATTCTCAAGCAGTTACTCTAATGGATTGTTGAAGGGTAATGAATGGTGCTTGACCCAATATCACGAACATGTAAACATATGATTTTCTTTTTCCTAATATTGTCCTCATCTTTAGCATCATTATTAGACGTTTTGGTGTGTAGTATTGCTGAGAATTTTCATGACTTGTGTCGTATTTTGACGAGCCCTTGGGGTGAGTCAAAATACACACAACGATTTTTTTTCCTGCTAAGTCTTTCTACTCATTTCTCATAAGGCGAGAAAAGCAAACCAGACAGAGAAGCGTAGCGGGCGCAGCCGACTGGTTAATCAGTCTTTTTTTACAGTACAAAATAACCAACTGTCCAAATAACCGTACAGTATCGCAGGATATTTGTACTCTATTCGCGCGTTATTATTACACTTCTTTGTGCAGTTGGATAATGAACATGTTTATTGTATTGATATTTTATCTCTTTTATCGAGCTGCATCCAGTAGAGTACAAATAACATGCGAATCCGGTACAAATATTCTGTTATTGCACAGTTATATGAACTATGTGACAGTTATGAGGATAATGAATAACTGATTAGATACTTTGATATGTTGTTTTGCTGAGTATTTTTGCTTGTTGTTTGTCTTTTGATTTGCCCTGTAGGCTTGTCAAAACATGGCACAACTTGGCTCACCTTTTAAAAGAGATATTTTTGCTAATTAACTAGTGACAAGACACGCAATGTACATCTCATTCCAGAGTCCAGACACTAACTAAATTCTCCTATCCTAGGGGTTTAGCTGTGTGTCGATACTCTCAAACACTGCTTGTTTCAGAGGCTCTTGTTGGCAACCACCTTGCTGAGTTGCAAAGATTTACAACTGAAATTGTTTTTATTTCCATAGTGCAAATGATGACTCAGGACCATGCTAATCTCCTTATTGCCAACCGGGTGGAAATTGTTGAAGATCTCTTGGTTGATGATGTACTTAACTTTCTTCAGAGTAAAATGGTATTTGATGTTCATGATACTGAACTAATCAGAGCAGAAGTGACATCAAGAAGACAGGCAGGGAAGCTGCTAGACTTGTTGGAGACTAAAAATGATGCAGCCTTTTATCATTTCCGTAAGGCATTGGAAGAACCTTATCCTCACTTGGTGGAATATTTGCAAGAAAATGCTGCTGCTCCAAGGAAAGTATCAAAAGCTAAAGAGTTATCAGAGAGAGGTATGTAGCAAAAATTATGCATCAATTAAAGGAGAAATATGCTCTGGAAACTATTAATTTTTGTGTCTACCACAAAAAGTGTTTAAAATTAGGATACAGAATGTGCTTTGAGATTTACAACAGTAACCAGACCCCTTTGAAAATTGTCTTAAAATTTGACTAGGGACACATTCATTCTTTCTTAGTGCTGTGACTGATTACCTGTCTCAAACCTCCATTTTCAATTTCATAGAGATCTATTTATCAATACTAGGCAATTTTACAGTTGTGTATATAGTTGCCAAGTGTTTGATTTGGAGTGAGGCTGTAGGTGACCTTGTTGTGATAGAGACCAGTATCTAGTTAACTTAATAACAAAGCAATTTACATTGATAAGCAGCAAGGTTTGTATCATAACAAGGTCACCCTTAGCCTCACTCCTGTTCAAAGGCATAGCAACCAAGCACACAACTGTAAAATGGACTATTAAGAAGACTACACTAGGAAGACACAGTGGCCTTATGGTCAGTGCACTTGACTCCAGGTCAAAAGGTCTGGGTTCAAGACCTGGGTGGGTCAATGTGTTGTTTTCTTGGACAAGACACTAACCTTGTCAGTGCCTCTCTCCACCTGGGAGTATAAATGGGTATTGGAAAATTATCAGGAAAGCCTAATGATATTCTGGGGGATAAAACTGTGATGGACTAACTTCCCATCCAGGAGGGGAAGCAGTAATACTCCTAGTCACTATGTGCAAGTCTTTCACTAAATGTTCTTTACATTTTAGTTATTATAATTTTCTATCACTTTTTTTTGTTCACTTTGTTTTTGTTCAGTTGAAAATGTCCTTCTAGAGGGTGGTGTGCCTCAGCGGCCAGCGATTTTTGCCCACAGGGGAAGAGATATTCACAAAATTCATGCAGCATTAAAGTCCCTAAAAGAGAGAGATGGCTGGGTTATTCTGCATGGAATGGCTGGCTGTGGAAAGACTGTCTTAGCCTCTGAAGCTCTTAGAAGTGCTGTTGTCTTGGATGAGTGCTTCCCAGGTGGTGTTCACTGGATACGAATAGGCCCTGTAGATCAACCTAAACTTCTCATGCACATGCAAAATCTTTGTGCCAGACTTGATTCTGATCATAATCGACAACCTCCACGAAACACTGAAGAAGCTAAGGACAGGTTAAGGGTGCTCTTTGCCCACCAGCACCCTCGATCATTGCTAATTCTTGATGACCTTTGGGATTCCTGCGATGTGAAGTTCTTTGATGTCCGTTGTCGTATCATGGTTACCACTCGTGATGCAGCTATCACAGACATGGTGGGTGGGTCGAAAGCTAAAGTTCACATTAGTGAGGGTTTTACAGAAGATGAATCACTTCAAATTTTGGCTGAGTGGACAAAGCAGCTGCCCAAGACAAACCTCCCAGCTGAGGCAAAAGAAATCTTTAAACTTACAAATGGTTCTCCCTTAGCAATAAGTATGATAGGTGCTCTGCTTCGAGATCATCCTACAAGATGGGAATATTATGTCAAACAACTGAAAAAGAAGAATGTCAGTAAGCTTAAACCACAGTTTGAGTATCAATATCCAACTTTGACAGAAGCAATTCGCATGAGCATCAATAACCTGCCTGATGAACTAAGGGACATTTATGAAAGCTTCGCTGTGTTTCATGAAGATTGTAAAGTTCCTGCCCAGGTCCTCATTATACTGTGGAATGAGGAGGTATGGTACCCGCAACTTGATTACAAGAAACACCTTTGCATGTCTTACTTTAGATACATCTGATAATCAGTTGGTTTATCTAGTAGTTGGTTAGCAAGTCCATTTGTTATAATCCATAATTCAGTCAATCAGTGAGTCAGTCAGTGAGTCAGTCAGGGAGCCAGTCAGTCAGTCAATCAGAAAGTCAGTCAGTCAGTCAGACAGTCAGACAGTCAGACAGGCAGTCAGACAGGCAGTCAGTCAGACAGGTAGTCAGTCAGTCAGGCAGGCAGTCATTCAGTTTTTTACTCAGTCAGTTGGTCAGACAGTCAGTCAGTCAGTCAGACAGGCAGTCAGTCAGTTAGGCAGGCAGTCATTCGGTTTTTCAGTCAGTCAGTTGGTCAGTCAGTCAGTCAGTCAGTCTGGCAATCATTCAGTTATTCGGTCAGTCAGTCAGTTGGTCAGGCAGGCAGTCAGTCAGGCAGTCAGTTGGTCAGGCAGTCAGTCAGGCAGTCATTCAGCTATTAAGTCAGTCAGTCAGTCAATCAGTAAGTCAGTGAGCCGGTTAGTCAGCCAGTTGGTCAGTCAGTCAGCCAGCCAGTTGGTCAGTCAGTCAGCCAGTTAGTCAGTCAGTCAGCCAGTTGGTCAGTCAGTCAGTCAGCCAGTTGGTCAGTCAGTCAGCCAGTTAGTCAGTCAGTCAGCCAGTTGGTCAGTCAGTCAGTCAGTCTGTCAGTCAGTCAGTCAGTCTGTCAGCCAGTTAGTCAGCCAGTCAGTCAGCCAGTCATTCAGTTATTGAGTCAGTCAGTTGGTCAGTCAGTCAGTCAGTTGGTCAGGCAGTCATTCAGTTATTCAGTCTGTCAGTTGGTCAATCAGTCAGTCACTCAGTTATTTGTCAGTCAATCAGTCGGTCGATCAGTCAGACAGTCAGTCAGCCAGTCAGTTGGTCAGCCAGTCAGGTTGTTAGTCAGTTAGTCAGTCAGTCAGTTATTTATTCAGTCAGGCAGTCAGTCAGGCAGTCAGTCAGTCAGGCAGTCAGGCAGTCAGGCAGTCAGGCAGTCAGGCAGTCAGTCAGTCAGTCAGTCAGTCAGGCAGTCAGTCAGGCGGGCAGTCAGTTAGGCAGTCAGTCAGGCAGTTATTTAATCAGTTAGTTATTCAGTTGATCAGTCAGGTAGGCAGTCAGTCAGTCAGGCAGTCATTCAATTATTCAGTTAGTCAGTAAGTCAGTCAGCTTTACTGTTTGTCTGTTTGACTTGCAATTAATTATTTCATTCCCCGGCTGCTTGGTCGGTTACTAATTATTAAAGCTAGATCAGCTCAGAAAGCTTTCTCATAAATGAAATAAATAATTTTACAGTTTGAAGTTGTGGAAGACTGGATGGAAGACTTGGTGAACAAATCCTTGGCGAGAAGAACAGTGGATTCAGAAGATGCAATTGGTACATGGTACACTGTGCATAACTTGCAGCTAACTTTCCTTCATGAACAGGCCACAAATCTGGAAGCTCTGCACAAGAACCTGGTGGATAGATACAGAAAGGTGTATAAAGGTAAACTATTGGTAGGCTAATCTTTGGCAGAGCAGAGGTACATGATGCATATGACACAATGCCCCTAGAATGCATTCAATTGACTGTCGTAACATCAAAACTAAGCAAATTTCAACATCTTATCAAAAGAGGATTAACATTTCATGAGGTCAGTGAGGAGTTTCAGGGGGGTAGTTAGGGGGAAGTCCTCTGGTGCAAACCCCGCCCTTTGTAAAAGATCCTATCTTCTTTCTGTTAAACTTTTTAGGAAACTTTAGTGAGATGAAAAATGATGGCTATATTTACCGGAATCTTTTGCGACACATGCTTAGAGCAGGTCTGATAGAAGAGGCACAGCAACTTATCACAGATCTAAAATGGCTGGCTGCTAAACTAGATGTCACTGGACCCGCTGATCTACTGAATGACTATTTAGCAGTCAAAGGACATGAAGACAGCAAGGTAACTACACAACACCATAAAGAATGTTTCAAATGACCAAAGAGTGGAAATTGATTTCATGGCTCTAGATCAAACAAAATTAGTCCAGCTCGTTCAAGGAGTGTTTATCAGTTGACTCTGCATGTTTTTCCCTTGTTTAACCTTAAATGTAAAATTTTCTCTCTAGGAACTGAAAGTCATCAATGATTTCCACCATTTTGTAAGTGTGAATGCCCATCGTTTTGTGGAGAAACCTCTTCCAGATTTAATCCAGATGGGTCTTAGTGAATCCAGAGACTCTGAAGTCTATAAACAGGCATATGACAAAGCCATTCAGCTGGGAGGGGATGGCAAGTTTTATCTTGATTGGAGGTGAGATATGCTTGTCCTGTTCCATAACAATGGGCTAAGTAAATTATCAATTTGTTGATATAATCAACACACCAGCAATAAAATTTATGACGAGTTTAATTTGTAATGACTTAATCAAACTCTTCTACTTACAAGAAAGAGGTTTTTGCTGATTGAATGAAATGAACCTGCTAGAACTCCTTGCTCATCTTGATACAATTAATTACTGCAATCGCAACAAAATGTGCTCAATGCTTTCTTCATTTACAGAATTTACAACAGAATTTGAAAGGAGCTGAGCAATCATACTAACACAATTATTTGCCCCAGGCTCAATGAACATTGTTGAATAATCCCCTGGGCTTCATCTCAGGGATTATTCACAAATATTTACTTTGCCTTTGGCAAATAATTGTTAAATATACTCTCAAACAACTGTCATGCCCTGAAATACCAGTTAGATGCTGGTGGAAGACTGCCTTATTAGGAATTCTTTCTGTGCCTTCATTGAACTGACAACCAGTCTTGAAATAACTTAATCAACTGTTTCCATAGTAACCGTGCAGAAGAGTCTCAGGATACACTTCTCATAACAGTGAAAATTCACCAAGGAGCAGTGTACTGTTGCAGTTTTTCACAGGATGCGAGCAAAGTGGTGTCTTGTGGTGCTGACAAAACTGTAAAGGTATTGCACTTTGAATGACCTTGTAGCATACAATTTATTACTGACACTAAATGAGATTTTTGGTTTCAACTGAAGCTAGTAACTCAATGTGCTTATTAGCATCCAGTAATTGCACATTTTTGAAGAAATGTGAAGTCTTTTGCTCCCTAATTAGTTGAAGAAGGAGATGTTTCCAGTTCAGTAGATCAAACAAGCTTCAAAAGATTGTCAGTAAGGATAGCACTTTGAATTCCTTTTAGGTTTGGGAGAGTCAATCAGGCAAAGAGCTGCTGTCCATGATGGGCCATACTGATGTGGTATACTGCTGTGCATTCTCCACTAATGATGTCAGAATTGTTTCATGTTCTGCTGATCACAGAGTCAAGGTTTGTCCATTACTATGGCTAAGTTATTGGCTGGAAGTATCTTGAATTTGTATTTTTTGTTTGGGCCCTTTGTGAAGAAATACTCTGATTCCAATGTTGAAAGGTTATTGTGCATAACAGATTATAGAGATGTGACTTTTCAATGTGGAACATATTTGCTACTCTCACTAGTATTCAATGAATGAGGATTTAGTAATTAGAATGGCACCTCTTTTGTGAAAGTGATATGTAACCCAATCATGTGCAGAAAAGAGAGCAGTCTATCAATTCCTCTTTAGATTTGGGACAGCAGTAGCGGAAAAGAACTACTGACTTTCAGTGGCCACAACCAAGAAGTATTCAAGTGCATGTTTTCACCAGATGACAAGAAAGTTGTTTCCTGCTCTGCTGACAAGACTGTCAAGGTACTAATACTACTTTAAACCCTACACTCTAACATCAGTAGGCATATTCTCCATGCTGATTTTTTATACAATTCCTAAGGTGCTGACACCAAATTGCTCTCAAAATCATGTTATTACCTATACTAATTTAATTAAATAAATGTCCTTCCATTATAAACTTCTGGCCCTCTTGACACTGTTTACAAAAGTAAGTGATTGAATAAAAGGTTTGGCTAATTTTAAGATGGCTTAGAGTGCGGTTTTGTCAAAAAGTGGCTAAACTTTGTTAAGATAGCTGGCCCGATAAGTTTATTTAATGAATTCACTTATACACACTTAGTGCACACTATACACTTCATTTAAAGAATGATTATTAATAATTTAAATATTTTCATAGACCCACAGGTAGTCTAGACTGAATATAGGCGGGCTATGTTTTAACCAATAAATACAATATAATCAATTTGAAAATGAAACGGTAACTAATAATTAAAAAACTAAGTAACACATCAGTACATGGAGGCTTGTTTTACAATTCTTTGAGTTGATAAGTTAATAAATCAAAATTTATAAAATAATGAAATTTAGGCTGTGATATGTTAATTAACAAATTTGACTTGTTTTATAATTTCCAGAACATAAATAAAAAGTAATGATTTATTGATTGATTGAGATTGGCTATGATTTTGCATCTGGACCCCATCACAGAGCAAGTAAAGCAAAACCAAAGCAATCCAGGATCACTTTTGTTACTGAATTTAAAACTGCACCTACTTAGACTTATTCTTTTAACCCTGTAACTCCCAGAAGTGATGAACTTGTAACTTCTCCTTTAAATGTCCATACATCATCCTGCAAACAGGTATTGAGAAACCTCCAACTTATCAGATAGAAGTTATCATCTTGATCTAACACTAAATTAATTCTCATAACTCATTTACAAGGAAACATATAGCAGCTAGAGGAGAGAATTTACAATCAGATCTAGGGAGTTAAAGTGTTAAATAACTCAACTGGTTGATATTCAAGTCAGTGTGTAGACCACCTTCAACTTTTGATCATTATTTGAATGGGTAAATATTTTATTGCATGGAAATTTCAGGTGTGGAGTTGTGAAGGTGGCACAGAATATGTGAATTTCACTGGTCATGCAGATATTGTCCGCTGTTGTTGTTATTCTCCTGATGGTTCACAAATTGTGTCTTGTTCTGATGACACTCTTGTGAAGGTATTGTGACACAAAATGATATTAAACCCAAATACTTACCTTTTTAACCCTTTAACAATCAGTAGAAACTCAGGGCAGAGGAGGTTGTACATTTTAGGGAAAACTTACCATAAATCAAATCAGTGGTGAGGATTTCTGAGAATGGTTTACAACATAGTCAACCATGTTCAGATTTACAAGATGATGTGGTTTGTAATTTGTAAATTGGTGGCTGTGGGGAGTTTCAGATGTTTTGAGGGTCAGCCCCTCATCAGAGCTCTGACAGCTTTAGAGAGTATAAAATTTATAAAGTTCTATGTGAAGATTTCATGATGATGGTTGTTAATAAGGGTGCTCTGTAAGGTAGCAACAAATGTACCACATTCGTTTTCAATCATTTGTAACATATGTGGTAAATTGGAGTTGTGTTTTTTTTTTCCTTATCAGGTCTGGGATTCAACATCAGGACAAGAGTTGTTTACCCTTGAAGGAGGAACAACTAGTGCTGTGACATTTTGCTGTTTCAAACCGACTTCACACAGTATAGTTGGTGTTTCAGATACTGTTGCTAAGGTTAGAACACAAGAAAAATAATTTTTCATGTCAGATTTTAGTGGCTTTTGTGAGGTTCTCATGATTTGAAACCAGAAAATGAAAAATTATTTCAATATGTCTTCAGCTCTCCAACTTGTTACAAATAAGATTTTGATTTTTGAACCATAGTTTTCATTTTTCCAATATTCTTTGGGAACTCAAACTTGAATTATGGAAAGGAAACTATTAAACATCTTTTTTTCCTTTGCATTTCCATTTTTATGTTGACCAAATTCCTGCAGTTCCAGGGTTACTTTTTATATCAAAATTGTAGAGTTCCCTTTGAAAAGGCAAGCAAGATTTTAAATCTACTCACTGGGATTAACAAAATTATTTCTTTGCTAGATTTGGGACTCGAAAACTGGTGAAGAATTAAAGACCCTTTATGCATCTTCCACCCCTCTTTCACTGGCATATTCACAGGATGATAGTATTTTAGCGGTGGGTCTGTCAGACACAACTGTACAGGTGGGCTTTCAATCTCACATATTCATTTATGAACACGTCCTACAATTTCATGAGCCTCTTAAAATTTTTTTTGAAACTTTGATGGAATTCTTAAAATCCTTTATAAACCATATTAAACACAACTACACACACTTAACCCTTTGACTCCCAGAAGTGATTAACATGTAACTTCTCCCCATGATATCCAAACATTATACAGCAATAGGTAATGAGAATACTCAAACTTATCAGGTAAAAGTTGTTATCTTGATCTAACGCTAAATTCTCACAACTAATTTAGAAGGAAATGTGTGGCAGCTTGAGGGAGAATTAACAATCAGATCTTGGGAGTTAAAGGGTTATATTTGACTTATTTGGAATTATAAACATGATTATTGTAATAATCACATCTCAATTATGAGACATTTTGTCAGTGAAATCTCTGTCACCTATCATAGATATTTTAACCAAAAGATTAATGTTATTTGTACTCTTTGCAGCTGTGGAATACAGTCAATGAAGGAAGCATAGGTGTGTACCGAGGCCACTCAGGCTGGGTTCACTGTGTTGCCCTGTCACAGGATGCCAGCAAGTTGGTTTCATCCTCTGATGATGAAACTGTCAAGGTAAAGCACTATGAAGCTCAAAAATGCAGTATTTTTAAAGGTTTGTGTGAATTCTTAATCAACCTAAATTTTGATTCTTCTCTCAACTGTAGATCTGGAAAGTTGACAACACCAATGTTCAAGAGTGTATGAAACTCAGAATGGTGTTTGATGTGATGTTTAGAGGGGATTCCCTGACTATTGCCATTACAGACACATCCAACAGGCTGATGGTAAGTAGTAGCTGGTTACCGAAAAAGAATGGTAATTCTAAAAGTTGGAATGGTGGAATGACGGAATGACAGAATGGTAGAATGGTGAAAAGTTGAAACAAATCCTAAAAGACAGAACTGTAAATAGTGCACACATCCTGCTAAAGGATAGAGGGTTGTCCAATACACCCAAACCGTTGCAAATTGTCAAAGGCAGTTGACAAATCGTCAAACTGGAAGTCGATTCGCTAAGTGATGTTGTATATACTGGAGGTCTGAGAAACCATCTTTTAGGACGTGAAAAGGCATACCGGAAGTCAATTTGCGAAAGACTTAGAAAATATTCCACAAGTGTCTGCGATAGGGGGTTGAAAATGTTGTTGAATCGACACAAATGAACTCGAATTGAACAACTTGTCACAACAAATGATGACCCGTCATACTGGATGTTGATTTGCAAGACACTTAGAAAATATTCTGCAAGTGTCTGTGAAGGGGGGTTGTAGATGTTGTCGAATTGACACGATTCAACTCGAATTGAACGACTTATCACAATAAATGATGACCGGTCATACTGGATGTCGATTTGCAAGACACTGCAAATTGACATCTGGTATGATGGATCATCATTTGCTGTGACAAGTTGTTCGATTTGAGTTGAATCATGTTGAATCGTCAACATTTGCTACACTGTATAGTTTTTAATATTCTGATGATAGACTTCTGGTTGTTTCATGCTTTAAGAATGTGGAAGGTTCATGTTGTCATGTTCTCATACCATGCGACTCATTTTCACTCATTGCTCATGTGCGCACCCCTTGACTTCTGGTATGTTAATGCATAATTCAACTTCTGGCATACCATGGTAATTTCCCATATTGCTTACGCCTCTCGACTTGTGGTATGTTAATGCATGATTTGACATCCGGTGTAACGATTCGTCAAGGCCTGTAGACGAATTGCAACAGTTTGGATGTATTGGACATGGGTAATTGTGAAGAAGAGCTCCCCAAAAAACCTGTCGGCCGACTGTCGGTCAACTGTCGGCCGACTGTCGGCCGTTTGTCGGCCGACAGTTGGCCGACAGACGGCCGACAGGTTTTGCCCGAAATATAGGCTACCTGTCGGCCGACAGTGAACCGACAGTCGGCCGACAGTCGGCCGACTGTTGGTAATGTGTCGGTAACCTGTCGGTAGCTTGTCGGTAGCTTGTCCGTGAAACGTTAACACAAACCTTAATGTTTTCTCTCGGTTTTCGCTTGATACAACATCCAACATGTGTAATACGTTGACAATTGACTTTCAAGATTTGGTGGCTCCTAAAGGAGCCGTTTTGTGAGTGGTGAAATACACAAGATACTTCACTCGTAGAATCGTTATTTTTAGCGGCGCGCGCCTAAATCAATTATCGCATCACGCATCCAAGTCAAATTATCGAATTGTTGCGTATAGTAATTTATTACTTAACATAACGAGTAAAAAGATTCACAGTTGTATCATTTATTAAACTTGAAATTGGAAATAGCAATTCATCCCAAACCTGCAAGATAGAGGACGATGTTAGCAACACAAATGCACAAGGTAAACATTATTGATACATACATAACATACCATAAGAGGCAGCGTTGCATTGTTGGGCGATTTGAATGAAAGTGTTTGTATTGATACGTAGCTTATGGTTATCAGAGTTTTTGGCCGAGTTTTTCGATTAAATTATCTTCCAATGCGATTCTTAGATTGTCTGGTGTGTTGTAAATTACGCAAGTGATATATCCTATACGCATCTGATAACAACATTTTGGAAGAAACGTTTCTTTACATACTTTCAACTTTGCCGTCGATCGGTAAGTAGGTGAAGTCTGTCGAGTCATACATCACCATTACGGATTGTTATGTCACGTTAACTGTTCGTTTTTAACACAATTTTTCTTTTTTCTTAACCTGTCGGTAACCTGTTGGTTAGCTGTCGGTAGACTGTCGGTAACCTGTCGGCCGACAGTTGACCGACAGTCGGCCGACAGGTTTTTTGGGGAGCTCTTCTTCACAATTACCTGGACATGTATAAAAGGATAAAGACAGCCAGCCAATATGCAGTCAAAATACACATGAAAAGCATGCAGATGTAAACAATTTAGTTAAAAAGGCTCAATTAAATTTTTCTTTTATTGTGGTTATGGCTATAAATGAGAAACAAGCGCATTCCTCTGGATGCAGATCTTCAGTGTCACAATACACATTTTAAGCAAACTAACTAAAGATAACTTTTTGTGGATTGGTTTAATTTACACTGAAGGTAAACTCATTGGGGGGGGGGAAGGTTTGGTAAGCTTTTTTTTTAGATTGCACCTCCTTTTCCCCATTTTTTTTAGATCTCACTCACTTACATAATTACATGACCAGATGACTGCTATGACATTGTACCAAAGGAAATTATTTGGCTGTCTTTATCCTTTGGCAGGGTGTGTATAATATTTATAGTTCCGTCTTTAGGATTTGGGGTGATTTCATGCCATTCTCTCTTTTATGATTTGGGGTAAATTTCCACCATTCTGATCATTCTGCCATTCTTTCATTCCTCTGTTTTGGTTTTAAGGTTCCTTGACATAGGTCATGATATTACACAGGTCCAATATAGATCTTACATAAGTCACCCAGTATTGTTATGTGTGGTTGTAAGCAGTTGTACTATTTTTTGGTCCGTTTACTATGCTTTACCAAGCAGTGAGATTCTTCCTTTCCTGATGCTTGCAATGGGTAAAATCCAGCTAATTTTTTAAAGTTGAAGAATGTGGTTTGCTTCCTGACGTTGTGTGAAGTGACAAGAAATCTCTAAAACCTTTGTATTTTGTTACTATTATGCTGAGACTTATTAGAAATGATTTTTTACTTCTCCTTTTAGATATTTGAAGGTGAAAACACCAAACTGTTGTCACAAAGTGTAGTTAACCAAATAAAAATCACAAGCATTAGTTTTAACAGTGATGGAAGTCTAGTCGCTACTGGCTTTGATGATGGATGTGTGAAGGTAAGCATATTTGTACATGCAATGTTACTCTGATTCAGAGGTCACTGAACTGTAGATCCAAACTCAAAAGATTTAGCCATGAAGGTGTTTTACTTTGTAAGAAGTTTGGTGCTTATCAATTGGAGATCACTTGACTTTAGAGTGCAGGATTCTGAAATATTTGCCTCCTTTCACCTTTTAGATTTTAGAGAAGTTAACATGCAAAACAATCCAAGAATTCAAAGACCATTGTGATCGCATTAGGTGGTGTGCATTCAACAAGGGCTCTGAACTTTTAGTGTCAGTTTCAGAAGACAGCACTGCCAAGGTATACTTACAGCATTATATTTTTAGTTTGCTAATTTGTCACTTGAGTCCCCCAAGGATATCTTGCAATTGATAGCAGTAACTATGAAGCATTATGCAATTCAGTAGGGCATTGCTCTTAAAATTCCAGTTCCAAAGGAGCCAATATCTGTATTAACCCTTAACTCTGGGAAAAGTTTAAGATAATACTCAGACTTATCAGGTTAAATTCATTTGTTATCTTGATCCAACACCTAATTCTTGTAACTAATTTACTAGGAATTTTCCAGCAGCTAAAGGAGGGAATGAACAGTCAGATCTTGAGAGTGAATGGGTTATATCAGTGGTACCAACAAATTTTAAATTAAAAGATTATTCTCATTAATTGAACAATAATTTGCTCTACCAGTGGAGGTTTTCTTTCTTTAAATTATTTGAGCAGCCTATTTTCTTCTGCCTTGTCTGTCATGTGAGTCAAAAATTGAATAATCAACACAGTAATCATCAGTAAGTAAGCTTGTTCCTCTTCTTCCGAGTCATTAGGCCTGTAGTTGCACACATTTACATTACAATCTGACATTACTGTGCAATTCACTGAGCATCAGATTAGAATTGATTAACTGAAACTTTATCCCAAATGAAGGTTTACAACTGTGTGGAGGGTACTTTGGCATTCTCTTTGGAAGGTCATATTGCAAGGATACAAAGATGTATGTTCTTCCATCACAACCAACAGCTGGTGCTTACAGCTTCTCAGGATGGGTCTCTTAAGGTATTTTGTTATTAGGAAATAAATTCAATAGTCATATTGCTGTACAGTGAGGTTCCATTGTCTGAAGGCCCTAGATATTGTGGGCTTTCCTTTATTAAGAGCTCTATTCTCATTCAGAGATGAAAATGTTTTGTTGTAACATTTTTGTAAAAATCATCATCATAACAAAGACTCGCGGCCAAAATTTTTTTAAAGTTGCCATTTGGCATGCTTAATTGGTGAATGGTTTTTAGAAAATATGTTTGTGAACTCACAGATAATTGGCTTCCACAGTTTTCCCCTGCCAAAACTACAATCTCACTAACTTTTCTCAAGAATAAAAAAAAGGAAAGGAAATTCTGTGCAATTGCTTACCAGCTTATGTTAGCCTCAATTTACTTAAGATTTTTGACCCTAAACACTGTGTATTCAAACTGTTACAGCCTGCTACATGAGTACTAAACACAGGTCTTCCAAATAAGTGCCTTTGGTAAAATCTAGTTGCAGTTTTTTTTCCTTGTTAGTCAAAAATGTTGCAGTCTGGAGCTCTGCCATCAACTTAGAAATCAGAGAGAGTGTTGTCACCATCACACCAGCCCTGATTTTTTTAGCCTTTAACTCCCAATGGTGACAAAGATGGAGTTTCTCCCTACAATATCAGTACAATATCAAGCAGACTAGTGATGAGAATAAAGAAAAATATCAACAAGGGGATTATTAGTTGTTCCAATACTAAATTCTCCAAACTAACATCATAAGAATTGTATGGCAGACAGTAAGGAGAATTACTAATGAGATCTTTGGAGTGAAATGTTGGTCCCTGGATGAAGGCATTGTCTATCATGCACTGTTAAAAGTAATTCATTCATATCAAATTTAATGTGTCTCAATTCATTTTGTAGGTTTGGAATGTACAGAGTGGATCTCTACAGTTTTCATGCCAACACAGCAGTGAAGAGTATGTTCTCTCCTGTGATGTTTCTCAAGATGACAAGAAATTATTGTCAGCTTCAGTGGATAAATATGCTAAGGTAATCAAACCCTGTCACTTCCTTCTATTATCAGCAGGAAGGCATACAGGTACTTGTAACAAGTGAATTATGATGTTGTGATCACTGATGAGGGCAAGCATGAATCAACTATAATGCATAGAAACTGAAAGCAAATAATTTTAGTATCTTAATTCAAAACAAAAGAGCCTCTAACTACCAGGACATAAAATTGTTTAACTGCTAGAAAGTTCTAAAATTAGTCAAAAAAAGTTTTAATTCCCAATATTTCAGCTGAGAACTCAAGCCTTTATCAGGGTAAATTGAGCAGGAAAAATTTACAGAAAGCACAAATTATGATGAGAAATGCAAACTCAAACAATTGTTACTAATAAGTTGTGTCCATTAGCACCTTAGTCAAATACTTGTGTGATCAATAAATGCCATTTTCGTGATTGAGCAGATTCCTGCAAATGTCAAAATATATCTTAAAAAAGCCTCTGTCTATTCAGTGTATTTTTTCAGTACACTGTTGAGCTACATACGTTGCTTGCTATCTGTCATGGAGTAGATAATGAGTAGCATTAAGCCAATCAAATAGCAGCATTTCTGATAGAATACTTTTAGGTTAACCATAATAAATGAAATTAATTTTTCCAATATGTGTTATATATTAATTAGGTTTGGGATTCTTCCACCGGAGAGCTTTGTTGCTCTTTTGGGCCACACCCTGATGTTGTGAGGTCTGCGTCATTTTCACAAGACAACAGGTTTATCTGCACAGGCTGCGATGATGGAACTGTCAGAGTGAGTTCTTGCACTTTGTAAAACAATACTATTACCATCTCTTGCAAACTTCTTAAAATATTTGATATGAAGCAGTGTTTTAGAATATACATGGCAATGCAATATCTTCTTCTCATTTTGTAGGTATGGAATATGTGTGATGGTAACAAAGAACTTGCTGTTTGCAGTAAACATGATGCTTGGGTTGCCAACTGTTGGTTTTCAAGCAACAGTGACCTGTTGGTATCTGTCAGCAACAATATAAAGGTACTTCACTGTAAACTTGATATTTTTGTTATTTATAAACTTTGATTCTATTCAGCAATCAGATTATGAGCTCAATGTCCACTGAGTGACAGCTGACAAGGGCACAGCCTGAATCAACTATCAAACGTCAAAATGAAGATAAATAATCTAATAATTTGAGTTTAAATTTATGAGTGGTTTGAAACCTCACAAGACAGGCTCATGTAATTGTGGGATTTAGTTTACAACTGCACAATTTTAATCAACCCTTTAACCCCAGATTGAGTAGTGTCTTCCTTCTCCTTACATTATCTCTGTTGAATCAAACATTAAGGTCATGAGAATAAGGGACATGATCACCCATAAGGGAAGCTCTTGATTATTAAACAAATTCTCTTTGTAGGCACTGTAGGAAATGTATAGAGAAAAGTATGGAGAATATGCATACTCGACTTACATACTTGTTTAAAAATCTGTATTAGTTTTGACGTTAGGGTGCTTACTATCTATCTCAGACTACAAGTATCACAGAGAAGTGAGCAGCAAGTAGCATGGCAAATCAATTTGCTGCATGTTTGATAGAATGCTTATAAATTAATACTAATAAAACCTAGTTGGTTAGATCGTGGGAATTTTTGAAAATTTAAATTTCAATGATTATTTTTATGGTTCAATTCTGTTCCATTCTTCTCACCCTTTCCCACAGATTAATTCCAAAAACTCACTTTCTATTCCTTCTCTTTTAATTTAGTGGTGGAAAAGAGATGGAACACTTTGTCAACAATTTAACCTCAAAGGAACCCAAGCCAAAAGTATCTACGTCTCTCCAGATTTCTCCACTTTTGTATCAGTGGACAACATAGGGACAATTTATGTACTCAAAAGAATCACTTAGGAGCTGACTAGATACATGTTACAACTTCCAGCAAGTGAACCAAGGTAGTACAGTGGTACAGAATGGACAGATTTTGCACTTCAGGGAAATTAGATTGATTGTAAATCTTTTCGCTGTTGATGTATGCCTGTGGATGTTGAAATGTGGAATGCAAGTAACAGAGTTTGGTCTCAAACCGACTTTATGAGATCCAAAAAAAATCTGAGGTTACAAGAACATTTTTGAAGAGATTTAAGTTGCACCTAACTGTAATAGATTTTAAACGTATCTATTGCTTAAAATGTTATTGTTTAGAGAATTCAGATTAAAAGTTTGTTTCAATGTTTTCAAAACATGATTCTATTCCTCATGGGAACTCAGAATTTTTTTCTTTGTCCCATGCTTATGACAAGGTGATAAAACATCTTTCTCTATTTCTTAACCGAGCTTAACAACAATAATTCTATTCATAAGGCCATTGCATGTAACTTTTGTTAGAAGTTTACACCACAAAACTTAGTCAGTGCATTCAGGTTAAGGTTAGTTTTAAAAGTCAGTATTAGTTTTGATTTAAAATTAATGCTGTCTGCATTTCAGGCACCAGATGGTGAGGTGTTTGTAAAATCTTGATGATAGTTTTGCTAGTGTGTTAGCAAAGTTCAGACTTTTCAAATTGCAGAATGACAGAATTATTGTAAGGCTACAAGATAAATCAGATAGAATAGACATTGGAAACTCCTTTGCATTCTTAGCCAAGTTCTACTTTTTTGTAAAATAACTACCAAAAGCCTAAGTTTGCCTTTATCAAGCTGAAAAATAGAGGTGGCAAAATCAAAGCAAAAAGAAATTTACAATAGTATAAAAAAAGCATATACCAGTAAATGAAAAATTAGTGTTGGAAGATCCCCTTTAGCTTAAATATTTTTTTAAGGATGGCATGTGCAGTTTTGATCCTTGTACTTCTACTGGTCTCTTTTTTATGCTTGAAGCTTTCAAACTGTTGCACTCATAAATTCTGCAATAATTTTTTTGTACAAGCAAATGCCATTGCTCTCACTTTGTTGCCGTGTTAAATTGCACTTACCAATGAGAGGTGTATGCATTGTTTCATTTCATACAGTTTGCACCATAAAACTTCTTAAGTTAAAATAAATTTTTAGAGAATGTTATTGTAGGTGAAGTATTTGTACCAGTTCATTTCTTATTTGGTAGAAGTAATTGCCTGCAGTGCATTGTGGGTTGGAGTTCATGTTGTTGGCCTCTCCAAGCTTGGATTGTCAAGTTTAGAGGGAAGAAATTTAAAGGTCTCTTTTACCAGTGGAGGCATTGAGACAACTCTCTCAACTTCAAGGTTATGATCAACAAACATCTCATTTGAAAACAGAAAGTTGTACTTGAAGGATGTTTATTTTTTTGTATTATTAACAATGATCTTGGTTAAATTGTTCACTGCTGAGTTGAACCTGTAAATCCACCACGGCCACGACCATAACCAGCCCTCTGTGAAAAAGAAGGGGAAAAAAAAAAGGTTGCTAACCCTCAAAGAAAAACAAAACTATTGGTAACCCAGAGAAAGGTGTTGGTTTACAATATAAACAATGTCTCCAAAAACAAATGACTTTGGTTGCTTCAATGATAAAAAAGTCCCACATTATAAACAAAGCACTATGCATGCTATGCTATTAGAGTTGTACAATGGAGCCGGCCTTCAGGAAAGTTTGTCATTTGTTCTAAAGGGAATTACTGGAATATCAGTTCTAATCTTAACATGCAGCTGAAATGATGGTGGGTCAACCAAGAAACTTGATAACCAACAGTGTCTAATATTTAGTAACATGTTCAAAACTAAAAGGACAGGGTCCAGTTGTTCAGAGAGCAGATATCACTATCCAACATATAATTTTAGACAAAAACATTCTATGTCATCCACCAGAGAGATATTTATCCCATGGATAGCATTATCAACCCTCTAAAGAGCTGGGGCCAGGACTTGGCTCTTTGTTTGTTTCCTTCGAGGGAGCTAAAATTTTAAGCTTTAAGTTTAAGGGAAACACTTACAAATTCAGGCTTGAAGTCTGAGCCAGCACCTCCTTTAGGTTCCATACCAGGGGCAGGACCACGCCTGTAAGCCTCACGGTCGGCAGAGTCACCAGAAGGAGGGCCGCGGGGTTGGTCTGGACCTATGAGTCAGGATTGAAGTTGTAAGAAGATACTGGCAGTTCTATTTCCACTCTGTTCCCAATAAATTAATTTTGGACCTTGCTATATCATGACATACTATATTAAACTTTATGATCCATCATATGTTTTTGTTTGACTAACGCAGCATGTGACCAATATTCCTCAGCTCAAACTGGGGGATATCTGAGGATATCACTCAAGTGATATTCCCCAATTTTCAGACCTACAATAAGTTTTTGTTTGAAACTTAATTCAAGATGAGAGAGTGTACTGTGGTTGTTACAGAAAAAGGGAAATATTTTTTTGTTCATTAAGTTGTATCAGAGAACACTCAAAAGAAAACATCTCGCACAGCAAACAGTAAGCCATTCATAAACATTTTACCAACTGTGTTGCAGAATATTTGAAGGATAATGAACACAATAGCCTAAATTTTGCACAAAAGTATGTGCTTTTGTATTTGTCTGTGGACATGATCTGTTCCTCAGAGCTTACAGTTTTCCTCAAGCTTTGCTCTCAGAAAACTGTTTGCATCTTGGAACAGATAATGTATGCAGTCCAATGACCATGCATAATTTTGTGTCAAATAGAAGATATTGTTTATATAGAACCTAACATTAACTAAAAACTAGGACACTCCATAGATTGAGGTGCAGAAAAGTTTGGAGAGAGAATTTTGACTGCAAAATAACTGTTGGTATGGGCAGCCTTCCTAGTTTCCAGTGGTAACTGAATCTAAAAAGACATGCACCACTGACCAATAAGTCAAATGATATGTTGCCACTGGAAACAGGGCCAGTTACCCATGAGAACAACATGATTTCAAAGTCAAAATGTGATCTCCAAACTTCTGCCGCTTTTCACTCAACTGAAAATTGCAGTTAAGTGATTTTTGGTGAGTGGCAGTGAATTGAATTCATGAAACATTTAAAGATTATTTAAAACTTTGGCTGACTACCAACCAAGGCAAAACAGTGTTCATCAGTAGAGAGGCAATTTGCTAAGAGGAAACTATGAGGGTCCAACGATAACTTTAAACTCTTTAACTCCCAGAAGTGATGAACATGTAGCTTCTCCCTACAATATCCCTGCTTTATCTAGCAAACAGTAATGAGAATACTCAAACTTATCTGGTAGAAGTCGTTGTCTTGGTATAACACCAGATTCTTCTGCACATTTTTACTAACTTAGGAAATGTGTAGTGGCTTAAGGGAAGAACTAACAATCAAATCTCAGAGTTAAAGGGTTTGCAAACCAACGCACCTTTAGGTCGTGGCCTAGCTGTTTCAGTCCTGGCTTGTCGGCGAAGAGTAGCTGGTACAATCTCAGGAGGAAGGTGAAGGAATTCTCTGATGTATGTGATTCCTGAAAGCAAGTCATTTAAAGTGTGATTAAGCCGATTAAATAACATTGCATAATCTCCATGATTAATTCTCTACATGTTGTACAACGTGATGAGCACCCAACTAAAGTTTACACTGCAAGCTTTTTTTGACAAATTTAAAGCAAATCCTAATTTGGAAAGTACTGTTCAAGTTTGAATAATGCCTTATACTATGGGGCCCACTTATGTAAAGGGTGCATTACACTATCCAACAGAAAAATTGCTAACTGGAATAATTGTTAACAAAACATACTGCACTGTACACCAATAGAGATATATCCAGTGGATAGCATCTATCCAGTCTTAAAACAACCATGGCCAATTATTTAAAAATATTACAAAAGTATAACAATCACAGATTACGAAAATTAGGCTTGGGATGCAACAAAATTTGTCTATGCCTTGCTATGAACAAGTGGCTATCTATCTTAGTGGGTAGTTGCATACAAATAGGGTCTAGTAGCACAGATTTTGGATCAATATCAGTATCTGGGCAACTGCCCACCTACCCCTCCCCGAAGGTTAATGTTGGGTTGGGGGGGGGGGTAGGTGGGCAGTTGCCCAGATACTGATATTGATCCCAGATTTCAATCAAACTTCATCATCATTGCTAGCTTGTTCTAATAATAATTTCTTACCATCATTGGTGAGGTACCAGTAGTACCACTGCCAAGAAAACTTCTCTTGGACATATCCACGAGATTTTAGGGACTACAAAATGAAGACATATTAGTACCACAAAAAAATAGTCTAGCTTCTCTACTTGTTCCCCCATCCTAAAAGAAATAGACATCATGAAAGAAAAATACAATAATCAAACCTATGTACACCTTGACATCACTATCTAAATGAGATAACTCATCAAAACAGCAGCACAATTTTATTTACATGGCAACAAGTTGCAACACCCCAGCTTATGAAAAGGTCTGTATGCATTTATGCATACAAAATCAGATTTTTTTTCTGACTTTTTCTGAACCATTTTTTCTTTTTTAAAACCACACTTTCCAGCCAAATAATGAGGCTAAAATAGCAGAGAAGTTTCAATGATTATCCATAAAATTGAAATTTCTTAGCTTTCCTATTTATAAAAAATGATGTATTATTAAAATTATAAAATAATTTATAAAATAATTGTTGCTTCCAGAGAAACTCATATTAATTCAGCTATTTTTTGAAGATCTCAACATGAGCGTTTGTTTTAGCTTAGGACAAACTTCACACCTCTTCCCACTTTCCCTGTTTTCCAGGTTTTGATATTCTGACTGGATGTTTCTGTTCTTTGACAAAAATTCAACACTCTATACATACTCTGTCATGTGTGAAATCAGGGTGTTACAAATTGCTAGAAACTAATTGATTACTCAATGTTACTTGATAATATGCAATTTTTGATCAACTGAGTGGAGTCCAATTTCGGTCTGTAATAATATAAGGGATTAACAAAATTGGATGACCATGAAGCCGGAGTCCAAATTGTTAATCACAAGTATAATTACAGGCAGAATTGGACGACACAAAGTGTGTCACACAGGTGTCCAATTATGGCTAACTGTTCAATTACACTGTCTGATTACAACTCTATAGAATGATTACTGAAAAATGAAGCAGCTAGTGCACCAATCACATTTGCAGAAATTGTAATGGTTATGATTAGCCAAAATAAGCAATAAGTATCAATAACCACAAGATTTAGGCTCAGATTACCTATGATATCAATTTGATTGGCTGAGAGAACAAATGAACATTAACTAAGAATTAAGTAAGGGTTTGTCTTAATGGAAAAGTAAAAACCTCCCCCATTCTTGACCATAATTTGTGATGACTCATTCCCATTTGAAGCAATTTATAAAACTGGAGCTCACACAAACATAGCACACAGAAAAAACAGTGAAAAACATGTATACTCTGATGAACGTGTTGTACCTCAACCAAAAGAAACTAGGCTGAGTCACTTCACGTGTGGAATCAATTTCTACGACTGTTCTTGCCATGAATCAGCCTGGGTGAATTAATCAGCCGAAATACTTAAGAGTCGCCATTTCTAACTATCTCCGCAGATTTCCAGTATTTCGTTGGTGCCTTTCCGTTGATAACCACAAACCTTCGCCATCGATTTTTATCGATAATTGATATTAATCGATTACGATCAATTTTATCGAGTATCAAAATTGTCAATTTGTATCGTTCTAGCAAAACAAAACCTTCGTATATTACTGATTTTCATACCTGAGCAGCTTTGATGACCTCCAAGTTTGGAACTCCCTCAATTTCAGGATGCTTGGCGAGATTAAAATCCTTTTTGGCCACCATGATCCCCTCCTTGAAGAGGTACTCGTATATAGCTATTCGGTTTTTCTTGGGGATCAACATCCTTTAAAAATCAGCAAGCAAGACGAATGATTTAAAAATTCAGTCTTCTGAACGTCATTCACTATGTGAGGGGCTTTGAAATCAAAATACATTCCAGAATTGTGGATAAAGCTTGCTTCACAGAAAGGCTTTAAAAGGAATTCAATAAGCAAGGTAAAATAATAGATAAATTTCACAAAAACTGCGTCTAACGTGACAAATTGGTATGAAAAGGTAACAACATTGTACAAGGCATTTTCTTGCATTTCTTTAAGTTTCGCTGAAAAAATTTTCGCGGTAGGAAGTTATATGATATTCAAAATTTTTTATTTTATTGAAAATTCGCCAAGTAGTGAATGGATGGTTTAAAATTCTTGTGGATTGCTTCCACACTACTCACTTTCTTCTCCAAGATGGCGACCACAGTGAAAAGAGAACGGTTCGAGTATGCGCGAGATCTAGTAGCCTTGGTGGCCAAGCCTTATCGCAGGAACAGGAATATTTGCATATGGCCGTCTGATGAAGTTTTTCTGAGGAAACTTTTTAACCGCTAAATTTTAGAAAGAGATAATTAAATAAGGAAATATTATTTTCGCAAGGTGCAATTGCCTGTACATATTATGGAGAGAGAAAAAAAAATTTTTACCCTCTTACTCCTGGTGGTGATTGATATGTTACTTATATTAGAGATTTTAATATGTTATCTTGCATACAGGCTATGAAAACAGACGAACTTATCAGCTTGAGGGTGTTATCTTGATAAAACACCAAATTCTTCATGCTAATTTTCAAGGAATCGTGTAGGAGTCAGTTGGGAGAAGTAATTATTGGACCTTGGGAGTTAAATGCACTAATGCTTGCTGTATTCCATCATGAGGCTTTATGACTAGAGAAAGTATATTTTATCTTATAAATATAATAAATTACTTTACAGAATTTTAACTTTTGTTTCAGTGTCTCTACTTGGATCTTAAGCTTAGCCTTATTAAATGCAATGAAAATACAATTGTGACCCAACATACTGTTACATTTAATCCACCACAAAAATGAACCACAAGGATTCTTTAATATTTCTTGAGTCATATTATTTATCCTACAAAGATAGAACTTACTTTGAGTATATCGCCAAATAAATAGATGTCATATGATGAACATCAGTTTTGTTTGAGAAATGGATTGATCAATAATAATAATAATATAATTGTGTTCAAATCTCTGGGAAAAGAGAAACACTATATTTTCTGTGAAAGGCAAACAAAGAAATATTATCCACTTTACTTGTGCTCTTAAACACTCTATAAAAAAAGTCAGGATCACTTCTTCTCTAAGAACTTATCAGTTTTGGTTTACTAAGTACACCATTGTTTAAAACACTCTTACATGGTTACAATACCTATAAACTTAGATCACCCTGGAAAACCCGTAAAAGTCTTACTATGTTTGTAAATAAAAGGGGCAAAGGCAGGGTCCATTAGGGTTCTAAACCAGGGTTTTGGCATTTGTATGCATTCCGTGTGGAATTATCATTGATCATTTATCCATTAATTCATCACAAAAGAGAGGAATTCAGAAGCCCACTTGGACCCAAACCCCCGTATAGCTAAGCTCTTTCATAAATACTGTTCTTGTGAAGAGAGGCGTGGATTTTAGCGATTTCCCAATCTCCGAGAAACACTTGGTAGCGGATTCTCAATTTCCACATCTTTTAGATAAGTCCATTGTCGATCACAGCGACATTCAACACCACACTTTTCTGATCCACAAGAAGGACAAGGAAAATGGCAACCGGGACAATTAGTGTCTTGACAATCACACACATCTCTTCCATCGGACATTCGAACACCTGATCGGTCGTGGAAAGTCTGTTTCTGGGGCCGTCTTCTTTGCCTTTGTCTCCTTTTCGCTCGGTTAGCAGGGTCCTTTTTGATCAGTCTGTTTAATTTTCGCATTTCACGGCGACTTGTATCAGGGTTAAATTCTTCAAGTAATCTTCCAGGATTCTTGAACTTCAGAGAATTCCTTAATTTCTCTGTTTTAGAGCTTTCCGAACCTGTAGATTCCGTGCGAGTGATTTTTGCCGGGTCATTCAGAGAAAATCCCATGAGGATTGGTGTTTCGTCTGATGTTACAAAGCTCGCATCCCCGACGACTGGCAACTTGATACTCTTTTCATCACTCTCTTGTTGTGCTTCTGATGACATTTCACAATTTCCTCAGTTTTTCCAAGGATAGGAAAAAGAGGTATGTCAAAAAAGGAGTAAAAGGTAAAATTCTCCCAAAAAGAAAGTCATTTCGCCATTTTGAACAGACAACTCTTACCCAGTCCAACTGTGCTAATGTACAAAAGATTACTTCCGGCGAGAAGTAAAACTTCCGGTGACTAATCACGATGAAATACGAAAATATTTTGCGCAACTTTTTCAAACAAAGAAAACGGAAAAAAATGACTTCAGGAGTAAGACATAAAACTGAGAAAAAATACTTATAACAATAGCCTGATTCTTCACGCTTTAATGATCCATCTTTTGAAGAAATATCGTTCTGCAGCATTGTGGGTATCAGCGAAATTTCCTTTTACTGTTACATGTTTTTTGTGTTCAAATTCTTTATTCTTTTTAATTCCTCGGGTACAACTTGGAAAGTGAAAATTTTGTTAACGATATCTTAACCTTTTTAACTCCCAGATCAAATTTGTAATTCTCCTTACTGTCAACCATACATTCTTATAATGTTAGTTCAGAGAATTTAGTATTAGATCAATTAATTATCCCAAATTGATATTTTTCCTTATTCTCATCACTTTTCTGGTTGATAATGTAAGGAGAAATTCTGTCTCAAACACTTATGGGAGTTAAAGCTTGAGGAGAAAAACCGGGATATCTTGTTTACAGTCCAATAATTATGATTGGCTAGTAAACAATGAAAGCTTGTTAAGAAACTATTTCCGGAAATCGTTGCCTAGCTGTGAAGAGGCTAATTTGTTAAAAATTTATCTCTAATGGTGTCCGACGGTAGCGCCGAGCAGCAAATCGTTGTACGAGGAACTCTTTTGTATTTACTTTGAATTGCATTAACGTCACGTCAAAGTGAATAATTTTACGATTTGTTCTTTCCACGTTTCATGTCCTGCAGGCGAGGAGGACAAACTCGACAACATCAGACACTGGCGAGAAGAATTTCGTCATGAAAGAGGTTCGTTGTTTAAGGACCGTCTTAAGTCTAAAAGTTTTCATAAAATCTTTACCGCTCTTAATTTCGATGATAGTGACGCTCTAAATTACCTTTACTTTGGTAAAATTGCTCTTTTAAAGCCTGTTGTCATTCACTGTTTCAGAAAGACGAAAATTCAAAAGACATGCATGGGGAAGCTCCTTCAAGGCAATCAGCGAAGGACGAGGCGACACCACCTGAACAGCAACCGGGCTTTTTATGGAAAGTATCTGGTGGCGTTTATAACAAGGCAGCCACAGTGGTTGGAGGAGTTGGTTGGGTTGCGGGAACGGCATTATCAACGACGTTTAGCGCTGTATCAGCCGTAGGGGGAGTTGCGCTAACACCATTCAAAAAATCAGCAAAGGACAAGTCTGATTGATGCTGTGTGTCGGAACAAGGGCCCTCTTGAGGAAAATTTCCTGTGGCATAATGCCAAGAGTTCTATTTAGATATCTTTATTGACGAAGACTTTCACATTCACGGACACATACAGAAAATAAGGTAACATTTTGTCGAGTGAAATGGAAAATGCATTAATTTTGGAACCGAGGGACTGGATATATTTCACAGAATTTTCGTGGTATCTCGTTTCACAGAGAATTGATGCTTGCACGCGAAAACAGAATAACTATTTTTTTGTGTGATTTTGTAGAAATAGTAGATAATTTCGTGAACTTGAAATTGTAGAGTAGTGATGAAACACCATTATTTTCAATTTGAAATTTGCTTGCTCAGCTGAGCGCCCCGAATTGGTAAATCTGTCACTGTTTTATAAATTCGCATTTTCCTTTCAAATTTTTAAGTTATACTTGTATACACAATGGTTTCGAACTACTCTATTTCAGAAAGCTCTGTAATTTATAGCTGATGAACGATAGATAAAAATTGTAAATACAATACTGTTTATATTAATTTCCTTATTGAGAAAGGAAAACCGAATAGAAACTTAATATATTCATTATCCACTGTGAAGGTTTAAAATGAATCTCGGAATTTCATTGAAAATTAAAATTATTATTAAAGTAGAGATGCCTCAGAATTTTATCGGTAAGTTCAAAATACTTAATCGAAATTGAACTTGTAATTTCTCAGCTAAGAAATTTTGAGATCATAGTTCCAGACAGAACAATTTTATTTCTGCAGACAAGAAGTGCCTAATTAAGTTAACCAGCTGCTTTAGTTGTGGGAAGGTCTTCTAATCAGAGCTGACTTGCAAAATGGTAGCTTCCAACACAGTCCAACCTGTATTAAGTGGTCACCCATGGGGAATGGTGTAGTAACTGCTTAACCCTTTAACTCTGAAGATCTGATTGTTAATTCTCCCCTTAAGCTGCAACATGTCTTTGTAAATTAGTTGCAATAATTTGGTGTTAGACGTCTTCTGCCTGAGAATTTGAGTATTCTTATTACCTGTTTGCTGGATTATGTATGGAGATTACGAGGAGAAAATACACATTAATCATTTCTGAGGGTTTAAGGGTTAATTTAGGTAGACCACCTAATATTGGTTCCATAGATTGGGGTATTATACACATTAATCATTTCTGAGGGTTTAAGGGTTAATTTAGGTAGACCACCTAATATTGGTTCCATAGATTGGGGTATTATAAAAAACCATACACAATGCCATGTTATGCCTTAATTGACCACTGAATTACAGAATACAAGCTGAGAGTTTAAGGGTTAATTTAGGTAGACCACCTAATATTGGTTCCATAGATTGGGGTATTATAAAAAACCATACACAATGCCATGTTATGCCTTAATTGACCACTGAATTACAGAATACAAGCAAAAACACTACTTACTTTTATTTTGGGAGATCAACAAGGATTAATAATTACTTGATAGAATATTATTAGTTATACTGGAATGGTTCAACCTTCAGTGTTTGTTCCATACAGGTGGAAAACAATAAAAACAGGCTGTTGGCTCTTAGTAAAGTGTAACTGTGATGGCTTTATAGAGGTAACTGCTTAACAGGTGAAAATTATAGTGATTAAGAGGAAAAAATTTTGGGACTTTAACACCTGACTACTTTATACAGGGTGACTGCTTAATATAGTGCTGCTTAATGCAGGTTTGAATGAATAATGAAGCTTGAAAAAATTAAAATTTCCACTCTCTGCAAGGGATTTAATTGAAATCCTGCTTGTCGGTGGTTTTACTCAGTGAGAAAAAGAAAAAAGTTTCTCTTCTGGCACTGAAGACTACTTATTCCAGACAAGCCATCAAAATTTTTTTTAAGCTCTGCCCCCAAAATTGAAGAAAAAGAGGCTTTAGCTGCCTAAAACAGAGATGGGTATTTGGGTCCTAAAACAGAAATACTGATGCTGTTTTTGTGAACATTGCATGACTCACCTACACAGGCCACAACAGGCATTTGCCATACCTGTGGCCAAGTTGAGTTTCTCTGCAAAAGTCTTACAATATAGCCTATGACCTTTGAGTAAAATCATGTTTTGTTTGCTTCAGACGGCCATAAATGGTTTTCTCTCCCAAGGGCCCATGCAATTTTTATTGCAGAGGTCTGACAGTCAGTGCCTTTGCAGAAGTGTTGCTTTGTAAGATCTATGACAAATGCAGGGTAATTTTAGACTTAGGCTCTCTTTCAGAAAGCCCAAGTAAATATTGCTCTTGCCTTAGTAGTTGCATATGCACTGGGAAACATCTGTCATCATAAACCTAGATTATTTTTTGTCATCACCCTTGATTACAAGCCATTTAGAATCAGTATTACTGGCCTCTTACTAAGTTATGTAGAGTATGTGAAATTGGTTAACCAACCATTGGCTTTCAACCTAATCCACCCTTGCAGTATGCAAGATGGGTTCTCAGAAACTAACTTTGTCTAACATTCAACAGGTTTTTTACTAATTATATTATCTCAGTTACCCTTTACATAACAACTGATGTTCACCCTTTTACTCCTTATGGAGTGACTAGCACCTAATTTCTCCTCACAACATCACCTCTGAATCACAGTTATGAGAATAAACAAGATGAAATGATCACCAGCTAAAGAAGCTCTTGTTGTTAAACAAAATCTCCTTGTCAGCACCTCAGGAAATGTATAGAAAACAGTGTGGAGAATATGCATACCAATGTTAAGGTGTAAAAGGTTTAACAAGTTATTGCAAAAACATAACATAATTAATGGAAGTGATGCACAAAGTAGATGGACTGGGAGAGACAAAAGTAGCAATTCCAGTGGTATAAATATTAAGTTTATTCTATTGTTTTGTTTAGATGGTTTGTATGAGTGCTAGATGATACAACTTTTTGCTGCTCTGGATTCTGCTCATCAAATTCTGAGACAATAGACATGTATATACATTATGAAATATGAAAGGATGACTGACAGTTTTAAATTTCTTCTCAAAATCAACTATGAGCAGCCCTCCCCCTCCTTTTTTTTTAGGCCAGGTCTCTTGTGTGAGTGAAAAAATAAGCAAGAGAAAATTGATGTTAACACAGAACTCTGGGAGTGAGATACTCAAGAAGTAGGGATGGGCCTACTTTTCATGCACATCCATGCTGCTTGCTAAAATCAATTATTTTCCACTGATTTGTTTCACTTTCACAATGGACTTTGCTGAAAAAGAGGGGCAGCTCATAGTCAAGATAACACAAAGATAAGGCCTTTTGATGCCAGTTTTAAGTCTCCTTGTCTCTCTTTGTTCACAAGGTATTATCATGCACAGATGATTGAGGTAATTGAACTTTTTTCATGTAACATTAAAAACTTCTAAAACAAATTAAAATTAACAAGTAAAGCGGTAGTTTTAAAAACAACAGTTTTGCATATGAATTTCTAATTTACCAGTATTAAATATGTTTAAAATCATAAACTCCAAAAAAAGACAGATCTGCAACACAAGTTTTCATGGTCATTGGTGATAACAGCATTTCACAGCCATGCAGGTACTTTATAATCACCTCTAAACTTCAACTGTTGTTACAAAGTAAGAAATAATTTAAAACTATGTGTATCATTTAGCTGCATGTCCCCCAAAAGTTGCTATGGCCACATTTCCAGGTGTTCTTTTTAGAAGTTTTAGTCTCATGGTGTCAACTGCTTTTTCTCCAACTCCATCAGCTGTGATCTCTACATTATAGTTGTTTGCCTGTAAAGAAACAAGAATACTTGTTTGATCTTCTGCCCTACAAGAAAGATTTTTCTTAGTGTAGCTCATTAAGATTTAATATATTAAAGTTCACAAGGCAACCTGGTGGACAATCAGACATAGTTTAACCATAGTTTGAGCAAACCGATAAAGGCACCAGGCAGGAGTTTGGAAACATTAGGTCTATGATTGTAACTTCTTGGTTATGTTCATTAAATCTTTAAACCAGAGTAGCATCAAACCATGTTTGATTGTCCACCTGATTGCCTTGTGAACTTTAAATATATCTTATTTGGGAGAAAAGTATGGTCAAACTGTTGTTACAAGGGTCAACCAGCTTGCGGACATCAGAGTCTACCTTGCTAATTATTGCTGTCTTTTGTACTACCTGATTCCTATTTCCACCTTGTCAGAAAAAGGCAGCTAATTAGCAAGCATATAAAAGGACCTCTTGATGCTGCAATTAGATCACCCCTGATGAAGGCACTAGACAGGAGTGTCAAAACATTGGGTCTCTGAATTGTAACTTCTCAGTTACATTCATTAAATCTTTAAACCAGAGTAGCATCAAACCATTTCTCATTAAGATTTGTTGCTCCCTTTTTGGTGATCCTTCTCCCCGAAGTTATGCATTTAGATGGATGCATTTGGTCCTGTTCAGCTCAAAGCTGGTTTAAATGGAGGCCTGTATAAACAATAGCACTGGGAGTTGTGTTCCCTACTTTTTGCAACAAAGTGTGTGGGTTTTTTAATTTCTCCTGTTAACCAGTATAGAGAAGATGCAGGAGATAGGGCCTAAGTTTTATCATTCTTATCCAAGAAGACTAGAAAGTCTAACCATATGAGAATGTCTTCTCTTTCTGCCATTTTTATTCTAAAATATTTAAACTTTTCTTGATCTTTGGAATAAAAGGATAGAAACATTTAGGACAAGGATTATTAACAACTCTCAGACTTAAAACTTTTGAAAAATAAGATGATGTGAGAACTCACCAGCTGCAATGTTGCTAGAAAAAACCTACATATTTCAAATGGTTCCTGTGCAAATAAAAACAGAAAACAAAAAGGTCACAAAAAACGGATTACTAAACCCTTCTTATACAACTCTGGTGTGATTTCTTGCCAATGAATACAATAATAAGCTCAACTCCAGTCACAAATTGGTTTAAAAACAAACCTTTCTGTTGCTTTCTGAGCAAAACATTTAAGCTAAATCTCTTGTAAGAACTAGGTTACTCATTAACTGTGACAAAGTCATGAATTCTTGTGAAAGAATGCAAATATTGGATGCAGTTGGGATGTATATTACCTTTTCATGGGTTAGCTGTCTAAAATCTTGATTACTATTGCCTGTGAAAAAATGTTCAGAATACAAAGTAAATTCACAATTGTGTATTTCAGTAGCAGATCCAGGGAGGGGTGCAAGGGTTCTGGACCTCCCCACCCATCTAGTCAGATTTGTGGGTTTGCTTTTACTACACCTTTGTCTGGCACCCAAATTCTTGAAAACCAAGATGGCTGGCTGGCTGGCTAATTGTTTTGTCTGGTGCCGAAGGGGCATCAGTTAGTTGAGAAGTAATGTTGACCCTGCTACCAAAAATTCTTCAGTCCAAATGGAAAGGGAAGAGGGAGGGGTGTGTGTGGTGGAGAACTAAGATGCAGACAGTTTAAGAAACTTGTTGCAGTAATTAATGAAGAGAGATGCACATAATTGGAACCATTGAATTTTAAATCTGGGTTATAATCCTGTCTTAAGATTCAACTGTTAAGTCACTATGGCCTAAAATATTTTTGCTGCTATTCTTGAAATTCTCTGATGTCATTTCCACTGTGTGGTTCTAAGACAAATGTTTGCATTTACCCTCTCACTCCCAACATCTTGTTGGTAATTCTCCTTACTCTTTGATGTACAATTCTTATGCTGTTAGTTCTGAGAATTTGGCATTGGATCAATTATTAATTCCCTGATTGATATTTTTCTTTATTCTAATCATCTTTCTGTTTGATATTGTGTTGCTATTGTAAGGAGAAATCCTGTCTAGGTCACTAATGGAAGTTAATTAAAAGCTAAGATAAAACAACTTTCTGAAGCAAAGATGAGGCAAGTGGTAGGTGGGCTCATTTAAAAACAGCAAGACATCTTCTGGCAGAGAAGTCACTGCTCAAAAAAAATTTTAAAAACAAAGATGGAGTGAGTGAGAGAGTAAAGCTTTAAACAACGGCAGTACAGAAGCCATTGATTTGGAGTTTGTTTTAGCATACTCTACACTCGTTACCTTTAAATGAATCAATAATTTCTTCTCCATACTTGTGAATATCAAATGGCCGATGTGTTTCCTGCAAATGGAGTAAGATCAGTAAGTTAACCCTTCAACTCCCAAGATTTGATTGTTAATTATCCCCAAGAGCTGCAACACATTTCTTGTAAATAAGTAACTGAAATTTGGTGTTTGATTGAGATTGACAACTTCTACCTGATAAGTTTGAGTGTTTGATTGTTAATTATCCCCAAGAGCTGCAACACATTTCTTGTAAATAAGTTACTGAAATTTGGTGTTTGATTGAGATTGACAACTTCTACCTGATAAGTTTGAGTGTTTGATTGTTAATTATTCCCAAGAGCTGCAACACATTTCTTGTAAATAAGTTACTGAAATTTGGTGTTTGATTGAGATTGACAACTTCTACCTGATAAGTTTGAGTATTTGCGCTACCAGTTTGCTGGAAAATGGATGGATATTATAGGAAGAATTTACATGTTAATTACCAGTGGGAGTGATACAGTTAATGACAAATTTACCATCGATAATGGTGGGAGAATTTGATATAAAAAATGCATTAAAAAAAATAATGCATCTTGGTGCTTTTACTTTGCAAGGCTGTCCACTTGTGCATCAGAAGTGAAAATCAAGTTGCATCTGGATTATAAGTGACACATCTTTTAATGCTTTTAATTTATAATTCACCTCTTCTGTTAATACAGGGACAATTCTCTCTTCCCATTCTCTGACTCTTCTACTCAACTCTGTTTCTTGGGCATACTGTTGACGTGCCTCCAAAAGGTAACTGTCCTGTGTAGCAGGATCAAGTAAATGGTTAGCAAACAGGCACATCAGTGCTCCAACTGCAACTGTTTTTTTCACCATGGTTTGAAAAACAGTTTTTGCTTGTGAATTTGCTGCAGAGTCTCAGTTTGACAACAAGAATCACCAAGTGAGATTAACATTTGAATGAAATACCGTTTTAGTGGTTTTTCGTATCTGGCGTAGCACAGCCTATTTTTGTATAACCCTTTATTTTCAGTGAATACTTGCAGAACATTGCAGATTGTAGTAGGATATGTAGACTACAAGACTGGCTTGACTTCTCTTCTCTTCTTTTTTTCTATCATTTTCCTATATATATTGCCTCCTCCTTCTTCATTGTACAAGATTTGGCATGAATTTTCATGAATAATTTACAACCAAAATTATTTTTTTTAAAATACAAGTGGTCTGATTAACAGTTTAGAAATCAAGTAATATTACATTTTTCTTCTCTGGCAACTGAACTTTTCATCTGACAACCATTTTATGACTCCAGGTTGCCAAATGGGGATTTTTACAGGCCAGTGACCACAAAGTCCTGCATATAGGTTTAGAGACAATAAATGTTTGAAAATTGTATCAGTTTTAAGTTATTTGATAGCTTTAACTAATGGAAAAAGAGTAACACTCACCACATATTTTCTAACCATTTCTTCATAGCTTGAAATAACTACACCATCTGCAGGTTCCTCCAGTGCTGTGAAATTAACAGAACAGCTTTTGAATCCAACATGTGGGTTAAAGGTCACTCCCTTGTTCCATCTCTTATCAACTTGAGAACCCAGGGCTGGCCAGACAATGGACAAGGTCTAGTCAAATCTAGGTTTTCTTCCGGTCAACTTCTACAATGGCCGCACATTTTGTCTCATTGTTTACCCATCTAAAGATGAATTTAGTTCCAAGCTAAGTTCAGGCTTTCACTATGACTGTCACTTTTTGTGCATCGAATTTGAGGCTGCATGTACAACAAAAGTGTGGTAAATATATAAAGGGGGTAAGTTCTTAAAGAAACTGTGGTGGGAGAGTATAAACAGGGTAGCTCTGACAAAGGGCTAAAGCTCGAAACATCAGCTTTGAAACTCTTTACCATTGGCCAGTTGATAATACCAATTTACCTTGTGGTAAATATAGTTGTTTCATAAGGGAGGGAGGGGGAATTTATGGAAATATTTGGATTCTGAAGACTTAATAGAATTGAGTCTGTTGTTCTGTTCCATTTCTTGTTCTGTAAATACTGTAATAAAAAGAACAAATTTTAGCTCAATTTTTACCCATTGGCTCCAGAACTTCAGCACTGTCAAGGTCCAAACCTTCATCTACCCCTCCAAAATCATCACCATCATCATCAAAATCAGCTGGATCATTACATCCAACTCCATTGTCATCATCTGAGAGGAATAAACACAATCCAATGATTTAACCCTTTAACTCCCAAGGTGTGATTGTTGATTCTCCCTTCTCGCTGCTACACATTTTCTTGTAAAATAGTGTGTGTTAGATCAAGATAACAACTTCTACCTGATGGGTTTGAGTCTTCACCTGTTTGCTGGATGATGTATGGATATTATAGGGAGAAATAACATGCCAATCTCTTATGTGATTTCAAGGATTTAAGGGAAGACAAACAGAGGCTTAGCAAGAAAGTTTAGCCTGCAAACAAGTCCTCATTATCGGTACAGCAGGAGGCATGTTTCTCTGCTGCCAGCAGTTTTAAGATGAGGTAGGTAGAGGTTTGCTGGGAGGTCTGGCACTATTATTGAGAGCTGTACCCCCTTTCAAAACCTCTTGCTGGCTGGCTGGTATGCTCAAGGTCTCGTACTTTCTAATGGTTGAAGAAACACTAGTGCCATAGTGCTAATATTGAAGACAACGAGAAGAAAAAGGTTAGGGCAACACTACCATTGACTCTTACCATATACTTGCCCATCTGCATTCTCTTCTTTATTTTCTACAATTGAGTTTAATTCCTCAATTTCCTCCTTGCTTGCAACCTGAGACTGAATTAAAATGTGGTTTTATCTGAGGTATATTGCTACACATCATAACAAATATTTTTTGAGGGATTTTCAAACTTGAAAGTTTCTCTTGGTAAAAAGCACAAAGCATAGACTTCTTACCAAAACCTTCCTCAGTTTGGCATGGAGTTTTTGTTTCTCTCTGTATTCTGCCCAATACAAGTATTCAAACTCTGTAAAATTAAATTTGTAGCAAAATAAATACAGCTGCATTGAAGGTTCACCCATTAACAGCTTCATGAGAAAGATTCACTCCAAGCAGTAAACAAACAAGCATTACTGCATACCTGGAAATGATGGAATTTTGAGACTATTTTTGGACATCTTTGATGCATGTGAGTAAACTGCAAAGAAAAGAGTAAATGTACAAAGTTGTGGTGATTTATTGTATTAAAGTTCTACAAAATCAAAGAAATAACAGTTTCTCTTGTGATATGGTCACGTTTCCTTTACATTATTCCTTTACACCTTAACATCAGTATGCATATTCTCCATACTGTTCTTTATACATTTCCTAGGGTGCTGACCAATCAAAAGCTTCTTTGGTTGGTGATCATTTACTTTATTCTCATGACCTTAATGTGTGATTCAGGGGTGATATTGTAAGGAGAAATTAGATGCTGGTTACTCTTAGGGTTTAAAGGGTTAATAGATTGTAAATGGCAATATTTTGTTCGTATACTGCTGTCAACCCTGTAACTCTTAAGACTGATTGACTGGGATTAAATTCTCCTTACAGCATGACTGCTGAATCAATCACTAAGGTCATGAGAATAAGGAAAATAGTGATATACTAACAAAGCTTGTGATTGTGAAACAAATTCTCCTTGGAATTACCATAGAAACTGTATAAGGAGCAGTATGGAGAATATAAATAATGATATAAGGATGTGAAGAGTTATTCATGAGGTAACAAGGTTGAATGACTGTGCATTGCCATACAGAGTAATTAGCATAATGAATTGCTGAGACTGTTTCACCCTCATCACCTGTGATTGGTGCTTTCAATTAACCCTAACAGTGACTGGCTTCTAATTTCTCCTTATTTCTCAACCTTGAATCAAATGTAATGGTCATGAGAATAAAGTAAACGATCAACAATTTAGGAAGCTCCATAATGTATCAAACAACTTCTCCATGTCAGTATCAGAAGATATGTGAAGAGAAAAGTGTGGAGAATTTCAATAACAATGTTGGGGTGTAAAGGATTAATGAAGAATGGAAGTTTATTGTTGAAAATTTGTACAATATATAAAGGAAACTTTATCATTAAGTGTGAGTATGTTCTACAAAGTGCACAATGTCATACTAGTGTCTCATCTTCAGCTGATTTTACTTACAAGCTTGGGATATAAATTGATTGATAGGAACAAGTGTAGGTTCTTTGTTTTCTTCTTTACGCTTTCTTTTCTTTTTCTTCTGATGTGATACCAAAGAGGAAGGCTTCTTGAAGGGTTTACCTGCAGAATAAATTTAATCACTTTAGTTTTACCCTTAGGAACGGAATACACAATTTTCAAGGAGTGCCGGTTATGAGAAAATAATCATTAATCATATTGTCACTGATGGTTTCTACAAAACTATAATACTACTTTACAGTTCAAATTGGAAGAGCTTATCAGTCCCCCCCCCCCTTTCACCTTTCTTCTCCTGGATTTAAAGGGGCTTAAATTCAGATGCTGAACTTTTCACATCACAAATGTTAAAAGGCATTGTTCAAATCATTATGATATATTTAGAGCAGTTCTCTGGGTGCTATAATGAGAATGGCCATAACAAGTAGCAAAATTTGGTATCCGAGTCTTTTATTTCAATTTGCTTAGTCCAAATTTGAATCACATTTGGCTTGTGAAAAGTGCAGCCTTTAAACAAGACCTACTAAAAACCAATGACAATAATTTATTTCTAATCAGTTTCTCCTGACCCTGATTATTCTTTAAAAGAGTTCCAGAAACTGGAAAGACTGAGTACTGGAGTGAGAAGAAAGGTGAAAAAAACAAAAGGTTATGTCTGTACTCAAGCCAAGTGCCTCATCCAGCAGGAGCACATTGTGGTTTCCTTAATATGAAGCGACTTGGAATATTACTACTCCTCCCTGGATGGGATGATAGTTCATCTCAGGTTACCCCCCCCCCCCCCCCCCAGCATTTAATCAAGCTTCCCTGACAATCTGCCAGTACATATTTATACACCTGGGTCAACTGAGGCAACTGTGAGAGTAGAGTGTTTAGCCCAAGAACAAGATCTTGAACCCAGACCTATTGAGCTGAAGTCCAGCACTCTATCTGTTAAGCCACCACTTCTCCCCCTGAAGAAAAGAAAGACTGTGCTACAAATTGTGACTGAGTGACAGCTGACCTTTCTTAAATGGTTTTTCTTGTGCAGTACCCGGATCATGAGGATCCAACATTTTCCAGGGATCTTTGAACTGTAAATTTGACAAAAATTAATGATTAAGATAATGGTAAAAATAAACCAGTCCAATTGCAAATTTGTTAGGTTTTACTGTATTTCCTAAAATAAGCATTTTTATCTAAAATTTTGGCTAAATGGGGGTGTGCTTATTGGAAGGAGGCTGCTTAATCAAGAGGGTGCTTATTATTCTCTTGAGCTGATTCAGCTGCAGTTGAAGCTGTCAAAGTTATAAATAAAGTAGCAATAGAAACAGGTTTTTCTGTGTATCCCTTTTAATAACAAAAATGAGGGAGAGGAGCATATATTTGAGTGGGATGCTTGTTTGATATTCTGGCCTTGGGGGAGGGTGCTTTTTTGTGGGAGGGAACTTGTATGAGGAAATACTGCATGTCAGAACTAGACCAATTGGTTAAGGTTAAGGTTAAGGTTTCAAACTAAAGTAAAGTAATGAAACATCAGCCACATGTCACCAGCCCATTCTAAATAGAAATTAATTGCCATTAGTTAAATTTAAGTCATTAACCCTTTATGTCCCAAGAGTGAGCAATGAGCAACTTCTCCTTATGACATCAAAACATTGTAAAAACAACAGGTCATAAATGAAAGAAAAATATCAACTTGGAGTATAAATGAGTTTAATTTATAACCAAATTTTTAAATATTTTTAAACACAAATGAATGACAGACTCTCGGGAAAATTAATTAAATAGAATTGAATTCTTGGGTATTACATTTCTTTAAAGAAACTGTTCAGTTGTGTTGAGGGAGAATCAAACTAAATGGTCATGGAAAAAACTTAACTCACAGGCTGTGCTTGTACAACTTGTTTTGTTTCAGGTCTTGCTCTCAATGCTCTTCTTTCTTCCTGATCATCCTATGATTTGTGCAAAAACATTTATAATCAAACCTATCTCATTACAAGATATCTTTAAAAAAAAAAGAAAACTTGAAATTCCACAGTCTTGGCACAATATACATAAAACAGCTTCAAAAATTCCTTAATGTACTTGTATTTACAAACAGACATAATCAAAAAGCTGTTTAAAAGATTGGAGCAAAAAGGTCTCAAAAGCATAGCAAATCTTTTTTTTTTCTGAAACATCTCATCTCCAGAATCTTACATCATTGAATCTGATTGGCTAATTGGGCACCCATAACTGGTCCAGCTTTTCACAATGCAGACCAAGGTATGAAATATTTTCTGTCATTTGCAGCAAAGCAGAGGAAACAATAAAAATAAATAAATAACCTATTAACCAGTCTAAGTTGGTCTGTCTGGGAAAAAAACTGTGGTCTTGAGTACAACCCTTGCCCTTTCGGCTACAGTCAAGACCTCAGGCACAGTTTTTTTTTCCTCATATGAACCTCCCACCTGGTAAATAACATATATGTATTCACCCCTTCCAATAAGAAACTTGGGGAGTTTGGAGCTATATTTCTGGACTCTGGATTCAGAAATTCAAATCAATGTGTGGTGTTTTTTTGGGCATGACAATTTTACTCTAGCAGAGGGTTTGTCAATCCAGGGGGTATAACAGGTTTCAATAACTTCTTCCATAAGTTGCTGCTGCTAGCAAAACTCAAACACAAATGCCTGCATACAGGCTAAACAGACAGTAGCAAAAAATTCTTACAGGAGGTAGTAGAATACTGGCAACCAGCTTTTACTAAAAACCCCTGAGATATAGCTGACTTGGTAGAATGCTGGTAACCAGCTTTCATTGAAACCCCTGGGATATAGCTGTCTACCTGTAGCAGCATAAAGTCTTACGGGAGGTGGTAAAATGCTGGCAACCGGCATTCACTGAAACCCCTGGGATATAGCTAACTACCTGTAGCAGCAAAAAGTCTTACAGGACGTGGTTGAATGCTGGCAACTGGTATTTATTGAAACCCCTGGGATTTAGCTGACTACCTGTAGCAGCAAAAAGTCTTACAGGAGCTGGTTGAATGCTGACAACTGGCATTTATTGAAACCCCTGGGATATAGCTGACTAACTGTAGCAGCAAAAAGTTTTACAAGAGGTGGTAGAATGTTGACAACCAGCATTTATTGAAACCTTTAGGATATAACTGACTACCTTTAGAGTGTTTGGGAACCTTACCAAATGCATAAAAAGGGTGGGAACAACCTGTGTGAGGCAGCAGTACTTGTAGTTGACTTATGTTGGGGAAAGTGGGATAAGATTTGACAGACTGGAATATCAGCTGTGTTCATAGACAAGACAATCTCTTCTCACATTGCCTCTCTCAACTCAGGTGTATAAATTGGTACTAGCAAACTTCAAGGAGAACTGACAATATGCTAAAGGGAGATCTCCAGTGGATCAACTTCATGTTTGGATGAAGTACCAGCAATTATCCCAGTTATTACAAACTATAGACATTAGGGTACATTGCTACAGATATGGGGCAATTCTAGGGATCTCATGACAAAGCCAACACCTTAATACAACACTAGATGAGTAATGAAATAGTACAATAACATTAAAGGCTTAACTTGTCTTAAAGAGATAATAATTTATTTATTTTCTCACCTCGGTCTCCTCTGTAACAAATTCATGGCAATTTTTTGGAGCATTGTGACAGTTGTCAAGTGCATCATCATCCATCAGTTCAGGTGGATCAAAATTATCATCAGGGTCTAAAAGAAAGGAAGTACCTAGTTCTTCAAACCTAGAAAGTAAATTACTCTTTACATACTGAATTGTGTAACAGGAATTATGATTTGTGGGAATGGACAGTCCCTTGCTCATGAGTTCTCATGGTATCAGCTGGTACACAGGACCACTGAACAAGGTGTTGCACTTGATGAATCATAACTTAATGGAATTACACATTAACAATGGAATGTAACTACCAGTAATGGTAGTTACTATCAAGTAAGTCCTTGTTTAAATCTATAAGCTTAGCTCGGCTAGAACTCTGAAAGTTTTCAGGGTAGTGAATGCAAAATCCCTTTGAGGAAATGTTGACACATATTGTCTTCCTATAATGACCTACAAATTTTAGTACGTTCAAACCATTTACAGCACAAATTTTGTAATTGCATTCACTGACTTTTGATTGGCTTAAATTCCAAGATATAATGAAAAAATAAATTTCAGGAATGAATTGAAGAGACTTGGCCAGATAAAAACTTGAAGAAAGGGAACTTTACTAACCGGGAAGTTCTAAAGCCTCATAACTTTCAGCCACATCCAGGCCATGGTTGGCAGACTGTTCATGAGTTCTAGGTTCAAGACCTGGACAGAGAAAAATGGATGTTCATTTGTTTACTATTAATTAGCAGGTAAACTTGATTTATTTCCCACAAACCTGACATGACTGATGGAGTTGCAGGCTTCAGTCCTCTGAAGGAGTCATCTATTAGTGAAAGGTGTGTCCAGTCTAAAAGCAGGGTGCCAGTTGGACCATGGACAATGCATGTGTTCATCTGTCAACAAAATGATTTAAATTCTTAATAATTACACTGCTGAATAAGGTAATGGTTAATGAGTCCCGTAGGCTGGGGGCTTCAAGCACTTATCAATATACATGTTAACTCAACTGCTGAGATCATATATGCAGTTTTGGTTAATAGCCTTAAATAACCTTTAACTCCCAAGATCTGATTGTTACTTCTCCCCTCCAGCTGCTACACATTTCCTTGTAAATTAGTAGTAACAAGAATTTGGTGCTAGATCAAGATAACAACTTCTACCTAATAAGTTTGAGTATTCCTCATTACCTGTTTGCTGGATAATGTATGGATATTGAAGGGAGAAGTAACATGTTGATCACTTTGGAGAGTTAAAGGGTTAATAAGTCATGAAGGCTGTGGCTTTAATTGCTTATTAAAATAATTCAATAAGTGATAGTGTACAGTTTTAATCTCAATATTTGTTGATTATGGTTTTATATGACCCTGGAAAGTCTGTGGCCAGTCCAAGGGATTTCTCAGAATTTCTTTTGATGATAATCATGGTCTAAAAATTAAAATTTATAGGAATGATTTGAAAATTTAAAACTTTTTATACCTTAAAATCATTCTTTCTTCCAATAGCTTCACCAGTGCGACTAAAGAAAAGAAAAGAAAAATTGTCAGTTTCTTTTGATACATCACAATTCAAAGCACACAAACTCTCATGTTAACTAAATATTAGATTTTAATCACTTCTGAGGATTAATGATGGCACAAGTTTGATTTAAATCACAAGTATAATTTCAGATCAAAATTGCTTGACACAAAGTTAAATAACCACTTTATTACATCCATTTTGAAATTGCAAAATTCAGGCGTGCAACTACAGGATCTTTTAATCTGTACAAATATTTTATTGAACCATTCCCACACCTGGTTTGTAAAAAGTTGCACAAACTTGCTTTTCATTTTCCTGTAATTTGATTGCTTACTTTAAAATTATCTGTCTAATTGATTGTTTATTGTTTATCTGATTGGTTGTTGTGTTTTAGTACAGCTTTCACATTGATTTGGAAAAAGGTGCAATTTAGAGCAAAACAAGGTGCAATTTGTAAATGAATGGCACTGATGAGAGCCAATCAGATTTCAAAATGGATATAACCACTACACATGTACCTTAGAAGCACATCTCCTCTTTCTTCCTCTGGGAGAGGTATTAAGGCTAAAGGAATCCTAGGCACAATCAGTGAACTCTAAAAAAATTTGTGTTTAATCATTAACAGGTGATCTCTAAATACTGCTCTTCAGTAGTAGTTCAGATAGGGCCCTCAACTACTATAATTTTTTAATTAGAGATAACAAACTCAGAATTGATTTGTCTTGTAAAAAATTAGGATAAAATTTGCCGCCACAGGAAAGAGGAAGCCCCTAGTAGTACCCATGCTCCCAGCATGTGGCTTTGTGGCTTGGTTGGTAGAATCACCCAATTAGTATCTGAGAGGCCTGGGTTCCAATCCTCTCAAAGCCTGAATTTTTTCAGAATTCTATTCTGTAATTGCAGCTTTCCTGCAAGGAGGATCATTGCTTTACTCGATTTTCATCCACAGGCAAAATGAAACTTATTATATTAAAAACTATGAACTTAGATGAGGGACTAATCAATCCACACAATCAAATTGCAAAAAGGTTCATTACTGATCATCTATGGTTCAAAATACGATTTAATTCACATACAGGGATTTCAAAACAAGCCAGTGGCCACTGGACTTCTGCCCTCTAATCAATAACATGTTGCAGGTTACTGTGGTCAAAACAATTACCTTTTGGCCTTTTATGAACTTTTCACAGTCACATGGTTTGCAGAGTCTGATGCCTACTTCAAAACATTTTAAAACCCCAGGCACATATTACTGTATTTGTGAAAATTGGAACAAATGTTGCAATCTTGTAATACTTGAAGAGACATTTGTAAGTACCTTTCTTTCAGCATTGTCATCTTCATCTTCCTTCAAATCAATATTCTTTGATACTTTTATGTCATCCCAAGAGCGATACTGCAACAAAATAAGAATCATGGAATAAGAAAGATAAGTTTTGAGCTTGGTAAAGAAATAGCAAAAGATGTTGACATTGCTAATCCTAGCAGTACACAGGACTAGTGTCATATATGAACTTCGTAATGAGCCTTGTTCACATTAGAGCCTCTTTAAGCCCAGTGATAGAGCATCACAGTGCAGAATCTGAAGGTCTGAGGTGCAATTCGTCATGGGAACTCAGAATTTTTTTCTATCTCACACTTGTGACGAAACAATAAAATGTCTTTCTCTAAAAAGAGGATCAAGTTTTAAGATTTATCTAAGTAAGGGAAAGGGAAAAAAACCTAAATGAATACAATGTACCTCTTTAGTATGCCCCTTGGCACTCTTCTTCCCTTGTTCAACTGAATCATCTGTTGATGCCTGTTGTAGACGTCTTGGAGAGAACAGAAGGATACAGGTGCGTTAGGTCAGGTTGGGAAATGGTATTATCTATGAGATCTAGTCAACTCTTTGGACAGAAGGTCAATTGACAAATCACTGAAACATAACAGACATGTGCGACAACAAACTTTTGAGGCGTTGCCTACATATTACCAATTTATTGGTTGACACATTGCCAGTGAATCTGCCCATGCATAACCAAAAACATTTGCTAACACAAACACTAAATAGGACTGTTTGCAATTTTACAAGTGATCTGCTTATCATACAAAAAACAAACAAACAAACAAAAAACATTACAAAAATAAGTCAAGTCAGTCCATCCTTTGTAAGCATTTGGGCAAATAAAGCCATGACCACTGCTGCCTATCCTTCACTTTCTTTCTCAACTCTCCAAAACTAACTCCAAACTCCCTTCTCCTTCTTCAAACATCCATCACCAGGTCTTTCACAATTAAGGGGCTACATTCAAAGTGTCTTCAGCTATGCATATGTCATAGTCACAGGTATGAAAATAAACATTTTATTAACAGCTGTGTCACCCTGGTAAGGGAAAACATAGGCTCTTGATCTCATCATAAGAACTAATGACTTACTTTTTACTCGCTATTAGATCCAACGTTTGATAGACCAGTGAGTACAAATATTCCACCTACAACAGAGATATGAGGCTTTAGAAAAATATTAAAAGATATTAGGATATTAAAAATGCTAGGATATGAGGCATTAGAAAAAGAGGTCCTTTTACCCGTCATGTAAATCAGTATAGACCCACGGGATGGATCATAGGTTAAAAGTCAAAGTGGCATGGAATCAAGGGAGAGGATTGCTTTGATACGCGGTTATGTTACGGTACATGTACTTACCTTCTTGCTGTAGATACAAGTTGATCCTTGGATAAGAAGCGCTGCTTCAGCAAAATTCATGGTGGTCTTCCCTTCATCAAAAGATATTTTGATCTTTTCGATCTAAAGCAAATGTTGTTTTGTACAGAGAAAGTACAACCATTACTGTGCCGGACTAATATAAAGCGCTCATAAATAAACAACGTATTTAGTAATGCAACTTTAATTTGGAGAACAAGAGCCGCAATGGTAACCTTTAGCGCCATATTTTGCACAAAATTGTAGAATTTTTCCCTGCCAAGATAGATTAAGGAATCAAAGGCGATTTTATTTCACTTATAAGCGTAAAGTTAACAGTTAATTTCAGAACGTTGGCTCACCTCAGCCAAGTATTCTTCCAGTTGAGCAGCGACATCTACGTCCCAATTCTTTGTCAGATCACGGATCGGCTGCAGTAAATGACTGTACCGGCTAGTTACGTCGCTTGAATCACTGCTTGCTTCTTGAGAAGGCATGATCACCGCGAAGATATTCAGCCAAAACTCAACCAAAACATGACTTCCAAAGCGCTCACGAAGAAAAAGAAATTTCCCGCCATTTTGCTAAGCTCCGAGTATGCGTCAGATGTGCAACCGCTGATAAGCTCCACAGTATGCAGACTCACGTCTATACCCGCAAAGTGCTGCATATGGAGCATAAACTTCATGGCTGAATGCCACCAAATGGGGCTTGTTGTGCGAAGCGTAGATGAGACAGAGGAGCTAAGGGTGGATAACAAGCCACCAGCATGTTTACAGATTCTCATGTCGTTTGTATTTAAGACCCAAAATTAAAGTTTTTTTGCCCACACTCTTTCCCATTGCTATTGAGTTATATGTCCCAACCTCTTAAAGAGGCTTTCCTTACAGAGCATAAGCTAACACGCAGGGGTTATCCGGTTTCCACCGTGCGTTTGCTTGGGAGCATCGTCTCATGATTGGGTTTCGCCTTACGGTACCTTTTCCGTACACAACTGCCTGTTACACCATTGACAGCCGCTTATGACAAAAGTTGTGAAAAACCCCTAACACAAATAGCATACCGTGGCGGTATGGCAACGAAAGAGAAAATTGAAAACAATAAAAGACTCAAATTAATGGAGATATCAGAATCATTTTAGAAAGCGTGGATGGGTAAGAAAGAGAAACTCAAAAAGGAAAGAAAATTTAAGGTAACAAGGGATGAGACACAGAAAGGAGACATCATACCGAGATGGAAAAGGAAAATACAGGTCATAACTAGTTTGCATCATTCACTGACGAAAAAGGGATTTTTAATTTTCCTTCAGAAAAAAAAAATATTCCTGAGTAAATAAATAATAAATTATCAATTCCGGGTTGAATGAATAAATACAAAGGTAAAAGGAGTCGGACTGAATAGACAAGACCAACGGGCAAAGTTTCTTAATTAGGCCGCGCAATCTGGCTATCATTCAGTCACTGCAATTTCTTCGGCGGAAGGAAACGCCTCGCCGGTAAGCGTATGAGTGCCAAATCCCTGCGATTTTTGCCAAAACGTCCTTGACGGAACGATAAGACGGCTGAATCTGAATTTACAGCCAGTCTAGCCATCTGCGGATTGTTCACTGGCGCTCCTTGCTTTACAGCGATGACAGGGATGCGGCCAGCTGATGAGCCTCTGAAGACTGAACATTCATTCAATGCTTCTTTTGCGAGTTATGCTTTTTTCTGGAGGAGATAAGACAGTACAAGGTTTAGTTGCATTTAGTGAACCTAAGCATTTGCAATGGTAAATGAAATAAAATGATCACAACAATAAGCCAATGAGAACTCAGAGTAAAAAAAGAAAACGACTCGGGGCTAGAACAGGAAGGACTGAGTCGCAGTTGGTTATGTTCCACTACCACATTAGTTTGCAAAATGGGAAGTGTTTTCTTTGCCAAATAAGACCATTATGAAGCAAAATCAATGCAAACCCACTTAAAATCAGCTTTTAACTGAGTGTCGAAAAACCTATACCAAAGTAATCCCAGCGACCAATGGGAACAAAGCTTTACAATGTCATTAGCCAATTGGAACTCAAGTTAACTAGCAAACTACTTGAAGCGCGGGAAAACGCGAATGACCACGTCCCGATTGTTTTTTTTAGTTTGGTATCTGATTGGTTAATAGGATGACGCGAATTTTCTGGACCAATCATAGAACAAAGTTAAGCAAACCAATGCAATCGCGGGTTACTTTCGACACTCAATTGAAAATTGCACTTTTTTCGACACAACTAAAAATTGTGACTAAGCTTGGATGAAACAAACAATGTTACATTAAAAGTTTGCATCTCTGAATGCCTTTGTGTTGTTCTCAAAGAAGAACTGTCTATTCAGCTTACCTTAACGGAAGGCATTCTCGTCTTCCATAACATCAAACATCTTTGATAACTTTCTTGAAGCTTGCAAAACACAAAGCCACACCATGTCGTGATTTTCTCACATAACACCCTGCTCATCTCACGCAGTTTATCCATACAGCCAGTAACATTAATCCGCTTCCAACGAGAGACATTTTTGTTCGTCGATTCGTCCGCAATGTCTGTGTCTTCCTCCCTGTCAGAAGCTTTTGAGGTCGCCTTACTCTTATCGTGAACTCTAAATAAAGACAGCGTGCTAGAGACGGGGAAAGGAAGCATGTAAGCTTGTGAAACGTCCGTTTAAAATTAATCTAAGACGGTCATAAAGAGCTTATCAATTCCTCCCTCTTGCCTCGTTTCTAAAAGAATGAAAAAGAGGCAACTTTCTCCGTTCCAATTTCATTTGTTCCTCACCAGAACTTTCTTCCAGTCCTCCTCCACCAAACTTTGAGCACCAGACACGTGACCACAATGAAGAGAAGAGCATTGATGAGGGTAGTGGGTGCAATTCGTCTATGAGCCTCCCTCAAGTTCCGTATCAGTGCATAAAGAAAGCCCCACGTGTTCTCTGGCTTAAAATTTGGCTGAAACAAAAATTTCATAAGTCATCGAATGCTTCGATGCGAACTCAACTGTGTCTAAGTTTGAAATTTTAACATTTTTGAACGAAAATAAGCTGACTCCGCTATAGAACCTAACTGTCTCCTTTCGCTTTCATAGACACTATAACTGAGTTCAAATTAATTTTCCCTTCTATTTGGGAGACACTAAACTAGATAAAAAAAACTAATTTGATCACAGAGTTTCGACGCCTGGCATATATCGACCTTCTAGTTATCTTTTTAACCCTTTAAACCCTAAAAGTGACCAGCATCTATTTTCTCCCTACAATATCACTCCTGAATCACACATTAAGGTCATGAGAATAAAGGAAATGATCACTAGGGAAGGAATCTTTTGATTGGCAAACAAATTCTCCTTGTCAGCACCTCAGGAAATGTATAAAGAACAGTGTGGAGAATATGCATTCTGATGTTAGGGTGTAAAGGGTTACGAGAACTACTTTTCTCGTCTTGTTACGAGCTTGAAATGAAACAAAGTTCCCTTGAGGAACTGAACCTCAGGGCACCGGTGCTCAATCACTTAGCTTAAGAGCCTGTGTGGGGAACTGGGTCACCACAAAGTTCATTTTTAAAACACGTCTCAGCAATGTCGTAAAGAGAATACGAAAAAGATAAATTTCTCGGCTTAGCAGTGAAATACAGAAATAAGTTTTTTCGTCTTGTCTTGTTTCCTTCTCTCCGGCATGGTCTTGTGTATCAGTGTAATTAATAATGGTAATAGGACCGAGTGGAGTCCAATTCTGTCTGTAATCTTACGAGTGATAACCAAAGTCGGACGACCGCGAAGCGGGAGTCCGATTTGTTAATCACGAATATGATTACAGACAGAACTGGACGACAAGAAGTCCTGTTAATCAATTAATCATAACCATTTCAATTTCTGAAAAAAAAATACACCTAGAACAGATATCTACAGTGGAGACAATGTCTTATTGCTATCGTTATTGTAATCAATTTTGTGATTGGTGGATTTTGCTGAGTGGGTTAAGTAAATTGGCTGCGTCAACTGTCCGATTACAGGTGTCCGATTACAGCCAACCGTCTGATTACACTGTCCGATTACAACTGTACAGAATGATTAGTGAAAAATGAAGCTGCGAATGCACCAATAACATTTCAGAAATCTGTTTTGGTTATGACTAAATTTTGTTTTTGATATGTTGACCCCCTGATATCTCCAACTATTTTTGCTGGAGCCTTAGGAATCGAAAGAACAGAACTGCACCAAATTTGTCACGAGCTTTATGACTCTTTACCCGGTAAATTCTCTTTTTCTCCAGCATATTCTCCAAAGTCGACAAAGAGCTGTTATTGACGACGAATGGTAAATATTCTCTGTTGAATTCCCGCGTCCACCAAGCCTTCTCGCCGCTGTTGAGAGAAAAATTCAACAAAGTAAGGGATTTGGTGCAATTTCAAATGAAGTGTCTTAAGTAATCCGGGATTGTTTGTTTTTGTTTTCTTCGCTCTGTGATTGGTCTGAAAAACTCACGCCATTCTCTCAACCAATCAGATGCAAAACTAAAACCAATTTCGACTTGGTCGCCCGCGTTTTCCCGCGCTTTAGGCGATTTGGTCGGTTGTACTTTGAGTTCCTATTGGCTCTAAGAAGTATTTTTCTTTTGTCTGATTGGTCGTTGTGATTTTTTTGGTTTTGGTTTTACGACACTCAATCGGAAAGCGCTCTATCTAAGCAGTTTTGCGATCCTCACTGAGGAAGTTCCATAATTAGTTCCATAATTTTATGTCACTGGACTGTTACCTTGGATGGAACAAAACTTGCCACAGACTTGATGTGTTTCGTGTGTAGTGATACAGATACAGTTGCGCTCGGATGAACCTTGGAGGAGACTCCTTGAAAGGATTTTGACCCATCAGCTGTAAAACGTCTGTTTGTCCTTTCATTAGCTTATGAATCAAGCTCAGAAACCATGGATTTTCAGAGTAGGATTCCAGAGCTGCGAACCACATTTGCCAGTCCAAGCGGGGCTGATGAGGTGCTGCAGTGATAAAATGATTTATGCAAAAGTCGCAGAGTTGAGTTAGGTCCACTTTTTCTTAAAACAACATATGTCACAACCCTGACTCATTTTCAAATTCTCGCCTTTACATATGATGTCACTGCGTAGCAGTTTTTCATTTTCCTTTTAACTTACTTTTCCCGCTTTTGCCCCATGTTCTCGAAGCTTCCCCACTGGGATAAAGAAAAAGGGAAAGGAATCCTAAGCAGGAAAGATTTACACCATAAAGTTCGCTGTGATTGAAGATAAGTGCAGATGCCACGAAAGTTGTTCTCTACTTACATTGGCAAAGGGAATTTATCAGCTGCACCTATAAATGAAAACTGTTAAAAGGAGGACTTGCTTAGGTAAATGCGGCTTAAAACGTGACATCCCCTTTAAGTTTAAGTGTGACCAGGCGATCATTTTCTCCTGGCAAGAAATCTAGCGATGCCTCGAATCAGGTTACAGACGGGTGCCAGTATTGCGACAATACTTTTTATTTGTATACTCACCAACAAAGGGCGGTGGCTGATATAAATTGCCAGGTTTGTATAAGAAGTTGTATTCCTGAAGAAAGGAAAGGCAGCCTGCAATAAGCTATCAAAATTACACCTAGTGACAGCAGAGAGCTAACCGCTCGACATCATCTGTATAATGAAGATGGTCAACTCCTTCTCAAAGACCAACCTCTTAGACGACTCTTCTGTTTCTTAGACAGTTAACATTTCGAAAAATTCCTCTAAAGCGATCAAAGCTCTGATTTTTAGTCATTGACTGGGACTGGCAAATTGCTTTAAGTCTCCCGTTAGGAGTGACTTCCTACAAGATTCCAAACTTGCACTATAATGAAGGGGACTGGATTTTACCTCCCATGGACCGTCCAGTGAGTTGCTGCCTATGATGATAAGCTCAGGCCGACCACCAACTCCAGTCATACTGTAGAACAATAAATAACATATCACTCTTCGACGCATGACTATTAGGCAAGTCGCTGAATAATAACAATTGCAATAACGAAAAAAATAACATGTCGGTTATATAGCGCATTTTCATAAGTTCTAATGCTTTCCCGGTACAAAACCTTGTAGACTTCTTCAACCAGACTGCACGAAGCACTTTACAAAGAATTGAAGGAAATCTTTGTTTATGCTTTCAATTTTGTAGACAAGACCAGACTACAACACCCAAAACATCCTGTATCACTTATTTTTAAGATCCTCTCCAAATAATAACAGGGAAGAAGTAGGAGACGGGGCTCTCGATTTACCGTCCTTATCAGGGAAAACTGCAATGTCTTGCTATTCTTAGATGTCATTCTACGGGCAGCAAATTTTTCTCCGGTGCTCCGGTGCTCTGGTAGTTCAGTGCTATACCAACTGAGCCAACAACTCGAGGGTTTTTAAGAATTATGTAACACAACTCTCGTACCTTCTGAACAGGCCGTAAGCATTTGTCAGTTCCAGATAAGCCGTGTGTCGATACATATTAACAAACGTCTTGGGAAGGCTTCGCTGGACAACACGATCAACTGCTGTGAAGGAGTACTGTGGATTAAATGCAAACGGAAAGCAATCATCAAGAGAACATAACTTTGTCTCATGGCAGCGTTCAAGACGATCGAGCTCGCTAAGAAGAACAACACCTAGAAAGGAGGCAAAGAGAACTGCCGAAAAGATTCCAGTGGAGATCCATGGTTGACGCCTTATGCTCCCCAGCAGGAACGAAGATGGCCTAATCTAATGGCAATGAATAGTTTTGTGGTTGAATATGTAATGCAAGTCCTTTCTTCCTCTCTCCTTTCCTACTTTCATGTCTAACTTGCTTAATATAACTGATGGTGAAGAGAGCTGAAATAATGATGATGAGATAAAGCAACAGAAGGGAGACGGCAGCAACAGCGAGGACGATGACGATAACTGTGATTTACGGTTACAAGAAGATTGCGAAGATACAAACGACACGCTCAAAAGACAGTTTTTGGAAACAGTCTTGGACAAGTAAGTCGTCTAAAGCAAAAAATACACCCTCATTGCAGAATTGCATATGACATCGAGTTTTACTCACCAAGCTAACAGAAAACATCATTAAAGACACAACGGACCAGATGAAACATTGGAACAGCTGCCACACCTTGCTACGCTTGCTGCACTGCTCCAACAGGCACCTAATGCACAATACATAATCTTCAGCACAAACACACAAACGTCCTCGACAGCTGAATGAAATAAATTACAACGTTGAATAACTGGAATATTTTCCCCGACAGCGCACGCTCAGCTCTCCCGTGAAATCCAAGAATGAAACTCGAGTAAAGTAATGATCCTCGAAGAATGGCGACTATTTAAAAAACTACCGAAAAGAAGCTTAAAAAAAATTCAGATTTCGACAAGATTTGAACCCGTGCCCACCAGATACTAGCTGGGCGCTTTGCCAACTGAGCTACGAAGCCACACGTTTGGAGCGAGGCACATTTTAGAGAGCTCGAAGTTCTTCTTTCCCGTGAAGGAATCTGACAACGATTTTTGATCAAATAAATTTCATTAAATTTATATTAATGAAACTGTTTCACACCAAAAGTCTCTTAACGTGCGATATTCCAAAATCTTTGACTTCAGAGGGTAACAGTGCCCGAATACTCACAAATTTGACCGACGACCGCTTTAAGGCTTACTGACGCGAGTTCACCCGAGGTAATGATTCACGAGGCTTCCCTTTGGGAAAGATTCTTAGGAAAGAAAACAAACTATTTTCCTTCGGACCAGTCGTTAAGTTTTATTTTTGACCAGCAGATGAAACACAAGCCAAAGATGATCCTACAAGAACCATTTCTTTTTTTTCTTAATAGTTATTGCAAAGCCCATCAAACTAAGTTTACGGATAGACAGCACCAAGAGAAACAACACCCAGATTACCACCACCGTTCAAGTATAAATAAAGGGGATCTTCGCTTCGGTTACAAATCTATTTCGAGCTGCACATGTCACATCTCACCTAGTAAAAGCTCCCAGTATTTCGATTAAAAGAGACAAAAACCCCATCCACAATGCAAACTGTGTGGCAAGTTGAACTGTGTTTACAAGCTGTTCAGGTGTAAAAGCTGAAAAAAAGTGAAATTTGTTGATTTAGTGGTCGCTTCATTGTTCAAATTAGCTCAAAGTTATCAAAATTTGACGCCACAAAGTTGATCCTTTACCTGTTTCGCAGTGGATGGTTTCGTCTTTAGTGATCTTAATACTGAACCACTTGATAGTACAAACAATGATAATTATCAAAACAAGAAGAAACGTGATTAAGATAGAGGCCAGCTTCATCCAACCAAAAATCTTGCTATGAAGAAATTCTATGGCCTGAATGAATTTGGAATTCTCATGACGTGAGTTCATCCAGTGCAAGACATACTCCACAAGTTGAGAGGTGGTTGAACTTTCTTCTGTTAAGAAAATTATGGCGAAAATAAACTTAAAGCAACTTGATTAACACTGAATAAATTGCACAAGCGAATGTGATTGCTTATGCAGAAGGGGGACAAACGAACGGGGAGCAAAAACCACGGATCGCTTAGTACCTGGGCAACTGTGTACCTACCCCTCCCCTTACCCAACTTGACTGTTGTTGTGTTAGGGGAGGGATAGGTGCGCAGCTCCTGAAGTACTGACTTTGATCCAAAACCCCACAGGTGTGAAAGGGGTTACGGGTACCCCCCCTCCCCCATTCTCTCGCTTATTGCCTCACTGTCCGGCCTGTTGTAGTTGCAAATAGATAAAAGAGCCACAAAAGATGAAGAAGTTCAGGGCAATTCTAGCTAGTGATGCCATTCTCACCTGAGCTGGTGTTTCCCTTCGATGCGGTGTTCCTATCCTCTGAGCTTGGTGTATTTTCACTTTCAGCTGCTTCTAAATCTGTGGAATGAAAGACCCAAAAATATATATCCTTAGTAGGGTACAATTACTGAAAGAAACGACAATCAAAGTCTAGGCAAGAGTTCATCAGCTACAGGCCCTGAACGTTTAAATTTTAGTAGGAGAGTAGAGCGCAACACGCGGTTTTCTCACCTGGGGGGGGGGGGGGAGAATTTAAATAACGGCCCTCTAAGTTATACCTTCATCACTTCTCGAGCCCATTTTTCCTTCCACGTCTTCCTCTAAGCTCTCCTCTTGTTTAACCTCTGAGTATCCGGTACGAGGTTTCACTGTTGTTCCTGTAAGTAATTCAACAGAATAACGTCAGTTAAACCCTTTCACTCTCAAGATCTAATCATTAATTCCCCCCTTCAGATGCTACACACTTCCTTGAAAATAAGTTACGAGAATTTGGTGTTAGATCAAGATAACTTCTACCTGATAATTTTGAGTATTCTCATTACCTGTTTTCTAGATAATGTATGGATTTGATATGGAGAAGTTACGGGTTGATCACTTCTGGAAGTTAAAGGGTTAAGCAACTTTTGTCAGGAAAATTCTTAACTTATAAACAATTTCAAACGCCTGTAGCAACGATGTAGAAAGCGCAGGCAAATCTGAAAAGCACATAATACTTTGTCCAACAATCTTCCTGTACGCAGAGTTACTTACGCTGGCTTGCCGTATGACAACAACTTGAACGCATGCACCGTCTGCACAGGAAACACTGCATACGAGAGAGAATACACTTGTCATCCAGCAGCGAGATACACAAGACGATTGTCAGTAGGTTGAAGAAGTTGTAGTTACCGGTGAGAAGAATCAAAAGCTGGAGAAATACCTGAAAAGAAATTATGATGAACAGTTTAGCACCGCACCACACTGAAAACAACAGACCACGAGCAGTCCCTCCTTTTCGGCGAATTCCACCACGCAAAAAACTCAGAAAAAAAATCAGCCAGGAAAAAAATTGATGTTGGCATTCGCGGGCCCATTTGTGAGTCTCACTCTCAAAGTTTTGCGCAGTGTGCCAACAATGTGTATTTTTTTTTCGCTGATTTTTTTAGACTCGGCGAGGGATTTCACTGAAAAGGAAAGACTGCTCGTAAGCTATGAAAAGAAAGGCCTCCTTTGGGGAAAGTCAATAAAGGCTCTCTAGCTCCCAGAGGAAAATGTTAAAGTCTTTGGTGAAAAGAACGATTGAGCGCAGAGAGTAATCCGTGATTCTTTGGTTTTGTTTCACTTCGCTCCGTGGTTGGTCGTCAAAATTCGAGACACCCTTGCAACCAGTGAGATATAAAACTAATAAAAGCCAATTGTGAATTGGTTACAAGTGTTTTCCCGCGCTTTAATGCAATTGGTTCCATGCAATATTTATCTTTGTTCTGATTGGCCACTGTGATAACTTTGGTTTTGATTAGACGATACTCAATCGACAAGCTTTCTAGCAATCTTACGATTGTTACATGAATCTTCCCTACCTCGCTGCAATAAACAAACACACGAAGAATTCTCACAGGAGCAAACGCCAGGAAAGGAATTCCGATCTCAATGACGTAACTACAAAAAGGAATATCTTTGAAAACAGTAAGACCAATAACAGGTAAATAAATAACAACAGGCGGGTGGAGACTTAAAGAACAAGTCCATTTCTCTCTCCATTTCACAAGCCCCTGCGCATTTTCCTGCATTTAACTCTTGTGACATATTTGTTCGTGGTTATAGACCGCCCTTATGGCTGCACAAAAGCTAGCGCAAAAAGGGGGATTTTCTAGTCAGGCTACCGTCCGGACTCATTTTCGCATGTTTCCCGCGATTAGCGGTGGCTGCCATATCCCATCGTGCACTGATTGCGCGTTTTCTTCCGTTTGGCGCTAAATGCGTTCCATAAGTCACACCAGTTAGCAACAACTGAGCATTTTCCCGCACTCGCCGTGTTTTTGTTTCTGCTGTTCTTTGTTTTTCTTTGTGGAATTTATTATGCTAAAATGACACCTATATTACATATTATTAATAGCTTTTTTGCAAATGTACTTACGTCATAACTACACTGAGTCTATGGAACCAAACAGGGAGTTTTTGAAAGTACCATGCAACTGGTGTGGGAATGCACTGATAAAAAGAAAAACATGTCTCCTCAAACTTTCCTTTTACACACTTGGGCGTTAAAACACATAAAAAATAGCGCTTTTTGTGCCTTGAAAAAGTTTCGGATATGAAGTAAAAAAGGAGTTTCAATACTGTTTGGGCATCTGAAAAAGCTAGCATCATAGTTTCAGGTTCGTTCTTTGGAATCAGAGTCTTAACTCAATGATAAATCAAGTACAACGAAAATTAAAATCCTCATGAGGTACCTTAGTGAGTTTTTAAAGGAAGAAATAGAAAAACTTAAAACTTCGTCCCTCTTGCTCTGCTGCGCGAAGAATATGCTGTTGAAGATAGGAGCTTTATCTACAGCTCAAACTCCGGCTCTTACAGAAAAGCGATCATTTCATATGGTACCTAAATACACGTTAGTAGATGCATATTGAAAGGTATGCGAGTTGATAAAGGCATGGTTTTTTAGCCGGTTTGCTCTTAATAGGGTGTGGTTTTGTGCCCCCCCCTCCACCCGGAAGTATTTCAGGGGTATCCCACCCACAGCTGAGGGGGGGGGGGAGCAGAAGCCTATTATGGTTAAACCTAAATTGAATTGTGGTAAAAATATGAGCTAAACTAAATTGTTCACAATAAATTCAGATTGAATTTCTCTTGTTTAACAAATGAACAGGATGGACAGTAGTTCCCTCTGATTCTCTCCTTACCTGTGACTCATAATGCCAGTTGAGGGCGCTGAGATCCCACCACGTTTTGTCCATGTATGTCAGTTTAACAACTCCTGAAGCAAACATTAGACGAAACAACAACCACTTAACCAGCCACAGGGTTACATTGTCATGATGCCTTGAGATGTACCTTCAAACAGTAGCACCAAAAATTTTGTTGGTAATTACGTTAAAACAGTCAAGTTAATGAGGTGAGAGTTGCCTGTAACAGACTTACAGGATGAAAAACTGATTCACTGATTTCAGAACTGACTCAACTTACAGTTCAACTAAATAGCTATGCCACTCAATTCACTGACTCACTCTGTTACTGACTATCTCACTGACTTGCTGTCTTACTTAATCAACCATTGATAGATTACTGAATGATTGGCTGACTGATGGACAAACTGACTGTCTAACTTTTTGACTGTTAACTGTCTAAATAACTGACTGAGTGACAGTCTGAGTGACTGATTAAAATGACTGATTAAGAGTACCTGACCAACTTGCTCATTGGCTGCTCAATTGTCTAAATGACTGACTGACTAATTGATTATTGAATGATTGATTGAGTGGCAAAATGACTGACTGACTGATTGTCTGGCTAAATGACTGACTGACTATGTAGGTAGCTGACTGACTGACTGGCTAGCTGACTGACTAACTTACTAATTAACTAACTGAATGACTGACTGGATGGCTGACTGACTGACAAACAGACTGATCAACTGACTAATCAAGTGACTGAGTGAATGACTGATTGACTTACTGGCTGACTGACTGATTTACTGATTGACTAATTAACTGATTAATTGATTGACTGATTGACTGATTGACTGATTGACTGATTGACTGATTGACTGATTAACTGATTGAATGACTGACTGACTGACTGTCAATAACCCACCAACTGATTTACTCACAAAATGACTGTACCTGAGACATCTGCACTTGAATAATGTTAGTTTTCCAATTCTCCAGGGTGCAAAAACAATGTTCCAGGGAGCAACCAGAAAGGCAAGAAATCCTGATTCCCACAGGAGTGCATCCCTAGAAGCAGCAATATTAAATACCAAATTAGGTCACCTACATGACTCAACAACTAAGGCATTGGGGACTGTCTAAATGACTATGAACATTCAATAAGACATCCAGTGTAATATCCTGTTAGTAACACTCTTTGGCCCTGGACAGTATAAAAAGTATCAAGTTTTTCACAGTCACACAGTGGTCATTACTTACCACTGATACTGAATGAATATTTGACCAACCTGTCAAGAAAGATCATCAATTAATCTTTATAAATACTTAATAATAGATAGATTCCATGTTGCCTTGCTTCTGTTCAGTTATAGATCATAGATGACATCAGAACATGGTAAACTATCTATCTGAAGCCCATTGCTCCTTCTCACAGGGGCAACTCTGCTAAGTGGGTCTTTTGAGCCACTTGCTGGTCCCAGGCATGCGTAAAGGAGGAAGGTTAGCCATGAGGTCACCAACCCCACCATGGAAAACAACACTACTGCCACAGAAATGTCAAAATGTGGTAAGATATACTTAAATTAAATTGATGCAGCTGAGAGTGTCACTGATGTTCTTAATACCACATTTTGAAGTCTTCTATGATCTATTAATGTTCACACCCAAGACAACATAAAATCTATTTGTTTTATCTGATAAAAAATCAAAATGTTGTTTATGGTGACATCATTTACTTGTCTGACCTCCAATAGATCAAAACATTATCGGCTTGGGCTCTCTTGCACATATACTCTCTTTTGCTGTTTTATGAAGACTCTTATCTCTCAAAATTTTGTGAAATAAGCCAGAAATTTCCTCTAGTTGTGCAATGCAAGAAGTGATGTAAACAAAATATGCAAATCGAGATCCCAAATAAAAACCCATAGATTATGTCAACACTCTGCAAGAGACCTTTTGGATCATGACACCCCTCGCTCTACGGCATAGGTTCCTGGCCCCTAATACATTCTTTTTGCTATATCTCCCATTCTTTCTAAGATGTTGTTATTTTCTTTGAAACTTAGTTGCTCTCTTTAATGAAAGAGCAAAGAAACAAAATTTTAAAATTTTGACCAGATCTTGTTGACAGTAACCTTTAGTTAATGAAAATCTACATTGAGCTATCAGTGGTGAACATTAATTTTTCTTTCCCAAAGACAAGTCATGTAGATCTAAATAATAACAACTTACTGACTTATTTTAATAACCAAAAAACATGTCAAGAAACAATTTAAAACACTGGTACCTAAAAGGCAAAAATATGGGAGGAAAAGCAGTGTGAAAATAAAACTCACTGGTAACATGGAGTAGTAGAGGAACCACAGCATCAGGTAAGTAAGGCAGTTTCTGCATCTTTGTGACACAAGGAGGACGAGTGAAAGTAAAATGCCCACAACACACAAGAACTCCATGCCAGTGGGTGTATCCAGTCCCAAATATGGTGTCATCCATAAAAGAGTGGGTGTGTTCCAGAACAATCCACTGACTGATGTGTCCAGTGCTATCAAAAGAAATGATCAGTACTCCTGGTGAGAGAACTATTTTGGAAATGAAATTGCTAAAAAGTTGACATGGGAATAATATTTTTCTGGGAGACTTTGCTGAGAAAATTGTGATGACAGATGTTAAATGTAATTAATACAATCAAGATAGCGAGCAAGTTACCTTGACAGCTGTTACAAGACTTCATGCAGTTCTGCACCATCCACCCTGTGTTTCTGATACACTCTCCTGATGATGCCCACAATGGACAAGCAGCACTTTTATCTATGCATGATGAAACTGATAAAACAAGATAACAAATTTAATGAGAAAATTAAGAATTGTTGTCACATAGTAGCCACTATGATAACAACAACTTCTCTGGGGCTGCAGCATGAAGAATTGAATCTTTAATTCCTGAGAGTGACTGGCATCTGGTATCTCCCAACAGTGTCATCCATAAATCAATCAACGATAAGGTAAGGAGAATTTGGAAAATTATCAACCAGTTAAGAAGCTCTTTCTTGATAAAAGAATTCTTCTAGTCAATCCCTTAGGAAATGTATAGGGAAGGGTTTGGAGAATATGGATACTGATGTTAGGGTGTAAAGGGTGAAAAAAAAAACCAAACAAACAAAAAACAAATTACTTACAGTCATGCAAAATGTAACTTGCAGGGAGTAGACCATTGTGTCCATAGAGACCTGATTAGAAAGTATTCAGAAATACAGGTTTTTAATGTTAATTAGACCCATCAAGATTTGGCACTATGTGAGGTATATAAGGTCCTGCAACAGGTGATTTGGTCGATGGAAAAGATAATTAAGGTAGCAAAATTTAATTGCCATGGGGGAAGGGTGGGGAAGGAGTTTTCTTTTTATAGAGATCCCCACCCAGGCAGAGATATTTTTATTTTAGGTAAAAGAATAATACTCGTGAGAACTTCCTTTAATTCACGTGTACATGTACGTATAATTTACAAACGATAAACCTTGCAATTCCCCTGAGACCTGAAATGACTAAACAAAACATACAAACTGAATACAAAGAGATCTGTTGTTGGTAGGTTGTGGAAGATAGTAAAAAAATAAGATCAGACAGAGCAACTAACCTGGTATTTGGACGTAAAGAGAGGTGAAAGCAAATAAATAGATGGCTGCCATGCACCAGAGAAAACCCTGTCTTACAACCTGTTGATTTTGCTTGGAATATTTGAAGTCTGAAGCCATTCATTTCTTTCTCGATTAGCCCACGCAATGTGTCCTCGATTCAGGTTTTTTTCTGATTTGATGTTATTTCACTTGTATTCTGAGAAACAAAACACGAAAGGAGAGGACAAATTTCACTTTAAATCCGGCGCCAATGATCACTTGATCTTGAGAGAAGAAGCAAAACAATAATCTGTTGACAATGCAAAGTGGCTATCAGCTGTTTTTCGTGTATAGATTACATGACCTGCTTTGCGAGTACTCGTCCCCAGGTGCGCAGGGGAAATCTAACATGGCGGGTTACGGGAAGCAAATTCTCGTACGGGACGTGTTTTTATGGTCTATATCTGCCATCTATCTCTTTGCGTTTTCCTCTCTCTACATACAGATACCAGGTAGATTGTAAAGATTTGGTTGAAACTGTTCATTTTTCTAGCGTAAAGGTTTGTGATGTGTTTTTGTCGATCTATCTTGTATGCAGGTCTCTATGGACAGAACGGCGTCCTCCCTGCGAAGCTTACGCTAAGGGAAGGTGAGATATGTACTTTTCGATGTTTTTGGTCGTTCAGGTAAAGATTATAGCAAGGATGCTACCTTCTTTCGTTTAGGGGAAGTGTTAACGACTCCCTTATCATTTTAATTTACCACGCGCCAAAATCACTGAATGGGCTATTGTTTTAATTTGTTTTGATTCATGTTAAGCGATCATTTAAATACACGTGGTATTTGGTTAAGCGTTAATGTATATTTTTTATGTATTTTTGAGTTTGCTGTCTTGTCAAAGAAGTATTAGGAAAGGAATCCGCACAGCCCCACACTTCATTATGCATACGGTTATTGGATAAATAAAACAATGGATTGCCTTTAGGACTACGGAATGGTATCGGGTTCTTCAGAAATCTTTCCAGTCTCAGTCTAATAAGTGCTTAATTAACCCTTTAACACTCAGAAGTGACTAACATTCGTAACTTTTTCCCTCGATTCCAATATTTTATTTTGCAAACGTTGTCTTGGTTTTAAAAATAGAGAAGCCTTTCAGCCAGAGGGTGTAATCGTGTTATAACGCTTAGTTCTCCAATCTAATTTATTAGGAAATGTATGGTAGTAATGAGAGAGAATTACCAAATGCATCTTGGGAGTGAAAGGGTTTATTTGGCCATAGCTGATCATGGCACAGAAGAAGGCAAGCCTGCAAATTAAACTACCTAATACTTTTACATGGGTAATCCTGGTCAAAAGTTACACAACACGAATTGCAATTATTTTGAAATTCAAATCATCAGGATTTTCTGCCTGCTCTGCAAAATTTGTTTTAGCATGGGAAAAGTAGAAAAGTGTGTTATCTTGTGAGCAAACATTTATTGAATAAATAAGAGGAATAAAACAAAGGTTTAAAGTTATGATGTGTTTAATTAGAGGTTAAGATCAGTTTTAAGCTGTAAATTCATATCTTTAGTAAGCCAATCAGTGGAAGAAAATTTCTGGCACAAGCCAACCCTGTTGTGGTTCACGCCAAGGCTTGGACTAAACACAGAAACAGGAATGGAATTGTTATGTTTGACTGGAATGCTTCTCTCTCTGTTGGCCATGGCACTGAAGTCCTGGAGGGACTCCATCACATTCTTTGTTCTGTGGTTTCTTTACTACTCTTTATATCAGGTAAAACAAAGTGTTTGCTAGAAGGCTGTTTGTTATGAGAAATTGCCCTTCCCTTGCACCAATTCCATTGATGGTTGAAAGATGGCTTTTAATGATGGTTCTTTCCTTTTGTTTTTATTTTACTCCTCCTTGTGAATTCATGATTTTAAAGTTGTACTAACCATCTTATAACTTTGTCTATTCTCATGATCAGTTTAATGGCAGGATATTGTGATAAAGGTTATAGTTATTTGGGTTAACATAGACATACTGTTCATGTGTTGTTTCCTCTGAAAATTAAAAATTAGAAACTCGTTTCTCTCAAATTTAGGTTGGACAAACATTTGTTTACTTTCAGTGGTAAGTTACATGCAAATCTTCAATGTACTTTTTGTTGTCACTAAAAATTATTTTGACTTAATTCATTATAAATCTTGTATTTTTTCTTTCTGTTGCATTTTCATTAGGTTCTTTTGTTTTCATTATGCATCTGCTCAATTTCTCTTTGTTTGTATCATTCATATAAGTTATTTACGGTAAATTTTATTCATTCAGCTTTATTGTTTAATTGCATGAAATCATTTTATATTGTTTTAAGCCAGTCATTTGTTCCCAGTGTCTTTGTTGTTCTTTATTTTGTTTTCTTGTGTGTCAATTTCTTTACATATAATTGTAGTAATTTACTATTTGTAATTTTGTTTTGACAACTGCTTCAATTGTTCACTTTGTTTTGATTCTACAATTGGTTTCATTTTGTTTTGAAGTATACTGAAGAGTGTGTTTTGTTTGGACATGTTCAAGTATTTTTGGCCATCACACTTTAAGTAGATTTATCAGAGAAAATGTTTGCAGTGGCATTGGTTTATTTTCAGCTGATTATTTACCAAGGCTTGTGTATAGTTTATATTTCAATAAAACTCTGCCCAGACTGTTACATATTTTGTTGCTTATGTTGAAGGTGTTCCATTCATGAATTTGTGTTCCTTTTTTCAGGGATATTCTGCTCATGGAAACTGGATTTTTGACAATTCTGGTATCTCCTCTCAATATATTCAAATCCAAGGATAACAAGTAGGTAGTACTGAATTTACATGTTTGTCTAAAACTCATTTAAGTTTACCCTTAACCCTTTAACCCCTAAGAGTGAATGGCATCTAACTTCTTCTTACAATATCACACCAAAAACACACAATAAGGCCATGAGAATAAAGGAAATGATCACCAACTACTGAAGCTCCTGATTGTCAAATAAGTTCTCCATGTCAGCACCTAAGGAACTGTATAAAGAACAGTAAAGAGAATGTACAAACTGATTTTAGGGTGTAAAGCAAATGAAATACTCTCTGCTTTACAATGGTCAAAGCTGATATTTGTCAACTGTTTCAGATCTCAGCGTCACCATGATAACATCACACTGTGGTTAGTGAAGTGGCTGGCATTCAGACTTATGTTTTGTTCTGGAGTTGTTAAGTTGTCAAGCAGATGTCCAACATGGTGGGGGCTTACTGCTCTTGACTGGCATTATGAGTCACAGGTATGCTGGACATTCTCATGATGCACTTAGTATAGGTAGTAAATCAATGTACATGTAAAAATTATGTGTGTCTGATTGGCTAAAAATGAGTACATTTTTCATGTAACAGGAGTGTAAAGTCGTAATGCAAGGTCAAAGTTGTATCACTAGTGTAAATTTCACTGCACTGCAAAATTTTGTTCATTTTGACTTTCTGTGATGCTTGTGCAATGTTTTCATTTTTGTGAGTGCTTATTATACCAAATTGCAAGAGAAATCATGTTATTACTTGTTAGCAATGTACATGAGGAAACATCACAGAAAGTCTAGATAGACAAAATTTTGAAAGTGTGGGTGTAATTTGTAGTTTGCACTTCTCTTACAACCATACTCGTGTTACAACTTTGCACTTTTGTTACAACTTTGCACTTGTATTACATGTGAGTATTCTCATTACTTGTTTGCTGGAAAATTTAAGGTTATTTTGGGAGAAGTTACACACTAATCACTTCTGGAAGTTACAGTGTTAAGCACATGTGTTGTCTTATTTATTTTATGAAGAAGAATATTCAGTTGGAGATTATATTGAAAGATGTACTATTTTCATCATCAAGTTAAAGCAACTTTCCCTTTCTCTAACATAGAGAATTATCTGTGTTAGCTGGAAAAAAAATTATGGCTTCCGTAATGTCCCTGTGCCACATCCAATTCCTAAGTGTAGGGAAAGAATAGAATTCAAATGCTCAGCATATGAGGGGGTCATCCCATGGGCTTTACATTGATAGGTGCACAAACATTTTCCCTCTATATATCAGCAATTTAGAACTATCTTGAATATAGAAAAAAATGTTAATTCATAAGAGCCTATTTGAAGTAACTGCTGAAATAAATCTACTTTTTGCGGGTTCGCTAAGTGCAGTGTGAGTGGGTAAGTTGATAAGCCTTCTGAAAAATGCAAGATGCTAGTCCAAAATTTGAACTGTATATTTGAATTGTCTATTTGTTTGTTTGTTTTTTTGTTTCAGTGTATTCCCACCCCACTGGCCTGGTATGCCCACCAGCTTCCAAAATGGTTTCAGAAGCTTAGCATTGTCTTAACGTGAGTAGTATCTGGATATAATAATATAGTTTCCTTATACATTACATCACAGTACTATTGTTTTCCAATAATATTATATTTGGTTCCTTTTCTTTATAGTTTAAGTCTTACACATCAGAGAAGTGTTACTAGTTGCTTTGTAGACCACATGTTCACTCTTTACACCCTAACATCAGTATCCACATTCTGTATACTCTTCTCTATATGCGTCTTTTGGTACTGACAAGGAAAATTCATTTTAAGATCAAAGCTTCTTAGGTTGGCAATCATTTCCTTTATTTTCATGATCTTAATAAATAGTTCAGCAGTATTTCAGTAACGAGGAAGTAGATGCTGATCTCTCTTAGGGTTTAAAGGGTTAGAAATTTGTTAAGATAGTTCCATAAAGAAAGCTAAAGAGAGATTTTTAAAGGGAAAACATTTTGGCAGAAATGTGACCCCTTTATCGAATCTAAATCTACCTTCTAAAACAGGCTCTTTGAATTCTTAAATTGAATACTCCTATTACATCAATTTCATACCATTATTATTACTTGACTTAAAGTTGAAATCCTTTATTTTTTAATTTAATTTTTACAATTTTAAAGGGTTATATTACTTAGAATTACATCAGAATCTTGGGAGGTTTTCACTCAGTTGCAGAAGCTGTCAGTCATTGTTGTACTGAAACATTAACACGCCAATGATGTTATCCGTGGCGCGTTATTGTTTTGGTGTAACTATGTCATCAACCAAAGATGGAGAATAAAATTGCAATAGTGTAGGCAAGACTTCACTTGCTCACATAACTAATGTGCAAAAATGTAAAGGTATGCTGATCATGCAACTTAATTCAATTCTGAAATCAGTCTCCTTCAAACTGACCATTTCATAATAGTAACTACTTACCACACACCACACCTCACTGTGTAATGGTAAAAGGCCTGATTAGAGTCCAATTCAGTCTGTAATATTATTATACATGTGA